GGTAGCAGAAAGCGAACGTGATTCCATCACTCAGCAATCCTATTATCCTGATCTTTATACAGGTATGCATCTATCCATAAAGAAGGCGCGAATCACATTGCCGGTTATGGTTCTACAACTTTCATTTCAAGCATTTCTTACTTGAACATTTATATATACGAATCATGACTGCATGATGTCCAAATGAATTACTGTAATGCATACATGAAAGACTGAGTTGATCTTTAAAAGTAAAAAGAGAAAGATATGAAATGATAAAACTTTAGTTGTAAATAATGATAACAAGTAGATTGAATTGATGATATTATTGATGATTTTTAAACGTTCCATTTGGTTACACTTGGATGCCACTTGATTTTCTACAGAATACGCGGGATGTTCTTTCTACTCTTAGTGATATTGTGTCAAGCTCTCTGCATTTTCCCGCTAGAAATAATGCGATAGATGCATCCATCTTCATCGTTGTAAGTAGAGCGAGCATGCGAGGTAGCTGGGTAAAATGCTTCAACTTGATGTTATGATCTACGTATGTGTTGCTTGTCTATTTTACAGTTCACCTGACCCGGAAATGACTTTTTAAATGAATTCATATAATTAGATCTCTAATGGGAATGTATTTTTAATTAAATAACATATAATTGTACATGTTATGTATATTAATTGATAAGAACTGCTATTTAGTAGCTAAAAAGATGTTTTATATCTTGCACGCGAAAGTTATGAAGTATGAATCCATTCATGTTTGTAATTTTCAAGACTTTTTATTACTTGAAATTTGTATTGATTAAGCAGCTATTTAGGGCATTCTTTCAAAAGAGATAAAATTCAAAAAAATTATTTTATTATTTATTTAGAAATCTTTAATGTCTATTTAAACAAGAGAATGATTTATTTAAATTTTTTTTCAACTAAAAAAAGAAATTTCAACTATTAATTTTTTAACTTGTTAACAGCTAAAATTAATGGTAAAGTATTTTAATACTAAGTGATAATTAAATATGAGATTATAAATGATTTGATTGAATCAAATTTATATTGATGGCATTGATGATATTTAGACCAGCTTTCGAAAATTAGATATTCATTGAATGATGGTTCATTTTTTTTTATTTGAAGAAAGATAATGAACTTATCTCAACAACTATCTTCTAACTTGATAAAATATCAACCACTCAATGTCAAAATGCAGGTGTCTTGTTAAACGAGATACTCTATAGCAACATAGATTTATATCCCTTGAGGTGAAGAAAAAGGAAAAGATATCGGCACATTCGTCAACAAGTCTAAAATAAGTATAGCTTCATCAGCAATAAATTGAATAAATGTTTGCTAATGTGTGTCCTAAATTTGCAGACCTCACCTACGAACCAAAGAGTCATCTTCATATTCCGTTAAGCTGATTCAGAAGTCCGTTGCTGACCGAAAAAAGATATTCTGTCCTTGTCAACTCTTGACTCTCATCAATGCCATTTCCCTCTTCTCTTACATCTGAAACCTGTTCTGTTGATGAAATTCCGATTATCTCTGGCACACTCTTCATTACCATATGTGTGTCTCACAACTATATGATTGTGAAATATTTTCACAAGAGATAGTATTGAATATTAATTAATCTAAGATGAAAACAATTTCATTAAAAATTTTTTTGTAATAATATGTAGTGTTTTGCAACTAGCATATTTGTTTATCTAAAAAGATTTATCTGAATTCTTTCAATTGAAGAAACTAATGACGATGACACTTGTGTTGAAAGCTCAACATTCCAACATTCGATTCAGCTATCAAACTATTCTTTTCTTTTTTTTCTCATGGACACTTGAATCTTCTCCAATAAAATTACATAAGACATTTCTACACATTGCTCATACTTAGTATGAATTGAGTGACATTCTTCAATTCTTAATTGCTTTTTTTTCTTTCATTGCTTTCTCAACACGTGAGAATGTTATGATTGCCATAGATTTGTAATCTGATTAGTTTAGGACTTGGTGGAGTTAGTTATCTGTGACAGAAAACTCGTGCTTATTTGCTACAACCACAAGCTAGGTCAACCACATACCACAAAAGCGTGAAATACCTGGCGTGTGCATTACGTGGATGTGAATGGATCTGACCAGTTTGTCAAACTCGTGGGTTGTTTATAAGAACCCTTCTGACCCATCTCAATCAATTAGATATATTTGCCACGCATTTGGAATTCTAGAGAAACTCGCATCTATTTTAAAGTGAGTTATAACTTTAATTAGAGCCTAGAGAAGTGTACACACGAAAGCGGAACGAGTACGTAAAATCATGTTGACTGTTGGAAAAGTGTGCGAAAGACAGCTGGAAATTTTTTTTTCTGATAAATCTGTGACAGGATGCATTGTGACACTTTTTTTTTAATATTCAAGACTTAGATTAAATTGAAAGAAAAACTGAAATAATAGAATGGCTTGAGGTTTTTACCAAGAAAAAGTTTCTATTCATAATAATCAATTATTATAATTATTATTTGGATATGAAAATAATAAATATTTCATCTATGTAACGTCTAGAATTACGTTCAAAGTACTCGTTACACGTAACGCACTATTTTTTATTGTAGATCACGAGAATTCATTGCACAATAGAAAGCGAGCGATGGGAAAAATAGAGAAGAAACAATATAGAGGAAGTGGTAGTTTTAATTGCAAATCAAAAAATAAGAGCATTATTACATTTCTTAGAATTATTTTGATAAATTTCAACTATTTGCTCATTTCTTATTAGCCATTAAAGTAATTGTTTTTAAATAGTCGATGGTTGAGTTGAAATTAAAACAATTTACGATTAATAAGCTTAAGGAGAATTGAAATCAGGAATTTTCTTCTCTATAAATGCCTCCATAAAATTTATTACGTCATTTTCTTTTCCCTATTTTTTATGATGGAAATATATCGACCGACTGAATCTGCCTCTGTCATTGGTCACTAGGACAAATTAAGTAAAATCTATCGGGCCACACAATTATCGAAGATGTAGAGTAGACGGAAGTCAAGAAACAAGGCCGGAAATGAGTTCCGGTCGTTTGGTTTTACTCTAGCTACCGATGTAAACGGTTCAGGTACTTTATCACCAATTTCTATTTCTATATTACCTCAGCATTGAAGGAGTGTACGTAATATAGTTCAAAGATTAGGTGAAATAATCTAAGTTTACATCAACTGTTTAATTTGTAGTAATCGTTTTGAAGTATTGATTTAAAAAAATCAAAAATTTATTGCTTTAGGGGAAAGAATTTTTATCAAGAATTTATTTCCTTCAAAATTTTTTCTTAAATGAATGGATAGAACCTTCTTGAAGATTTTCTATCATTTTTCCAATGGAATGCGGTTGGATTGATGACGAAGATGATCTATTGTTGAGAAGTATTTTAAAAATAATTAAAAACTTTCAAAGTTGTTTGACACCATTTTCAGTTGTCATTTTCATTCCATCGATGAAGTAATCATTCTTTCACAAAGAAAAGCTTAAGATAAATTTTTATGCAGTTTTAATTGCATTCTCTTACTTGATAATTAGATAATGACATAGTAGTTTTAATAAATTTATAAATTATATTATTTAATTTTTAGTCTAATTAAACTCATAAAATTGTTAACAGTTTTACAAAAATTCTTTTATTTTTCATTCAATATATTATTGCAGTTTAATTAGAATAATTCACTAAGCAATTTATAAACCACTAATGTTTTATTATCTGGCAATTTAGAAAAAACAATTTTTTTTATTGGAAAATAGCTCATTAGATTACACATAAATGGTTAAAGATTTGAAATTTCATAAAATCTTATGTTTTCAATAATTAACATCCTTTCTATTTCACCATTGAATTCAATGAATTGATACTATAATTGATTTCAAACATGTTAAAAATATTTTCAAATATCTCCTGACATACAAATTAAAATTAGTGTGCTAATTTTGTTCATGATTACTTTCAAACCGAACGAAAGTATTAACAACTATTTTCTTCAATAATAAAAATATTTATTATCTATTATTTCATTAAATAATTCACTTTTTAATTATTCTTAATCGATTTTTTCTCATCCATAATAATCAACTCCAAAAACAATTTTCCTCAAAGCTAGTAATAAACATAAACATGGTCTCCAACCACGTGGGTACACTCATTTCCTGTCATTAATATCAATATATCGTAAACCAAGTTAATTCCCTTAGTTGTGCAAAACTGGTAGTTTTGACAACATGCAATGATTATCTTTAACCTGTGCGTGAAAACTTCAAACCCCCTTTAATATTACATCACGTCCGTTTAAGTTTCATTTTAAAATTTCAATACATCAAGAGAAACTATTGAAGTCCTATCATTAAATACAACAACCCAAGTAAATAGAAATAAAAATAAATGAAATACTACACAACCCTACAAGTGTAAAGTTCTACCATCACTAAGAAAAATAATGAATTATGGATTGTTAGCAAGAATGAATCAAAGTGTCTGAAAGAAGAAAAGGTAGACGCTGCTAAATACTACGGTCCGCTAGGTATAACGTACAGCTCTGAGTAAACAGATCACTATGGTCTTTGCGTCTTCTTAGAGCGAAAAAATTGAAATTGCACGAGGAAACTTTCAGAGTTCATAAGACATAAAGATAATGGTGAACAGACACCTAGATGATATATATCATTTAGTTATGAAATCAAATAATATGAGGATAAAATGAAATGATTTATTTTGGTGTAGGTGTAAATACAAGTTCAATGTTTTATATACTGGTCTAAGAGGCTCGTATGCAATTTCAAGGTCGAATGGTATAGTGAAAACGATCCATGAAGATACTACTCGCGCGTAGGTGCATTCACCCCTTTGAATAAAGTGGCCTCGCTTCCAGCATGCACTTATTCAGGAATGTTATAAAGACGTGTTCTTCTGCATGAGTTGAGTCTAAACACATGGTCCCTCCAAAAAACGTCAGCCTTTATTTTAGCAAAAACCAAAATTAACAACTTACGCATTTTTAATGTTCAGTCTTCAGGTTGCCAGTCACTTATAATATCTCAATGTCTTCATGGTGTTAAACACAATTTTTTTTAGTCACTGTATTTAATTGAATTCCGGTTATAAAAAAAGAAACAAATCACTTCACAGGTAAATGAATTTAAAATTCATTAATTTTTTATTTTAAATTGTTATTTAGAATGTTAAAAAATTGTTGTCAAAAATGATTATTAAAATAGTTCTTCAATAACAAATAGTTCCCGTATAGTATCGGCATCACCAAAGTCTTGGACGCAACTGTAAGAAGTAGTAGAGTTGGACACCGTAAATCCCGACTCGTGGCTTTACCGAACCAGCTAAGAGAGTAGTAAGGTAGGGTAGGCAATGGTATACTGTGTGCCTGGGCTTCTCCAACGACGGTGGAAGCCGATGGTAGGCCGGTTTTGCCCCTCTCGTCATCCACCTTCTCGTGCCACTACTCAAGCCAACTAAACGCACACAGATACCTGATCGTTGCTGCTGCATACTTGTCCAATGTCAATTAGTGTAATCTATCATCAGGGATGGAAAAAATGAATTCTTTTAAATATTGAGTATTCATTATCACTATCGACTCTCCTTTCATGCTAATCAAAGCGAAGGAAAAATTTATAGGCATTCATTATTTATCGTATTAATCAGATTCTGCTAATTGACAACAAATTTTTCATTAGGACTATTTTTTCACTTATTTTTACGGTTTATAAACAACTTGTTTTTTTATGGCTGCGTTGTTTTTCTCACTTTTTTTTTCATTTGAGTGACCTGAAGATTTACTTGAAGGTCCCCTTGATAAGATCGGTTGCGTCACGCACTTATGATTTTACATGGATCCCACCCGTAGCCGGTGTAAGCTAGCAGGTTTCCAAGAGACACCTTTCCTTCATGGTGATTTAAAGTTACCGCCTGGGGTCATCGGCCATCTCTGACAAATATTGCTGCATTGTCATGAACGTGTTGAAAATTTTGAGAAATTTATATGGACAATTTTTATTTTCCCATAGCATTTGAAATATGAGGACAGTGGGTTCAAGGAAATGATTCAATCAGTCAAAATAATGTATCTTTTCCTATACACCAATATTATAATTTTATTAATAATACAGTAATTAACCGAGTGCTTATATGTATTTATTTTTTAGCGTGGGAACTGGGTTTCCGGATTCAGTGCGAACATGTTTATTACACCAGAAACTACAGATGATGAATTGCTGTATTGAACGAAAAAATACCAGAAATAAATCTGATCACAGACCGCAAAAAATGGAAATTGAGGATTTTGAGTCTGGTATGTTTTATTTTTAATTATTCTACTTAATTTATTTATTACTTATACATAGCAGGATAAGATTATGATTCAAATTGATAAAATATCTTTTTTTATATTCATGAGATTAATTAATCAACATTTAATGAGTTACAAAAATCAATAATACTGCACATTATAATTATAATTGATTTATTAATGATTATCATTAATATTTAATGGCTGTAAAAAAATCTCTATCAATGAGTTTTGTTAACCTTCAAAAACTCTTTACGCAAAAAAATGTAATCACCAGGTTCTTTTTCAGAATCTGAGGAGGAATTTTTTGAATGCACTGAAGAAGCTATAAAACAAGAAGAGCAACAGCTAAAAAAGAAAACACAACACTTATTGTGGGATAGGCCAAGAGGAAGATTGGCAAAGCACCCATCACTGCGTCTTCTTAATACTGGAGATGCTTTGTACCTTCCAATTACTCAAGACCCAGTGCCGAAGACGGAGGATCAACTGGAGGAGGATGCGCAATTAATGATGCAGCTTGGGACAGACAAAGAAGGCTCGGAAATGCGTGCAAGGTTGATGAGTGCCTCACTTCTTTCTGACATGGAATCTTTTAAGGTATTTATCTTCATAATTATACCAATTTGCAAATACATATGTATCTTTCATTAGTAATTGAGAAAGTTTCAAGAAAGTTTATTGTCAGGAAATGCTTTCTATTGATTGGTTCGATAAATGATACTATTTTTCCATTTTTTTAAATGCAGGCTGCTAATCCTGGATCAGAACTTGAGGATTTTATCAGATGGTATTCTCCGAGGGACTGGATAGAAGATGATGGTGTAGATGAGTGGGGTCAGCCAACTGGTAAATAGTCACATCAATAGTCTATCATTGAAATTAAATGTAGAAACTTAGAAAGTGAATATATATTAGATATAAAAAAGTGAATATAATACTAACAGTATTAGCTTAATTGAGTGCTGAATAAATTTCAGGTTACCTTTCACCACGAATGAAGATCCCGAATAATCCTTGGGCAACAACGTGGAACTCAGCACAACCTGTTCCTGCCCATCATCAAAAACGTCTTTTTGATGACACAAAAGAAGCTGAAAAAACGATACATTATCTAGCGTCAAGAAGTCTTGGAGAAATTGCTCAACTTCTTCTACCTGTTTTAACACATGCTGCATTGTATACTCTTAGTCAGCAAAAACATGACGCTCTACCTAATTTGCCTGATTTTATGCAGAGCATTTACACAAAATTGCAACGAGTTACTAAACCAATTCATCAAAATATGCATTTATATGAAGTAAGTTCATTTTATTTCTGAAAAATACTTTTTTTTTTACCAAGCTAAGCTGTGAACAATATTATCTTTATGAATCAACAATTTGTCGAAATGTTTAATACTTTTCAAAAAAAATTTTATTTAACTAAAACCTTGCATTTTATTCTACAATAATTTTTTTAATCAAGTGGGAAAAACTGTTTTCTAGGAATCATCATATAACAATAACATTAGTTACCAGTAGTAATGTCGTGCAATTTTATTTCAGGATATATTAAAAGACATCGAGAGTATAAAAGTACCGCTAACTCAAGCTAATTCATTAAAACATAAATTTTATGATGATGAAAATTCAGAAGAAAAAATATCTTTTATAACGCAACTTATGCAAGGGAAAGAAGTTACAATTCCTGGTGGACCAAGAAGTTCTATTGGTCAACGAGTCGTGGAAATGTTTCGTAATGTACAAAAGGTAAATTTAATTTTGCCATTTTCATTGAGTGTGTATTTGAAATTTTTATTTCACGAGAAAAGTTATAATTTCGGTACCGTTCTTGACATCTAGGCAGCCTACATGATTGACATACCAAGTAGTCATTCAAGTACAAGTGGAGCAACTGAAGACAAGCATAAATCGTTTCCTGAACCTTGGTGTAAGGAATTTATACTGCGGGCGGTAACGCCTCGACCTTCTCCGACCTCCAAACCTCAACCTCAGCGGCTGTATGTTAATCTTAAACGCGAGTCTATTCGTCTCGCTGGTTATTTTTCAGAAGACACTACCTTTTTATAATCATTTTTACGTGCAATTTACTCTTAGTGTGTTGACAAATTAATACAAGAGGCGGGTACCTCATATTTTAAATTTCATGATCAAATATTTTTAGATAAGTGTATCAATTAGTGAAAAGACCCTGGTAGATTTTTTCTCCTGATTCATTAATCTGTATACACTTAAACCTATTAATTAAATCTCTTATTTACATTGAGGTTAATTTGCCTATATTATATATTTGCATACATTTTTTTAGAATACTTTCTTTTAATTTTAGCGTATTAGAAAGTCATTAATTGGTACACTCATTCTGGTTCTATAAATTTTAACTTTTAAAAATTTCAAATGAAATAAAAAATAATGGAGTATCAAAACTTATATGTGTAAATATTAATACAAAAATTATTTTTATTTACAAATTACAATAAATTTACGTCAAATATTCTATGAAAGTAAGAATATTTTTTTTTGAAGAACCGGTTTCACAAATAAAAGATTTCGTACTATTTCATCTAGTTCCTCAAGAGCTAATTGAGCGTGGAGACGAAGTACTTCATCATTATCATTATCTCGAAGATACTTGAGGCTACGATAAACCGGTAGAAGATCATTTCCCAAGTCAGTAAGCGCATCCTTACCAAGTCCACGTATCAAGAGTGTTGTGACTAAAACTGCTGCTCGCCTGCATTCCTGAGCCTTATCAGTTTCAATTATTTTCCCAATACAATATAGAATTTCAACAATGGCATTTCCCAAACGAAATCCCAAAACTTTACAGAGTTCTCCAAGACATGAAAGGCTAGAGGTACGTACCATTTCATCTTTGTCACGAATAGCACATAAAAATCCGTTGATAAGAATATTTTTATATGCCGGAGCCATGTCACCTAATGCCCTCGTTGTTTTCACTAATATTTCACCCAGTTTTGCTCGGTTTTCAGGTGCTATTTCTCCATTCACGTTTCGCTGAGGCATATCAATGAATTCTTGAACTAAAATCTCAATAACTTGTTGAGGAAATGATGAAGCCATTGCGCATAGTCCATTTATAGCAGCTAAATATATAAATGAATCCTCATCTTTTAAGTTTTGTTTAAAAAAATATAAAGCTAAATCTTTTTTAGAAATAGTTACTGGATCTGATGATTCAATTAATTTTGTCAAACTTATTAAACCATGTGCTCGAACTGGTAACAGAGGATCAGCTAAATCTTCAAGTGCTTTATCGAATTCATTACTTTTATTGTCTATATTCAAGTCTTGGTATTGTGGACTTTTACCTTGCAGTTTGATAGCATCTAAAACTTCTTTAATTAAATTCAATAAAGGTAATGGTGGCTGAGAACCATTTATTTTTTCTTTTAAAAAATTCGATAAATCAACAAAAAGCTTCCAGTCTTTCGGTTTTTCTTTCTTTTCTGTTACAATTATTTTAATCAACATTAAACTCGTATATAATATTTCATAATTTTCATCATTTTCAGTTTCAAAATTTTCTGGAAATAGTGATTTAATAAATGTAAAAAAAGTCTGAGGAGATTTAAAAAGTCCCGTTTGAACTGAATTAGTATGTACAAGATTTAATAGTAATTCTTTTACTGCTAATTGTTTACAAAATATTTCCATAAAATCATCATTAGTTTCTAAATGGTTGTTTTTATGTGGTGATGACTTCGTATTGTTTAAACTCGTTAGCCATTTGAGAAGATAATTCATTAGATTAAGTGATAAAATCTCATCTGGTTGAACGAGATCTAATAAACTATCAGCTAAATCTGTAAAATATTTTTCAATATCAATTTTTGTTGGTTTACTGACCATTTGGACACCCCCAGAAGGTCCAAATTCAAATGAATAATTTTTCAAAAAATATTCAGATTCATTAGAATTATGTTCAAAAAAAGTTGATAATATATTTTCTCCCAATTCTTCATCTTTAAGTAAGTGAATTAATAACTCGCGAGTTTTCGATTTTAATAATAATGGACTTTTATGAATCTTAACGTGCATATAAAAAAGTGGAACAGCCGTTTCTTTAATCAGTGAACATGGAAGATATTTAAATTTTGCATCTTTACAAGCAAAACATTTAATTAGATTCTCTAAACTTTCTGATATTTCATTTTCAGATTTTAGAACCGAATTTTCACCTTTCTGATGTTTAGACTCAAGTTGTCTAACCATGAAAGGTGCTGAAATGACATCAATAATTTTCTCTTTACAAATATTTGGATGCACTTCATAAAGAGCTACAATGAAACAATTTGCTATCGTTGAAGAATTTTTGATTTTTCTAGAATTTAAAATGTTTATTAGTTGATCACAAATTGAGCTATAATATTTGTCAGGATCTTTTCCAGAAGAATTAACGACGAGTTTTGATATAACTTCTAATCGATTCCAGTGAACTCCTAGATCAAGAGAATCTTCACACATAGCATTAATTAAAGACATGATACCAGTTGGCTCTGTAACAGCATCAGTTACGTAAAGTCGAGTCTTTCGTTTTAGCCAGTTTGGAGCATGCTGGAGACCTGAAAGAACCATTAATTCCTTTATGATGGAAGATTGAGGACAATTTTTTATTAGTTTGTTCAATCGTTCATTAAATTCTTCCTGGTCGGCTAAAAGTTTTTCGTAAAGTTCTTGTGTAATGTGGACTTTCGATGATTGTGGGTTTTCAATAGCAGTTGGCTTCATCAATGGTGCATGAGCAAGTTGGAATAACGCTCCTAATAAAGGTCCTAATTGAGTTAAAATTGCAGGTCTCAGAGATATTTCATTGTAGCAATCTGTGAGAATTCTTGTAGTTATTACTAATCGGTTATACTTTTGCAAATCAGATATCGATTCAGCCTTAAGTTGTCCAGCATGTGAACATAATTTATTTAATCCAGCTCCAATGCCCGGTAGAAGGCAGGGAATTATTCCTAGAGATATAATCATTTCAATAGCAATTTTAACTCCCCTGTATTCGGTTACACTCATGAATGTCTCGCTAATTGATAATACATCCTTGTGGAGAGTTTTCAAAACTAACAAAATTGTTTGTAAATATTTTCTCCTTGTCGATAAATCTTCAGCTTCTTCACATTCTTTAATTATATGATTTTTTAATTCTTCAGGTAGGAATGTATAAGCTTCGTCTAAAATTTTTTCCAATTTTTCATCAAAATCGCCAGGCTTGTCTGTGAATAAAATAATGTTAGTAAGAAACATGGTTATTTATTTATTTCAATTAATTATAATCATTAAGTACCTTTATCGCTTGTTGTAAGCAGAAGGAGGATTTGATGATAATCCATTATCTAAATTGATATGAAAAATTTAGTATATTTACTGATAATTATGATTATAACTCAATAAAGCAAATATAAAATAATTCTACGTAATATAAATATTTCTATTTACAAAGATAAATAGATTTTTCATCAACTCTTTTATATTTGACAGGTTAAAAATACACACATGGATCATCAAAAAATAATGCAGCGACAACTATTGGGGTATCACTAAAATATTGTTTAAAATTCGCGGTACTGAGGAATATTAAATTAATTTTCTCTTAATTAAAGTTTTTTAAATAATTTATTACAATAAATAAGTGATTAGAATAATTTATTTTATGATTAAAGTATAAAATAAATAATAAAAAAGTTAAATCAATACGTATACACAACAAACAATTTCCCGCGTCATTTATGTTCAAAGCGCATGTCTTCTTTAGACTACTTTTGTGTTTATTGCGTTTCTCTTGTGTCAACACTTTTATACCTGTTCAATCTACATCGACAGTACGTTGATAAAAAACCTAGAAAGTTTGTTATTATTGTATGTTGTTGTTTGAATTGTTCTTAGGTACATAAAAAATACTATTACGAATTGAAATATACTTTAAAATAGGTATTTTTTTATTGACAAAATTTACTAAAACATACATATATCTGCTTGCCTCTTTTCAGTATTGAAAGCTGTTTATGATCTGAATTTAGATAGATAAATTGAAATCTGTTACAATGCCGAAATCCAGAGAATATTTATCTAGCGATGATTCTCAGAGTAGTGAGGTAATTGTTTATTTATAATAATTATTTAAAAATATACATTTCAATAAAATAATTCTTAAACTGCAGGAAGAAAAACCAAAATCAAAAAAGCAAAAACGTGATGCCGAATCCAAAAAATCTAAAAAAGAAGCTAAGGAAGACAAAGAAAGTAACAATTCTAGCAAAAATGTATCATCCTCCAGTAAAGCTGATGAAGAAGAACCTACTTGGGAACTTGGTAATATGAAGGAAGTAAAAGTTCGTGAATTTAAAGGAAAATTATATATTGATATTCGAGAAATGTACTTGGACAAAAATAGTGGAGATGTAAAACCAGGTCGTAAAGGAATTTCTTTAAATGTTGCTCAATTCAAAAAGCTGCTGGCTTGTATTGAAGAAGTTGATAAAGCTGTTCAGGCTAAAGCTTAGAAAATACATAATATATTTGTATATGTATATCTTACATCACACTTGAATATTTTTTTCCTAAATATAATTCATATTTATAACTTATCAAAACCACAATTATTGTTACATAAATGTAAACAGAAGCCACAACAAAAATAAATAAAACATTGTATTGAATAACTTTTTTTTTATTTTATAGAATAGAAGAAGCTATGTTTATATACATATACAAAATGTACATCTTATTCAACGAACATAAGCATCATAATAAATACAGTATAAATATTTTTAACTTATTCATAAAATTATAAATTATTATCTAAAATATCAGTTCTTGTAGTTTCAACGAAACATTCGTACATATTATACTGTCGCAACTAAATAATGTTAAAAAACATATGATATACATCTATTAAACAATTATATGCGATTATCATTTAACAACAATTTATCTTCAGAGAAAAATCCTCTTCATGAAGAGTAAAAAAATCCGTTTTAAAAACAGTGAAATAAAACATTTTTAAAACTCATAGTTTTTCTTAAATATAGTTATATAAAAATTCCAGTTTTTTCTGTCAACTAATAATTTGAAAATTATTGATCTATCAAAGTCGTTTATAAATTAGAATAATTATTTCACTAAAGTGTAATTAATAATCACTTGAAAAAATAAATCATAGTAACATAATATTAATTAGAGAGAACCCAATTTAGCCAATACTATTTTTCGATAATCAATTCGTATCGATAATTGAGACAGTGAAATTAATACTATTATTGCCTTTAATATTATAACATTCCGAATAAAGTGATTTATTCTTAACAATGCTATTATTTTATTAAATAAGAGTAAAAAAATATACGGAATTTGTTTAAAAATCATGTCAGTATGTACACCAATTATTTACTAGGTTATTTTCTTATTTTAAATAAATAATCAATAACATTCGAATAATATTAATCGATGATGTTTAGGTTTCAGGTCCATGTACCTCCGTAAGAAATTTATTTATGTCTACTTGTTTAAGTAATATTTTCGGATCTACTGTTATTGTACTTTTACTTGTAAGCTAAAAAATAGTATCAGTAATTATTTACTAGTATCATTTTCAGTAAAATTAACAACATTAATTAGCGTAGGCTTGATGTAATTACCTTTTCATTTGTGGTTGTGGAATCTTTTGCAACACTGTTCCCTCTAATTTTATTATCTGAAATAAAAAAAAAGGAATTAATTTTTGGAATATATTAAAAATAGAATAGTAAATGAAGAAAGTTACTTACTTTCATCATTTTTGGTTTCTTCATTCTTAACTCCTTGTTCTTTTGAAACTGGTTCATTATTGGAACCAATTTTCGACAGAGATTCTTTACAAATTGGCGATGACGATGCCAAAGGCTGTGCATTAATTGAAGTAGGAATCGATTTAGTACTTTTAACTTTTTCACTTTTCTCATTATCACAATTATTTGCAGGTTTAGTAGAGCTTATAGTTGGTTTAGAGCTAACATTTTTCTTTCGAGATCTTGGATTACTTGGTATCATTGAAAAAATTTCTTCAAATGGTGTCGCAGAAATTTGTATCCACTTTGGTTGATTATCTTTATTAATTGTTTGTACTTTGAAATTGAAATTTTGAGAATTTAATTTTCTTCTTCTTTTTTTGTTTATCAGCTCATCATGAGTAATGACTATTTCAAGATGATTACGAGAAGGTAAATCAGCATCTGGTATGATTTCTGTTGATATTGGGCATTTGTTTGATGGTACTAATTCTAAAGATTCTAAAACATTTGTGGGATTTGACTGTTGTACTTCATCAATATTCTCTGATGGTTTAATCGATTTTTCAACTTTTAAATTATTCGTATCATTATTTTCTTCATCGCTGAATAAATCTCGTTTAACCATGTCTACTTTAGATTTCACACTTTCTTGAATATTCTTCGCATTAGAAATCTTTTGAATTTTTTCTTTTTCACTATTTTCTTTGATACATGCATTGCCCACTTTTATAGGAATGTTGAGATGTTTCTCTTTATTTTCGCTACTATTTTTAGAAGATAGTTGACTAGAGCTTTTTTGTTGCGGTTGTGAAACAGGTTTATTTTTCTGATTAACATTCTTGTCGTCTTGTTTATCTGCAGGTTTACATTGTCTCGTACGTTTTGTTTTTGTTGTATTTCTTTCAGACTTTCGCGAAATAGGAAGTTTAACTTCCTTTTTCTTTTCAAATAACTCATCACTATCATCACTTATTATTTTGCTTTTGTCACCACTTTTTTGCTCTTCGTGTTCTCGATTTGATTTTTCAAGAATTGGAGATTTATTTTTCTTATTAATATTACTGTCTTTTTGTTTTGAAATTGACTGTCTTGATGTAATTATATTAGTAATGGGTTTAGAATTTAATTTACTCATCATTCGTAATCGTTTTTCATTCAACTCTGAACGCATTTGATCTCTGGAAGTTAATAATTCACTTGGTCTTTTATTCTGAGTATTGTTTTGTGATAACGTGTTAGTTTCATCACATTTATTCTGTGCTGTTATCATTTCAGATATTTTGGCTGTTAAATTCGTCGCTTCTGGTTCACTTTTAGCACTAACAGGTGTTTCCGAAATATTAAGTTCTTCCAATAAAGCCTCATTTTTCTCTGGTGTTTCGATATTTGAGGTATCCACTAAGTTATTTATTTTTTTCACTGAAAAGGTTTTAACAGGTGACACATGAGTTTCTATTTGGAGCAATTCTTCATTATTCTTAGCTATTTCATCAACTTTTTCATTTGTATTTGAACATTCTGGAGCTGCAGTCAATGAATTTTCAGTGTTGTTGGGTAAAGCCTTACTGAGTTTCATTGGAGTACTTGAAATTTTACTATTTGAGAATATTCTGGATGAAGTGTTAGATCTGTTGCAAGAATAACATGAAGAAGAAGAACTTGAGCTCGAACTACTGGAAGATGATGAACTACTATCATTATCAGAAGAATCGTTCATTGTTTTGCTTTCATCCTCTTTAGAAACTTCATTGATTGTTGATAAATTAATTTCAGTCGATGTGGAAATTTTCACCACTTTATTTTCATTTTCTTTTGGCAAATTTTCCTTTATGACTTCAAATTGTGTTATTTCTAATGTTTCTCTTGATTCTTTTATAACTTTAAGAGCACTTATTTTTACTTTGCTTTCTTCTTGATGTTTGTGTTTTTGTGATACTGCTTCAGAGCTAGGTTGATAGTATGGTGCTGAAAAAATTTTCTTCGACGCATCAATTGCATTTGATGATACTTCTTGAGGAGTCAAAGTAATATTTGGTGTTGGAGGAAATTCAGGAGTTGATATGAAACTTTGAACTTTTGTAGATTCTTCGTTTATTATTGGAAGAGTTGACACATTAGTATGATTAGGACTCATGACACGAGGTGTTGGTGGGACTCTAAGTGCATCAGGTTTCCTTGGAGTTTCTAAATCTATCATATTAGATAAATGTTGTTGATAAGATTCTGGATTATCAATGAACTTTGAATTTGAGTCAATGTCAAGACTCAAATATTTTTTGCTACTTCCTGATACTTTTGTGGTGATTGTTTTTAATTTAGCATATTTTTTCACTACTGTTTTTTCTGGTGGAGTTTCTTTCGAATTTGACAAATCATGTTTTGATTCGAGAGATTTTTGAAGAATTAAATCATTATTGAGTTGAATTGAATTGTTTTTGTCAATAACTTGTGTTATTTGAGATTTATCAGGACCTATTTTCTTTTCATTTTGTGAACTAGAAGCATTTTTTTCTGTTGTTTCTTCAATTTTGGTATTTTCCATTTTTTTAGTTTGTTCAGTTTCATTTTTTGATACTTCTGGACTGATTTTGTTCGTTTTTAACGTTTCTGCTTCTTTTAGAGGAGATCGAAGATCAGTATCCCAAGTTGTTTTCTGCACTGAACGTTGAACGTTTCCTTCCGTAGCTAGTTTTTTCTTTGGTGGAGATGTATTATCCGATTGAGATGAACTATTTTCAATGATTGAGCCTACACCAGAAATTTTATCCCAACCACCTTCTAAAGTTGGCACAGAACTACATGTTTTTTCTAACTGAGAATTTGGAGAAGTTCGTTTTAATTTTTCCGATGATGGTACATTTTTAGGAATTTCGGATGGTTTTTCACTTCCTTGATCAGGAGGCGACATGAATAAATTAGTTCTACACAATGGCTTTGAAGTATGTGAAGATCGTACTGATACAGCATCTGTATTATATCTATAACGGCTATTCATATTTTCAGTAGGAGTATTGAAATCCAAAACTCGAACATGACTGCTTTTACGACGTGGAGTCGACAAGCTGATTCTGTGATTTTTAGATCTACTTTTTAATAGAGATTTGGGTGTTCTTTTAGTCAATATATCACAATTAGTGTTGTTAACTGACTCTTGAGTAATATTAAGATCGTTCATTAAATCTTTGTAAGATATATCAGCATTACGATCTTTTAAAGGCTTATGCAATTTTAAAAATGGCGAAAGACCGGACCCCGTTAAACTTATAGAATCTTCTACACATACATTTGGCATATCCATTCCTTTGAAAAGGCTTGTATCTTGATTTTCTGATCCATAAAGTGTAATTGATTCAGGTTGTTGAGAAATAACCTGTGATTGTTGAGGAATAACTTGAGATTGTTGAGAAATAGCCTGTGATGGTTGAGGAATAACTGAGATGTGAGAAAAACTTGAGATTGTTGAGGAATAACTTGAGATTGTTGAGAAATAACTTGAGATTGTTGAGGAATAACTTGAGATTGTTGAAGAATAACTTGAGACTGTTGAAGAATAACTTGAGACTGCAGAGGAATGAGTTGAGGCTGTTGAGAAATAACCTGACGTTCTGTTGTAGAATTTACAATTTGATTACTGGATGTTATTGAGGGCTGAGCTTCTTTAGATTCATCAGAGTTTGATACTTTTTGAGGAACAGTCACTGCTCTAAGAAACACTTCTGGGACCGGTGGTTGTAATGTCTTTGGAGCTATTGGAATAAACTGATGTTTCGAGCTACGAATCACAGGTGGTTCTAAATATTGGGATATTTCCTCTTGAGAACAAACAATTAATTTAGGAACCGTTATTTCTGGTTCACTCGATGGATTAGGAGGAGGCTGTGACTTTAATCGCCCTTTCGATTTTTTCATGAATCTTTTGTATATATTTTGATGTGGATCCTCAGACATAGCTTGTGGAGCAGGAATAGTCTCCACTGAAATTATTCTAGGTTTTTCTAGTACATGGATCTCAGCAGTAGTAGAATTTTGATTCAATATATACCTTGGCTCTAATGTTAAACTATTAGCATCTATAATACTTTGTATTGCAGCTGCATTATAAATATCTAATGGTATTTCTTTATTTCTGGCATCCGGATTATTTTTGTTGATCGTGGATTCTACCAGAGGTAGTTGATTGTTATTATTTGATGATGTTTCAATTGGTTTTTCTGGAGAATGATTTGCTTCAGGCGTTGGATATTCGTTCGCATGATGATTTGCCATATCATCAGCTCTGAAAATAAACAGTCAATTATTTATATTATTTAGAACAAAATATATAATAAAAATGTGTCAATATTTCATGTTCATGTATGTAAATGTAATAAACATACCCATTAATTTTTTCAGTATCCTGATCATGATTCCTATTTGGACTTATCTCTTCATTAACATTAGGTCCAATAACTTCATGAAGAAAATCTGTAAAAACTGGATCAGTTTCTGTTGCGGTGACAATTGATTTTATCGCATTATTTAATTCAGTCATAATTGAAGTATTTAATTCACCAGGTGCTGTCTCCGTCATACTCGCATCTTTTATCATCAATGTATCCGATGGAAGATTTTTATTAATAGTTTCTGCTATTCGTTCTTGTATTTCAGTACGTTTTATTAATTCTTTTGTTAGTAACTGGAAATTAATAGAAATATTCACAATTACGTTTTCAAGTCAAGTTACAATTGTTTATATAATATGAAAAAGATATTACACTTAAATTCTCAACAGGAACATCAGCTGAACATTCCGATTCGATGTCATCTAATACTGTTTGTACTTCTCTTGTGTCGTATTGCATCAATTCTCGAGTATCAGTGGCAGTGGAGTACATTTTAGGTAGTTCAGCTATTGGTTTGTATTGTTCTTTTGAATTTAATGGTAAAACTACAGGTTCCGACTCAGAGGCAGTTGGTGAATATTGAACAGAAGATTGATTTGAATTTAAAGTAATCTCTTCAAAGTTCATTCTTTCTTTTTCAGAATTTTTAGACGTTTGATTAGGTTCGTCGTGTTTAGCTGCATTGCACCATTCGTTAGTATTTGTTTTAGTCTGTTCATCATTCGTCAGTACGGTAGTCCTTAAAGGACGTTTACACTTATCTCTATCATTTAATTCACTATGACGTCGTTTTTTTGGGTTAGTCGCTGTGACAGGCGACCCATTTGATGTCTGTGTTGCTTGGGATGGAACATTAATATTTACATAAAATCTTTGCCCTTTAGATACATCAATTAGGAGTTTGAGTTGTTCTGTCAAGTCCCTACAGTTTTTTAACGACTCATACTCTTCTAATTTACTTATTTTATCTTGGATAATAGCATTCATTGACCAAAATTTTTCTATTATATATATTAAAGTCAAACCATTTACTTTTGTACTGAATTTTTTTCCACTTAAAACTACTGTTCGACATTCCTGCAAATACGATGATGTTTCTAAGAATAATTTTGCTGCTTCCTGACATTCTGTCTCTTCTAGATATCCTGTGAATTAATTTGATTATCATACATTAATCAAGTTAATATGAAAAATAAGAATAAAAATATAACAACTCTTTGACATTAGTCAAAGGTTAGCATCAAATAAACTTCTATATAGAAGCTTGTTTAATTTTTATTTACCTAGAACTAATCGGGCAATTTCTGATGGTAATAGTGTTTCCATAGTTGTTAATAGTACTACCAAATAAAATGAAATACAAAACTAAACACCAAAATAACTACATTTATTGTGTAAACTTGGTTTGTAATTGAAGCAAAACATTTCACTCACAACATAAAACAACACAAAGTATAGTCCAATAAAGGCAGATTTAAGTACAACTGAAAAAAGCTGATATCGGGATTCACATGAAAAGTGACTGTTGTTAATTGTTATAGTTCCTCCATAGTAACAAACATGCGCAAGAGCTTGGAAATTCATACTGGCGGTAAAAAAAAGATTGAATTTGCTAAATCTATTTCACATAACCACAATGCACGCGCATAATTGCACTATTGCAAATAGAAACGTACGAATTGCATCCCTTAATTTACGCGCGTATTTCCGTTCGAACTGTGCGCATGATCCATCGTTGTTTTGGAAAGTGCAACAAACGCAGCCATATGCAATTCTGTATACTGTGAAGTTGGTCTTTTTTACAATTTAGCTATAGTTTCGTCTCAACACTTGGCGTTCCCTCCTCCAGGCTCGTGCGGGTGCTGAATGGCGCGGTAAAAGAGAAATCAAGTGTTGAGAGAGAAAGCCATTCGGAACAATTCGGAGGGGATGTTATCCTTTTCAAATCGGAGTGCGCTTGCTTATTTTCAACAATATCGTCGAAGCGAAAAATTTCAGCCAAAATAGCTGACAACAATGAAATAATGAAATCAAAATGTTATGCTCTAAATCATAATGAATACGTACGTAAGTACTTCATAAATTACTTATATTTTATCATAAATTTTTAGCCTATTGTAATAATATCATGTTCTTGAATTTATTCATGATAAAATAAATTTTATTAGGTTAAAGAAATGAACACATTATCGGTTAGTTACAAATAACTTTTTGATTTGAATGTACAAGGCAAAAGATCGGTAGCTTTGTTGCCTATCTCTCTTGGCGCGTCTCTATTTTTCTTAGGATTACCCAACTTTATCCTTTGTATACGCAAATTTTTTATTGCTTTGTCAGATCAGACAGAGAGTGAAAGTTTTAATGTTTTATTGTAACTGATTTACGTTGGATTTTTTTTATTTGAATGAAAAAAAAAATTATCTTCTTATAAAAAATCGCATTCGTTTTCAAGATTTTAAAATGATAAATTGTTTTATGTAGTTTGAAAAAACCATTTAAAAACTTTTTTTAATTTTCATTATTTGTATCAACTTCAAATTAAACCTTTAAAAAAGTACTTATAATCATAAAAATTAAAAATAATAACAAAAAAATGATTAAGGAGGAGAAAAAACTTTTTTAAAACAAAGAGAGCTATGTTTCATCAAAATGAAGGACTAAATATCAATTTAAAAATTGTAAAATAAAAAATAAATGTAAATTTAATTTTTTCTAGAAACTTTCTTTCACAGACATGATACATCAATTCGTGATAAGTTATCTAATTCGATTTTATATATATTTTATTTCATTTTCGCAAAGTCTACAAAAATCTCTTTATACACTTATCAAAGTAAGAAAATAAGAAATCACATATTAAACAGAAATTATTATAGTAACGATCGATAAACATGAAGATTTATTGTTCTTCGATTTTGAGAGTTACAAGGGAATCGAAAATATCAGAAAATGTTTAAAATTATCCATGGGATAATACTTGCCTCAAAAAAGATTATAAGGCAAATGACCTTGAGTTTACAACATCTATTAAAATTAAATGTATAGATCGTAGTATTAATTTTTACAGTATGTAGATTTGTTGACTTATTTTTCTGGAAACTTAAATAATACCTTAATTTTTATAAATGGTTTTTTTTAATTACAACAATTTATGTTTTATCCAGTGTTTTCGTAGTGAATGATATAAATATTTTATATAAAACTGTCGCCTTAATGAGAAAGTAATTTTTCGAGAACAAATAAAATTCACTTGGTTCTTATATTATGTTGCCGCATGGTTTTTTTAATATTTTCATTGCAATTAAAAAGTAATTATCATATTCAACTGCAAGTACACTGTATTCATTTTGAATTAGTTTAATATTTAGTTCAGCTACAAAAATTTAGTCGATTCAGCTGTCCGTGGATTTATTGTTGACAATAGACAGTGTATGCAGTTTCTCCTTTGTAAAAAATATGCTGGATGAGTATAATGACCATTATCAATTTTGATAATTGGTAACTTACCAAAATTGAATAAGTCTTTGTGGTTTTTTTTTGGACATTTTATTTCACCCCTACAAACATTCCTCTTGACTCTTTCTCACGCATTTTGCAACTTTTCGTTTAAATTCTGAATAACTTTCCCTCCACTCTTTCTACAATTAAAAAAAATTTCGCATTAGTTAATTTATAAATAATCACTTATATTTTATTTTAATCTTCAAACAAACAAACTATGAAAGAATATTCACAACGAATAAAGCTACGTTAAATATTAAATTTTTGGAAAGATAATCTTCGTGTTAATGTATTAAAGATGAATTACAGTTTACATGAGTTATTGATTATGTAAAGATAAAGAATTTACAAAATGTTTATAAGACTTACGGCGGCATCAACGTTGGCAGGACTTTCATCATTAGGGTCAGCTAGCATACTAATGACACTAATGAGAATAGTTTCAACAGTGTGTACAGGCAACCATCGTTCTGATGCTTTTTCGTAGCCCCACTTATCATCTCCCGGTTCATGTAGAATTGATATACAAACATCACCATTTTTTTCAACTTGAACAGAAAAAACCAGAAAGTTGATATATTTCCAAGTTATGTAAAAATGGAAACAAGTAGTAGAATATCATTTTCTTAGTTATCAAATAAGATGATGAATATAATGCTTATAAATAATAAACGACAGTTTGATTCAGCATAAATAAAAATAAATGTCTGTACATGTGCTCGATTCGTTTAATGTTTGTGAAAAAAAACTTACAACCTGATGTTACAAAAGATATTTCTTAGTGGTTATTCAATTGCCATAACTGCAATTATTATTCTAAATCACAGTAATGATAGTTTTATTTGATTCTTTAACTGATTCAACCAAGTACAGAAGATAAAAATGTTTCATATTATATCATCTTTATTTTTTACAAAGAAATATTAATATTCAAATTTTTTCTAATATTTAATCGTAATAATTTGAATTAATTAATGATTTTTATCATTATTTAAAACTATTTTTGTCTTTTATTTGAATTGTATTTATAAGTTGTAAAAATTACTCGTTTCAATATCAACGATATGAAACTTTATCAAAAGAAAAAATAGACTATCTTGTATACATATATACCTCATTTTTTCAATAAAAAAAAAATACTTTGATACTTAAATTTATTTCTTATTTGTAAAAAAATTATTATATTAATTTATGTAATGAGGTTTATAATTAATGAACTTGATTGATTATTATATATTCATTAACTTTCATTTTTGCATTGTGTATACTAAATGGAATATTTGATTTTTATACTACTCACTGTTGGGATGCCATATTTCTGTTATGAATTTCATTCGAGGTGGCCTCAGTGGGTACTCTTTGGGGAATTGTAGGTGTGCTTTAAAAAAACCTCCTTCACTGAAAGTTTAACATCAGTTAGATGAATAATGTATTGCTAAAAATTTCAAAAATAAACTTACTATAATGTATCCGGAGGTCCAATAATGAGTACTTCCCATCTATAAATATCATTATCATCTATGAGCCCTGCTGAAAACCCTTCCACTGGGTTTTTATTTAATTCTAGAAAAAAATTTTATTTATATAATTTATTGATAAAAAATATCAAAAATGTTTTACAAATAAAAAGTTTTTGTAAACACATGTAAAAAAAAGTATCGGTGTAATCATATTGATTTGCGCATCCTCCTAAATTTTTGGTTTCTTCAATGTCATAATTATAAAGTCCTTTTATATATTTAGACTGATAACTGAACGTTATAAATAGACATATAATACAGCAAAATATTTACATTGCAAAATAATAGTTAATTGGAATCATAATGATTATTGAATAACCAAAAAAGTTTCTAACTGAGTCAAAACCGTTTTAGACTTAAAATGAATGTTTTTTCATAGAATTTTGATATTTATAAAATTCATAAGGATAAAAATAACATTAATTACCTGCTAATTGTTTTTTTAATAAAAGCGCGGACTGTGGTTCTGACATGAATAAAAATATTTTGCTTAAGTAGGATTTAAGTCTGAAAAATAATCACTTATATTTGATTGACTTGGAAAGATGGCTTAGATACGTTCACGACAGCACCAAATACGCAAACGCAAACTAATTGAACACATGTTTTTTCGTGTAGATGTCGCAGGTAAAATCACTGAACTAAAGGCTTATTTTCAATGACATCTTCACATTGCAAAATGAGTATCTGGCTTCAAGTGATTAAATTACCGCCTGACATATGACTGAAAATTATCGGAATTTACAATTCGTATTATAAAAGTTTTTTATTGGCAAAACAAAAATTATCTAAAAAATCATCGAATAATATAAATATATAAAAATTTCTTATTTTTTATTTTACATAATAGATTTTTTTACGTAAAAATATTTATTTTTATTAAAAATAAAATAAAGACTGAAAGCAAAAAAAAAGCATAAGAAAGTAAATTCTCTACTGATGTAAATAATGTCATACAGTAGTGCCATCGACTAAAAGTTTAATTATAAAACTAAAAACACAACTCGGACATATATTTTTGTTGGTATTACAGCCGTAAATTCAAATAAAAGGTGGTCATACGAAATAAACAATTGAAAATAAACTGTATTATCAGCAGTTATACCAGGATGTAATGCCATAGAACATTTGAATTATTCAAATTATTTGACACAGTAAACAGGAGAGCAGTTTTTTTATTTTAAATAACGAGAATACTAGGTATTAATTTGTAGTTATTTTCTGAGTCAACATCATAAATAAGAAAAATATTTGTTGGATTAGTAACAGTAGAACCAGAACAATGGATCTATCATAAATACAGATAAGTGAAAATGAGCCATATCATATTTATAATTTTTCATAAAAATTTTATAATTCTCCATAGAATATTTTTTAATTTTTAAATAATAGATCATAAAATATTATTACTTGATTTGTGTCATTCGACTCAACTCAATCCTTTACAATTTTCTTGCATGAAACATTATTAATCCATTTTTCCATATCACAATATATCACAGAGGAAATAAAATACTCGAAGAAAACAATAATATTACAAAGTTTATTAAAATAATATATCTACATTATATATGAACATTTATATTGGTTTTAACTTTGGAAAATTACATCAGAAATTATACATATATTTAGAAAAATATGTAGTAGGAATTTTCTAAAGATTATAAAAACTGCTTGCTAATATTTACATTCTTAAAGACTTTTGTAAAAAAAAAAAAAGAATATAATTGTTGTGGAATGTAAGAAGTTGTAAAAATTTGCTGTACATTCGATTTTGGCTAGAGATTTGTTCGTTAGCATAAAATAGTCATTAACTAAAAATGACAAAAAATATAATTATCATCGGAAATAATTCTAAAATATTGTATATGATTGATATATCAATAGATCAAGCTTATATATTTTTCCAAAATTAGATAATTTAAAAAAATCTCATTTTACTTTCATTATTGTTAAAAATACAAATGCATAAACTTATATATAGATTCTGCGCCGCGAGCCTGCTCATCGGCCAAAAATACTGCATGGTTTCAAAATATCTATTGAGATACAAAAAAACTTGTAAGTAATTTTATGATAATATACCATCTGTGTATTTTTTTTGTTAAACTCTATTTCCATCCTCTTGTACTCTGATTTTACCCCTGAGAGAATCTATAATCAATTGATATTTTGAGGATATAATATTTTAAGTCATAAAGTATTTAAGTAAAAATAAAAAAGTTTAAGGATCAAAAACTGTCCATATACTCATTTTCAGCATATTTCATCTTAAGTATAAATAATTAAAGCATATAATGAATAGTGATAAGTGAGGCTCTTAACAATGGATGACAATTACTTTTTTTACTGTAAAATATTCTTCAATTAAGTTCAAATTCGAAGTGACTAGTAATAATTCTGAACTCACTTCCATTCAATGGATCATTGTACTTCAGTATAAAAATGTTATACGAATCTTTTAAATATTTTTTCAACGCTTACGATTTTTAGAGTAAGCAAAAAATTCGTTTTTCAAAATCATTAATTGTCTAAACAATTTGATTAATTTAAGATATTAATGACGACGTCGTTGGTAATTATTCTTTTCTAATTCCCATACTGTACGACACTTTGTAGACGTTCGCCAGTTAGATAATTGAATACCAAGTCGTTGACATTCATGAACATATGCTACGAAAGATTGACAATAACAGTTGTTTGTTGGACATTCACACATGTCCTGAAGGCAAGCTTTATAGTACATTGCAGGGTTAACTTTTTTATGGCAAGAATCAAAAGTCATAGACCTCAGTCGATTGCACAACCTATGAAGTAAACAAATCATTTCTGTCATAATCTTTTGTAATAAACCAATCATGATAAATAATATAGTAGTTGATAGAAATTATTAGCATCTCATAGATAAAAGATAGAAGTTAAATGTTCATTTTTCTATTTAATAGATTCTCATCTAGTTTTATTCATTGTTTTAGCAAGAGATTTATGAAAGTAATATAATAAATCATACCTGTGGTTTTCTCTTCTTCTACAATGCTTTTGAACATGAACTCTCGATTTAGGACACTTTTTCTTTGATCCTACGGTCCAAGATTGACCGAAAAGATAAGGATCTTGTACTAGTCGACCTTTTCTAGTCATAAAGTCATCTTTAGTCAATGAATTAAAATTTCCACATAGCCCACATAGATGATTGCGATACAATGATGGCACTGATACTTCAATAAAACTAATACCATCCCATAAAATTTTAATTCCAATTTTTGTACTAACAAGTATACTATCAGCAGTGCGATTAACTTCTAGTTTATTTGGTAATTCAAAAGGAATATTTATTTTTTTTCCGTTTACTTTTATTTTCATTTTTTGACCGAGATTCACTTTTAAATCACCAATCTGTAAGAAAAATAGCATTCATGAGGTTGATCTTTTAATAGTGATTGGCATATATATAGTAAAAAAATAACTTGAAATTGTAGTAAGTAAGGCATTAAAAACTTTAAATGAAGATCATTTGAACAAATGCTAACCTTTAAAGCAATTGTTTTTGTCCATGCTGAAGATCTTGTTGATCTTGCGTCATTTGTAACTCTTATACTAAATGTATGGGTCAAACAATCGCTCACTAGTTGGTATTTACAAGAACCTTTAAAGCTAAAAAATTTGCCATCAAACGTCTTATAATGTGGATCACCAAATACAGTGCATACTCCATCACCTAAAAAGAAGTAATGTCATAATACAATTTATTACACAATTCAAAACAAAAATTTAATTGAAAGAATTAGAATTATAAGTGATACACTTACTTTCTACACATTTAGGACAACATTGACCTTCAGGATGTTCAAGTCTTGAATTTGGTGGACATGGAACACTCAGTGGTGAACACATTGGCATAGCACATCTTACTTTACCTTGCATGCAAGCGCATGCCTTGCAAGAGTCAAGTTTCCATGATTCGCCATCCTGCCTAGGAAAAATTGATACGTTTAAACAAAGTCGATCAAACTAATCAAAGATTAAATATAACAATTGAAATGATCTAAATAACTATATTATTAAAGAATACTCGCCAAGTAAGTTCGACCACCATAAGTGCACGATGCACGACTTTCTTCTACAACAGGACATTGAGGACAACATCGTCCCGGTAGAGTTACTTGATGTTCATTAGTACATTCTAATATTGGACAAGTTTCTTTGTAACATGATATTGTTGAATTTGTACATAAACATCGGGTACAGTGGTCAACGTAAAATGTACTTCCAGAATTATACACTGCTTGGCCAAGAATACAAGCACCTTTTGGAGGGAGCATATATCGCCCATTACCTGTTAATAATTAATTCAATTTATAAAATTACTGCAATCATGGACCATTTAATATAAAACAATGAATTATTATTCTGATGAAAACTAATAATAACCTGAACAATAAGGGCAGCATTCTCCAGGTTCATGAGCAATTCTTGAAACAGGACAATGTTGAACAGGGCAAGCTTTTTTGGTACAAGTAAGTCGATTATCTTTACATCGGCATGTAACACAAGGGTCTTCAGTAGTTTTAACTGATCGGTCCGATGTTACTCTTTGACCATTAACATAACAACCATGACAAGTTGGACAGCATTGCCCTGGCAATGGTGGGATTGGATTAGCACATGGTGTATAGCACTTAAGCTTTGATTCTGTAATTACACCTGCCTTGCAGGTGAGAATTCTACAAGGGTCATTATCATCAGTCCATTCAGTTCCGGATGCGTGATGAATTCCATCCTTTACACAGCCTAGAGAAGAAGAATTTATTCTAATTTGATTTTATAAAGTATATGATACTTTCTAGACCTCTCTAGTAAAATAATAATCATGATCAATTACAGAGATGATTAATGACGCTCTCATAAATCACAGTTAATTGTATAGAAAATAATAATTGTTACACTAATACTTTTTATAAAGATACTTCAGAAACATTTAAAATCCACTAACCTTTGCATCGATGACAACATTCATCAGTACTTCGGTCTAATATTGTATAGCATCCTTCAATGCTAGGGCATTGATGTTTGACGCATTCGACGAAACCATTCTAAAATTAATAAAATAGCTTTCAATCAACAGATATCTCATTAAAACTGTCTATGAGAAAAATTAATCTTTGATAAGATTTCTTTTTACCTTGCATATACAACTGAAACATCGTGTATTTGGTATTTTGTCAACAGTGAAGTCTTCCCCCTCAATTTCACATGTTTCACGGCTACCTGTTGACAAAAACACTTATCAATATTAAGAGCAATAATTATATGTACAGATATTAGATTAACAGATAATATAATAGACATCAGATATTAAATTACATACTATAAATTAGATTAACTCAATATCTTGATCTGATTAAATCAATTATTTTCTAACCAAATCTAACAATATCACCTTAATTTAATCAAATTAGTTTTTTATCACCAAGTAGTGATAAAACTAATTAGATTAATCTTAGCTCTTTATCAATAAAAGTATCAATGACTCTTCAAAATAAGGAGTTTCAGGTAATCGAGAGATCTTTTGAGTTGCACTTGAGATGCGGGAAGTTCAAAAAGAATATCTGCAACCACGCGTTAAGATTCCAAGTAAAGTTAGACTCGGAAGGGCTAGTTAAAGCCTCCGCTTTGTTCGGAGAAACGTCAGCCGGATCTGCGTTGGCTATTAGTTATCTTTTTATACTGATGATATGTTCAACAAGTTAAAATTGAATGTTACTGAGTATTTATAAGAAAACAGGAAGTGACTAAACCATCAGTGGATTTATGGAGGAGTTTTAGTTATAAGTTGTGCACCACTTGATAATTACTTGAAAGATGATTGTCACTGAAAATTACAAATCACTGACTGAGTGTCATAAGCACGAGAGAAAAACAGTTGATTATCACTGTGAAAAGATGAGAGCACTGAATCAATCTGAGGGTCACTGACTTTACCGTATTCGGTTGGAAGAACCAAAATGTTTGAAGATGAGTTAAACGGGAATACCAAGAATGATGAAACTTGATGCAGAAATAATGCTCAAGCATTTTCTTTTATTGATTTTTAATCATTTAATGATGTTATAAAAATGCTGTTATTACTTCATAAAAATGATTAATGTCGAAATTAATAGAACTTAACTTTTTTATTTATTTAATTGAATTAAAGTATAAATAAAACAAAAAATAATCTTGTTTGTAATTGAGGATAATTAATTTTTTTTATTTGCTCAAAATTCAGAGTAATTTGAATAAATAAAAAATTGATTAGGTCATTAATTATGAAAAAAAAGTTATGAATCATTAATCGAGCTAACACTTCTATTTGAAACGTTATAATTATTCTTTATTTATAATAACTTATATAATGTTAACTTACCAATGATGCTTTCTGAGATGCATTGACATTGTTGAATAATTAAAAGTAATTTAAATGTCAAAGTCATTAACACTACGATATAATATGTCGTATGATCCGGCATTTTGAACGTTTTCCTAATGTTCTGAAAACAATTCAAGATATTTTATTTATCTAAATTCTAACTTAAAATTTAATAAAATCAAACATGTAAATATACATTTTTTTAATCAAGTACAAATTCCACAGTAAAAATAGAACAGAATTCAATCAACAACAGTACAAAATCAAATAAACATTTAAATTTTCAATAAAACTCCAATCACATAAGTAGTGCTTATTTAATTATTTATATAAGTTTATCTATATTTTCATTGTTTATATAATAGTTATTATTAGCTATGTAAACAAGAAATAATTAAACATTGTATATATAAAAAAATACTTCTAAAATTAATTAACCCAAAGAAAGATCTGACAGTTTCTATTCAGTGTTCAAGTTTACATTAATTAAGTAAATGTTTTACATATATTATGCCAACGAGTTTGTTTTCTGATGTTGAACTATATTTGAATAATTTTTTGCATCTAGAATAACAACAGAAATGACTAAAAAAATAATTAGTATAATGTCTCTTTCCCCTTGGTTCATTACTCCGTTTCATGTTACTTCGAATCAGAGCATTTTTTTAATTTATCTTTTTCCCTATTAATTTATGTTTAGATTTAATTAAAAATATAAATTACACGTTTATTATAAAGTTCGTTATTTTAAATTCGATTAATTAGTTACCATGAATTAAATAGTTTATAGCTTTTTATAAAATTGTAAAGCCGTTGATAAGTATTAAATGTGTATTTTTCAGAGAATTTTCATTTTTTCTATTAAATATACTTTTTAAACTCTTTTCATTTATTATGTTATTATATTTTCACATGTTTTAGATTTTTAAGTATTCGAAAAATTGATTCTTTATCTATTATAAATTCCGAAAACTATGATTTAATATTTAATCAATGTTGAGTGGATTTTTTACACAATGTAAATGAATAAAATAAAAGGTATTTATAGACTCATAATACAATATCATTATGAGTTTCATGATTCATATTTAAATGACACTCCAATGACCACAATAAATTCATTAAAAAACCCAAACTTTTCTTCGTAATCATAATATAATAATGTATCTTTCGCTCTCTTTTTATGTAAATTATTCATATTAACATTTTTAAGTACTAGAAATTAGGTAGAAATTTGATGATGTTTTGAAATGAAGCTTCATTTCATACAACGTGTTACGAAAAATCAATAAAAGAAATCGATAAAAGCTTTTTTCTAATTGTTTACGTCATTATATTGAATAAAATTAATATTTTATCAAGAAAAAAATATAACAAATGAGAATTGAATTTTAGTTTTAATTTTAATTGATAAAAAAAAATATTAAAAAAGTTAATTCGAAATTTCTTGGAGCATTTATTGTTTAATAAATGTCAAGTGAATGTTTATTAATTAATTATTATTCTAGAGTGTTGTTGTGATACATTAATAAAGAATGTAATTTGAAAATAATTACTGTTTATCTTGTTTTCAATTAAAAGTTACTCGAGAAGTAACAATTACACTTGTATAATTTAGACACGACATAATTGAAACTAATTTAGTTTTTGTTGTTGCATAGTAGAGTACAAAAGATGCATACTAAAAATAATCCTGTCAATTGAATTGATCTCGATTCGTTTTTTATACTAATTATTTTATATAATGATATATTTCCAAATTTTATAGGTATATAAAAAGTCATATAAGCTATTGTTATCGTGATATATGTACTCATTGAGTTTTAAGCATAATTAAATTACTAGAAATCCTTGTAGACAAGACTCTATTCAATTAACTCAACTCATTGAAAAAGTTGCGTAATAAAAAAGTGTATAAACATTGATGAATTTAAAGAAACAAAATAATTGATAATTAACGTATGAATTATTAGAGTTGATTTTTTTTATTTTAATTTAGTCTTGTCAAATTCATTTAGTGATGTTAAAGAAGGAAGTAGAACATATGAAATGTGAACTAAGTCAACTGAACGAAGAGAAAGATAAATAATGCAGAGATGTTATACCATGCTTGTTAATTAATTAAAATAATAATTATTTAATTCAATACGTTGTTTAAAATATTGTTATTATTATTATTCTTTAATCTATGGCTCAAAAAAATATACAATAAGTTGTAAATTTGAATATGCACAAAGAGAAGAGAGATTTAAAAAAAAATTAACTTTTATTTTACAAACGAATTAGAAATTTTTTATACAAAAACCCACCAGCTTTTTTTTTATTCTCTAAATGAAGCTTTACAATTTTCGTTCTGCATGAATGAACTTTTTCTCTTTCAATTAAAAATTTTTCTCTCTTCCATTATTAATGAAAGTCAACAAGAAATGAAAATCAAACAAGAATATATAAAATTTTTGCTTTAAACTGAAATCAAATACTCCAAAAAATTTTTTAAAAAAAGTTAAAAATGATTATCGTCCAAAGCTTTACTTTAGTCCACGTGTTCAATGACAAGCCTTTGTTGACACACAAATTGAGGTGACGAAAACAAATAACTACAAACTCGCGAGAATTATTCAATTAATTATAAATTTATCTATGTATATTGTATACTTTCAAAGTTGCTTTTTCTTTGAGCTCTGATTCATACAAACTTGATTAACAATTAACTATTTTTTGCTATTCAATTAATAATTACATAACAACTTCAAATATTGATTACTAAGTAAAAAGAAAGTAAAAAAAAAACTTCAATCAGACCCATAATTCATATTTATCACTTGATTAACAGAATTGAGAGATGTAGAATCATAAATAATTCTCATAATAAAGATATTATTAAAAAGATAAATCTATTATAATACTATCAAAATTGAAAGTGTGTCGTTCAATAGAATGAAATAAAATTGCATTTCTTCGTATTAAAAACGAGACAGACATGAAATAATCTTATCAAAAAATGAAAGATTCGTAGTTTTTTATATAATATAATTAACATTTTTCATTATTGAATAAATACTACCTTATTTTTTCTCAAAACACGATCGTATTTGCAACGTTACTCTTGAAAAATAAATAAATACAGCAACTATTTATAAAGAATAGCAGTAAAGTTTAAAATAATAAACAAGGGAAATTAGATAAACACAAAACACTTGTAATTCACAACTCGTATGTATCAAATTGAAACAAAAATGAATGGTTAAATAATTAGCACAAAATCATAACAGAAAACAAACCAACTTTTTAATTGAATAATGAATAATTCAGTATGATAAAGTATCAGTAAAATGACCATAATAGTGTTATTACAAAATAATATTATAATGGACAATCATAGTTTATCAATAACTCGTCAACTGTTGTTTCTTGCAATCACAATATGTCTCATTTACTTATTCGTTGTCAGAAAGGTCATGTTAGATCACTAGAAGAGAGAAGAGAAATAGGAAAAGAAAGATAGAAATTATTTTATGTTACAATCATTGCCAGTTATGTGTGAGAAGGATAAGGTTGATAGTATATTCTAAAATTTACTACTAAATCATTATTTCCATTTTATTTTATTTATTTATTTTTCTTATTTTTTTAATTCAATAAAGGACACAATTATCAAGTTGATAATTTTCATAAATATTTGCACTATCTATGTAATGTATAGTGTTTATAATACGCTCAATTCTTTGTTGAGAATTGCAGCAGTTAAGAGGGAAAAACAAAGCTGGAGAGAAAAAAGGTCTAATATATTGTAGTGTTGATGTAATAGAAAAAGAATAATTATTATAACAAAATGCAATAGAATTTGTAAATATAAAGCATTGATATTCATTCAGAATTGTCATAAGCACGAAGAAATGAAGAAAAAAAACAAAGAATCATTTAAATAGACATAGTGAATGAAACAGAACGTTTAAAAAAATATACCTACAAATTAGTAAGTTATATTATGCACTTGTTTGAATTTTAGCGTAATATTTTCGGCCACGGTACACCGGATACCGGTGTACCAGCCGCACATATAATCCAAACTCACCACTAAGATGACTAACAATTTAAATATGTAAGCACAATTAATATTACATGAAAATAAAATTTTTAAAAATAATTATAATCACACTTAATTAGAGTATATGATTTTAACTACAACAAGTAATTGAATAAAAAATAATGAAACATTATATTACACAAAATAAAAATAACATTTAAGAGTATAGGTTTATTTGCGTTGAATACACGCCTCGACGCACCGAGTTCTTTTGTAACTGATACTATGCGAATGGGTAGAAGAGAAGATGAGGAGATGGTGGATAAATGGCAGCAATGGACAGCAAACTGAAGGAGACGGAAAAACAGCAGGAGAAGGAAAAAGGCAGAGAAGAGTGGGTCTACAAGTATATTGGAGACGAGGCTAAAGAGGGAGATGACTGTACAGGAGAGGGAGAAATTAAGTGACGGCAATCTTGTGTAAGCGTAGTAAAGGAGAAAGAAAAACAGAAGAGGAATAAATTTGTTGAATGAGATAGAGAATCAAATGATTCAAGTGAAAGATAAAGAAATAAAATATATGGAAATATCCAATGTTGACGAGAAAAGATATTAAGAAAAAGCATTACTAACTATTAATTATCATTAAATATTTGATCAATCATAACAATAATATTTGTTATGCATCATAACTGTGTCTTTCTCGTATGCACTTTTTAACTATTAACAATGATGTATTGGGAGAGAAAATGGCATAAGTTAACTATACCTTCCAACATTCTGAATGACTCTCTCAGATATGGAGTAACGTTTCAACAGATTTATTTACGAATTGAATTATCTGCAAGGAAATTTCCATCTGTCGGCAACTAAATGCACAATATGTGCATAAGCATGTATATATTTTCAATTGAAATTTCATTATTCATTATATATAGAGAAAGACAATAATAGTAGTGTTATATGATATGAATAGTTGTTAAATATATCCTGTTTATAATTCTACAACATAATAGCATCATCTTTATCATTATTAATATTTATAATTATGTCAACTCAAGAATTTGGTGTATTTGTTATGACAAAATCATCATTAATTGTTTGCTTTTATTTTTTTTTTTTTTCTTATTGTTATCCATGCAAAGATGCACATGCACTGGATTAGATTGGTTCTTTTTATTGCACCTTTACTAATGAAATTTTAATGTCTTTGTTAATAGAATAAAATGAATAACAATATTGATTTTCAATTGAAGAAAGTCCAAATGTTCGTTTATCATTGCGTAATGAGATTGATACAAAAATCGAACAGATTGAATAGTGTTAATGACTAGGCCATTAAAAGATATTCTTTTTAAACGATATGGTTTTGTTCTTAATATTTAAAGAAAAATGATAGTAATCGCTTGAATTTATTTAGATTGTAGAATTTTTAGGAAGGAATGATTTAGTGAACCTCATTAACTGATGTATAGGGGAATAATAACATAGATCAGCATATCAGAATTCTCAGAATGATGTTTATTTTTACTAGAAAAATTATGAGTAACACAAAATAGTCATTTCGAACACTTTTTATCTCATCTTTTAAAAATAATTTCTCTTCAAATAAACTTCCATGAAAGCTATTAATACAGTAACCAAATAATTAATTGAATCATTTAAAAGTGTTTATTATTTAATAAAAATATTGTTTTCAATTAGAAATCAATATAGAATAGACAAATCATTTTTTATGACACTTGTACTATTTTTTTGATAATAGTTATAACAGAACATAAAAAATAAAAAAAGAAAACAAACACATGTCTTAATGTCTTATATCTATGTTATAGATAGATTGCGTTCATAAATATTTAGAAGTCTAGCCAATTGTTCCCCTATTTTAATAATAAATCTTCTAACCCACAATATAATGACAGTTTGAGCTACCGAATTGTAGTTATAGAGCTAGGGGATTTAAACATAAACCAAAACAACATTGATTAATTTTTGTTATTGCTACAATAAAATCTGAAAAGAATAAACACATAATTATACTCTTATTCATTTTCGATTAAAATAAAAAGTCAAAATGATTCAATCTAGACTTCAACTATTCAATTAAAATTTCCAATAATTTTTCAATTAATTTTTCTTTTTTAAATTATTTATAAATTATTTGCATGTTTATATCAATGGAATCTGTTATCAATCATTGATAAAAAATCTTAATAATGCATTCATTCAGAAGTGGATCTCTATTTTTTGGAGTAAAAAATTCTTAATCATTATCAAATAGAAAAATAAAGTATTATAATGATTAGAGTAAAATCTAATACATATAATATCTGTGAACACATTTGACTTTCAACCTTAGCTTGAGTTTATCTCTGGTATTTTTTGTTTTTTGACTTAATTTATGTAACTGGACTAATGAACAGAATAGAATACATTAGTATGTGTGAATACAATCATCTTGTTTATTCACAATTAAATACTATTAAATCTCAATCAATATTTGTTTCCATTCATGCATTTAGTTAATTAAAGCTGTGACTATTCTAAACTTCCTAGTGTATAAATTAAAAGCACAGTTTTTGTAATTGCCGAATTGCTTTGATGTTGAATTAAAAGTATCCTCTTACAAGAAAGATTTAATTAGAGAGCTGCACTTACCTGAGGATTGTTAGGTGCGTTGATGAGGTAGTTAATGAACTGCAAGTGGACATTAAAATAGCCTAAGAGGTAGGAATACCTGGTAAGATACAAAAAAAGTTGAATAATAGAAGATGATACTCGTAAGTCGTCATTTGAACATTAGCCATTTTTTGAATAAAGCCATGAAAAAGAAATAGAAGACTCAGCTGTTGTTAAATTCATGAATTGTCGATAAGTCATTAATCCTCTACTAAAACTCTTGTTGACAAGAACTTAATGTCTTTCATGAGATCTTACCTCTAACAGACTTACAATGAGTTCATGGTTCCATGCTCTTTTGTGATTGAGTTTTAGGGATGTAAATTGCACATCAATCAGGTGGTATCTTCAGCTTATCTTACCTTCCACCACTTGACATTAGGGTTTCTTTTTTTTGATCCACATGTTCTTTTGATGGATTTTCTTTTTCATGTACTACCTGCATATTGATATCGAAGGTTTTTCCATATTTTTATCTGATTTTGGTGATGGGTTGAAAAGTCGACGTCATCTATAAATACTTTGATCCTCGTACTTCTTTGCTGTAGAATCTTTTATTCTCACACTAGAGTTGTAAGGTTTTTTATGACGTAGTAATTTTCTTAGCCTTCGATGTCTCTATCATTTTCACATACCATAAAAATATATGTCGTGGAAATAATCAAGTATAAAATTTTATGTCATCAATAAAATACGTTAAAGTTAAATATGTAGCAAGGGTTTATGTTTCTTCATGTACTTTTTATGTATTCGATAAAAAACATAGAATTTTCATTTTAGATAGACAAAAAAAGTAATAAATTGAAATAAAAGTTATCAGTTTGGTATATAAATAGATGAAAATGATTTCAGTTTTACCAGTAAATTGAACAAGCTGAATATTCAATGTCACTCTGAGTTGTTGAGCCTATTTTTATATAATATACTGTAGGATGAAAATGTAATTTTTGATTTAAATATTTATTATTTAACAAAAAAATGTTATAGTATTGATTATAGTTCAATAAATCACCAACGTAAAGTTGAAGGATGTAATTATTTATTTTATTTGAACTCTTTTCAAGAACTTTACATTATTTTTATTTATGATTTTTCAAACTTTTCGAGGGCAATTTTGCCCCAGATTATTCCATGTCTCTTCTTTTTATGTAATGAAATAATATCAATGATTAGAATTATTCATGGTTTTTATAATATATTGATTGATATTAAAGTGCATTTCTAGCCCAAAAATGTGACGTATTTTTTTTTTTTATCGTAGTAACTCTTAGTTTAAATTAAAGAAAATATCATTATTATCCACGTTAAAGACCTCCTCATCAATTTTTAAGACCTTGAAATATAAAAGAGAAATTATGTTTTAATCATCGAATTTTGTAACAATTTTTATCATTCCGATGAATGGAAATAGAATTACAATACTTTTTAATCATCAATGAAATTAACAGCTTCAGCGCAATGTAATTTTTAGTTATAGCGACAGATATTATTAATATTGAGCTTTAATTATTCAGTGGACAATAAATAATATTTTTCCAAATAGATAAATTGAGAATTAAAAATTCAATTTAGAAACTATTCAAATTATTATCAAGCTTTTTCTTCGAAATCTTTACTGTCACTCTAGATAGTATTTAGGAGTATAATAGCTGTATCACAATTTATTTTGTTACCACTTATTAAGTTATCAGAAGTAAAAAAGTTACATGATTTTTAATTTATTGAAATGCAGTATAATGTCAATAAGTTTAAAAAATACTGCCTTATTGCAATAAACATTAAACGATATCTAATTATACGAGTCGAAAATTTTCTTTTGCTTCAATATTTTTCGATTGTTCTCATTTACGGCTATAGCCTTAATTTCTCTAAGTATAAAACCGATATTTTCTCACGGTTTTACTTTTTTATGAACCAAATTAAGGCTAATTGAACAAAAATTATAGAAACTTAATAATCAATTCAGTGATTAATTAATAGTAAAATTATAAAAGTTATTAAAGAAAATAATTAAAGTAATTTGAATATAAAAGTAGAAAAAAAAATCCTAAGAGTATTATTAATAAATAATTTTATTAACATCAAAGCATTGTCGAGTATCATCAACGTCAAAGGAAAAAGAAAATTTCGGCTCGAATATTTCTACATAATATAAATTTCGCTTACTCTATACACACCATAAATAGATGAAAATAGTTTTCGCTACGATGAAAGTAAATTAATTATGATAATTATTTATATTGTTCACAGTCTTTAGAATAATTTTTACATTTATTTTTGGAAGACGGGTTCCGAGTAAATATAGAAGGTATATACAGCTAAAGTTTAAGGATTATGAAAAAGGATTGATAAAAAAAAAAAAAAAAATTTTATAATTGTGTTGATCCGACAAGAAGAGTTTATTTTACATTATTAGAAAAAATAATTGCTTTAAATATAGTAATAAGTTATTATCTTGATGAGTGTTCAAGATGATAGATTATAAACATTAAAGTAACTGCATTTTTTGCATTTATAACATGAATTAATCTATAATTTTTTTTTTTTTTTATAAAAATAAACGGTCTTATTGCAAATCAATAAAAATAATAATACAACTGGTAATTCATATTTTTGACATATTTTGGCATTTCTGACTCCATATTTCAGAGCCGTTAGAATCGATGAGGAGATACCCTGTAGTGAATGATTAGTTTTCATTTATTTTTTGTTTTAATATACTTTTCATAACTACAGCACTGGAGGATTGAAATATTATAATATAGAAAAATTGAGCTAATTAAAAAATAGACCATGTCGAAAATTTTTCAGGACAATAAGAAATTTATGCATATATTATTGAAACATTTCAAAAATGTTGAATTTAGTACTTTCCGCAGTTTTCTAACAGTGGTTTCTATTTGAAGTTAACAAATTTACTTTTAACGTTTTTTTGTGATTTTTTTTTTTTATTTTCAAAATCGGTTTTCGATTACGCGTAGAAACTAACTCTTAAAATTATTTCAGTATTGTTATTATTCAGAATTTTGATGATTTGATATTTTTCTCTCTTCTACTCTGACAGCATAATAACAACAGAGTCGAACTACAGAAGTCCACATTCCGTGTTGACAAAATTTGATATATTTTTGTTTTAAATATATTTTTATATATTTATATATATAATTTTATATACATTAACATGCATTCAAAACTATATATCAAAAAGGAATGAATTTTTCAAGTATTGTTTTCACAGGCCTCATGGTCTGTAATCTAACTCGAAAAGTTATCTTACTTTAACAATTAATATCAACAAAAAGATTTTTAAAATTTTCTTTTTATAAGAAGTCCTGTCGAGCAACAGATATTGATTATTTTCTTACATGTAGATATGCTCGATTTATGAAAAAATGCAAGAGAAATTCTAAAGGAAAATGGATGTATCGGATATATTATATTGTGTCAATCCATCTTTATGTTGAATTGGTATGCTGTAGAAAAAGAAGTTATTTTTCTGAAAAAAATTAATAAATAAAATCCAATTTTACTGATATGTCTTGAAAATCGATCTCAATAATAATAATAAACAATTAAAATTAAATAATAATTAGTTAAATAACATTTTGAAACTTTTTCTTTATTCTTGATCTAGATAAATAAATTCTGTTCATGAGTTGAACTTTCTTAATATAATAGTTGATCGTTGACGTATGAAAATTGTCTAAGCAAGTATAGATGCTGATGGATCAACACGATTAAATCTATTACGAAATATGTAACTTGATGTATAGAGTTTTAAGTAAGTTAACTTTTCATAAATTTATATCAAGTTATTAATGACGTTATAATCACAGTGAAGAACTGATTGTTTCATCGTAACGTAAAATTTAATTATTTATTTAATCAGCACTTTATATTCATTGAAATAAAAGAGTTCGAGAGATGTTACTCTTGGATAAGAAATGCGTATAGAGAATCTTATATTTTATATATAAATATTATTTTTCATTTAAATATACTCAGGAAATTGTTCATCCTAAATCATGAAAGAGATAATACTAAAATACATCGGATGATTTAGGTGAAAGGAGATGATTATCCATTTATGAAGAATTAGGAAAATTTGAGATGGGAGTTTGAGTGTTTTGTATAGAAGATGGGAGAAGCGACAAAATTATTATCTGAAATGATTTTTAAATACATCATGTTTAAATGTGTACAATATATTCAGGATTTAAGTAAGAAAATCCCATAAATTCTGTTTGATCCAAATTCATCATGAAAAGTTTATCTGTGGGTGTGAGGTCTGTCTTTTCAGATGTAAATTGCTTATCAAAATTGCTCACATCCTTTCTGTGTTTCTGTAAATGAAAAAAAAAAATTTTATGTATATGTGTGGAAAGAAAAATATTCACCAATAGTAAATACATGATATAAAAATAAGATGTTTGAAAAGATAAGTGGTGAGAAAAATTCTGATTTTAAAAAAATCCAATAGTTAGAACAAATATTAATGGACTTACAATTTTCGGCTTGAATGGTGGTTGAACTTCACGATTTTCAATCTTCTCCCAGTCAATACGACGGAAAAATGCATGTCCTCTCACGTCTTCTTCACCTCGGAATCCACAGCCTAATCTCTTGCTTGGATTCTTAGTCAAAAACTACAAAAAAAGTTATGCAATTTTTTATTGACTACAATAAATTTTTATTATCATTAAAAAATATCGCAAGTGTGTAGGTTGTGGGCATCATAATAAAGTAAATTATATGATTACGAAAAAGGTGACTGACAATAATTCTTCGCTAATATAATTTATTCAGTCGTAAAAAAATCAGCAGAAATCGAATTGCAATTTAGCAAGGTAAGAAAGTAGGTGGAGCCCGACTTCTAGACAATTACCATATACTTTTATGACATCATTATATTAAGTTATTTTACCCCTTTGCAAGCTTCTTTAGCTTCCTTTGATAAGCTTTTAGGATAATTAACACTATGATCAGTAATAGCAGCAAATAGTTCTTCTTCGTCTTCACCATCAAACGGTGGTTGCCCCACAAGCATTTCATATAAGAGAACTCCATATGCCCACCAATCGACTGATTTTCCATATGGTTGATAAAGAATAATCTATTCAATAAAAAAAAAAACATTTTATTTACGAGAATCTAATTTATTGTGATTAAATAGAGCACCACTTGGCAAATCACTTACTTCAGGCGCTATATAATCAGGCGTTCCACAGAAGGTTTTAGTTGTTCTATCACCAGTAATACCTTCTTTACACATTCCAAAATCGGCAATCTTGATGTGACCATCTTGATCAAGTAGAACGTTATCTAATTTTAAATCTCGGTAAACAATACCACGAGAATGTAAGAAAAATAAACCAATAGCGATTTCAGATGCATAAAATCTATAAATAAAATTAATAACAATCGTAAATTGGTGATCAACAAAGATTTAATATCCAAAGAATATTAATCAATAATAATTTAACTTACACTGCAACAGGTTCTTTAAATTTGCCACACTGTTGAATTTGGAACATCAAATCTCCACCATTAACGTATTCCATAACAAAGTAAAGTCGATCCTAATTTGATATAAAGTCAAAAAGTAATAAAATGGGTGTAAGATAATAAATAAAAGTCTACCAGTAATTATAAAAATTTTTACCATAGTCTGAAAACAAGAATGAAGTTGAACAAGAAACGGTGGTTTATGTGACAATGCAAGAACCCGTTTCTCCACCATCGTACATTCAACATCATCATCTTGAATAATAATATCTTTCTTTAATATTTTTATTGCATAAAGTTCATCAGTTCCTTTCCGTTCTGCTAATAATACTTTTCCGAAGCTTCCTTTACCAAGCACCATTAAGAAGTTGAAATCAGATGCTCTTATTAAGTCACTCTTACCCATATTATGTGGTAGTTCTCTATCTTGTGGCGTATTAGGTTTCTTTGTTACCGAAGTCTTCTGTAAGCAGTTGATTATGTAGCTAAATCATTTCAAATCTTCAAAGTTTTACTAATAATATCTAGATCTTCGATAATAAATACCCTCATTTTACTCTTGAGCTCAGCTAAATCTACACCTTCTTCAGGTACTGGAACATTATAAAAGTCTCCCTCTTCTTGTGTAAGGAGTTTAAACCAACCATCTGCCGGAGCTTTTATCAGTTCTGAGATTCCAAAAGACAAAGATCCCATAAAATCGTTTCTTGACGTACGATCCCAATCCCACACTTCAATGAGCAGCCGCCGATCCTTATCTTCAGGTTTTAGATCACTTAAAAAAAAAGAAAAAAAAATCATTAATTTATCACTGCTTTAAAGATCTCATTTTTGAAATTAATCTTTTAATCAACCTTAAAAACTTCTTTTATTTAAATTATCTTATGCTAAGGATAAATTTCGGCAATCATATTTTTAGTTCTTAGTGTCAAAGTGTATTCATTACTACCATGAATCACTTCATCAAAAACTTCACTGATTTAGTTTGAGTTTGTTAGGTGATACGGTCTTCCCTATTATCTCTTCAAATAAGAACAATTTCAATATTAGGGCGCAAGTAAACTAGCAAATACCGTCTCTTGTTGACTTGGCTAAGTTTTACTATATATTGACAGTCATCTTGGAGCTTTGTTGTCAAAATTCCCTCTAGCAATATCTCTCTTTGATATAAGACACTGGTGTTAGCTTTAACTCTTCCGAATGTTTCAAAATTCTCTTTGTGCTCATGACGTGATAGTAATATTGATACTACACACTATCAAATATGCTAGACTAATATAAGTGGAGTTAAGAATACTGAAATGAAGCATTCCCTGTTCGGCTTTCATTAAAAATTCATTGTAGAAGTTTGTTCGAAATTATTTACTATGATGCACCTTGGATCTTTTGGAAGTTTATCTTAACATTTTGCTCATCAGACAAGTAAATAAATTTTAATAAATTTGCGACATTTTAAAGAAGTTATACATTTTCTACATTTAGGGTATTTCCCGTAACATAATTAGCAAAGTTGATTAATTTATTTTTAATTATTTTCATACTTACAAAGTGATTGTCTCATTCCATTCTGGATTTAAAGATGCCTTTATGGTTTTGGTTTTTTTTTTGACTCCATCAGTATCCGGAATTAGTTTTAGTTTTACATAAGGATCTGACAATCCGTTGGGATCCATAGGAATAAGGTTTCTACCTTGTTTAACTGGAATAAAAAAAAAAAATTCATGGTACTTAAAATTATATTAATATTGTTGTCAAAACAATTTTCCCTATGTTAAAATAAAGACAATCGATACTTTTTATTTTCGAAATGTTGTTGGTGATGATATTAAATAATTATGAAGAATATATGGCGCAGAAGGCAGCCTGATGAATTCTAACCCAAGCAAAAATCTGATACTGCAGAAGAACCTTTAGAGCCTTTATGCAGCATGAAAAGTGAGGGTTTTAAATCAAATTGAACTGGCAGAGGTTAATAGAAGTTTTTAAATAGTTCTTTAAAATGAGAAGTAGATCAACTAGTTATTCCAAAACTCTTCATGATACTCATCCATCAAGAAAACAAATTGTCAGCTACTTTCTTCGAAGATTTTTTCTGATCTATTTAAACCACTTTAGTTCTTCATTCTTCAGTAGATGAAGGTTTTACTCAGTCTGTACTTTAAGTATTCAAGTGAACTTGCCTTTTTACATAAATGCGACATGAATTTTTTATAAACATATCATTAGCTAATTGGATCAAACTTTGAAATTTATATACTCTTTTTCTCTCAAGTTTTTATTGTACAAGATACATCATTAATTTCCTTGATGTTCGTTGTAAAGTTTACAACATTTATTTTCTTCTTTTACTTTTCCTTCTTTGATAAAACAGCTATCAGACTTGAACTACCACTTCCACTTCTGTTGTTGCCACCAACAAGTTAGGTTTTAGGTATTATTTATTGTACAATTATTAAAACAATGCAGCAATATTAATCATAAAATTGAGTGAATTATGAAAATGAAATCAAATGAAATTCATTATCAGATTTTCATTATTGAGTTTTGAATGATTGAACATCTTCTAATGGTATACCATCAATGAATAAATGTGAATGAATGTTTTGATGCAATCCATGATTGGTGCGTGTGAAGATAAAAAATTTTAGTTTCTTAAATTGATTAAAAAATGTAATACCTTCTACAGTGAGCTTGTTTCCACTAACACTTATGTTGAGAGAAATACGACCACGTCTCTCCGTATGATCGCATCCACAAAGATTAGGTACACTTTCTTCACATCTTTTGTGGACATTCATGTCACATGCTATATATTAATAATAACAAATTCATTATTAATATGATTAATATACTTCACATCAATATCATTATGTCTGTAAGAATTCATTTTTCTTACCATTTAAACGACAAAAATATAAACTCAATAGTGTCATCTGGTTTATTCAATAAACATCACTAATTTTACAAACCAATAAAAATAAAGTTGGTAGATAATAATTCTGAATTATGTATTGCATAAAACTGATAATGGTTTTTTTAACGATATTTTTGGTTTGGTTTCAATAAACTTAAATCATTTTTTCATACTAATTACAAATTATAAGACCAAAAGAATATAGACTACGAGTGAACTATGACAAGTAGCATTAGAGGTAATGGATTATAATTTCGGGGATAAATAAATGGAAAAAAGGTTACAAAGATAGGAAACAAAAATCAGAGAATGATAATATTTTTAAATGAAAAAATACTTTTTAACTATATTAGATAGATAATTGATATTTATATATAAAAATAATATGTATATATAATTGTACTTTTAATTACATATTTTATAAATTAATATAAAATATATAATTACCATTTACGTACATGCATAATGAATGTTTGTATGCATTTGATTAAATCTAGACTAAATGAATGGCAGTAAATCTACTCTATTATTAAAATCTACACATATAATAATAAACAATGTTACTTAATTTCTCATTCATTTCATTTTTACATTTTTTTTTTAAAACAATTATTCAATTATAACGGATTGTCGAATGCACTATAAGTTTCGGTTTAGATCCAGGAAATGATGTAATATAATACAACAGAAGTGAGTTGAGAGTATTGATAATAAAAAATTAGTGCAAGAAGAATAAGACTCACACAGTTCAGACAAGTATAAATCTATACTGATAATTATGTTATTAATAGTTTTATCTTTAGGCCCCATGCACTGTTGGATATTTATTTAGAAGGAATAAATTTGAAAAAGTAAGAATTTTTAAGATAATCATTGAATTAAAAGGAGCAGATTTTTATTTGAATGACATTCAAACCAATGAATGTAGTTATATTAATATGTTGCCCAAAATTGCATGCAATTTGAGTAATTAACTGATTGATTTCGGCAATATACATGTAATTTGTTGAATGTACATCTTAGTACGAATAATAGGGTTATTTTAAGAAATGCCTAATGATTCTACCTACTTAAGATTAGTTGAACGAATATTTGTCAGACTATGACATGAATTCTTAAGTAGTGCTGCTAGTAATGAATCAAAGAATTCGGCTATTAAGTGATAAATATCGAATCGGATGGAATTAAGTTGATAATTGAAATAAGGTTTTATTTTGAACAATTCAATGATTTTTGTTAGTTAATTAATTAATTAATTTTTTTTTTGGTTTTCGTTGTAATCACAATATTCTTGACTTTGTAATTTTAACTACCTGAACATTTGAGTCCCTGATGCGCGATACCATGAAGCATTGAGCCGCAGTGGTCACAGAAGGTTGGCGTCAAGTATGTGAAATTTTCCCACTTGTGTGGCATTTTTGCGGCCTGAGAACATAAAGTCATCGGGCCCAGGAAAGGCCAGTTTTGGATGTTTCTTTGTACTTTTTCACAGGAAAAGCAACATTTACACGGCTCAAACAATATAAATTTGAAAAACTTTAATTCCTTTGTCTGTAGAATAATTATTATCAAAATAATCCCTACAGTATTTTCCTTTCTCTTAATAAGGCAACCTTTTGTTATATATTTGTTTAAACTCTATTTAGTTGTCTAAGGATAAAATACTTTACATATGTACATTTAGTTAATACACACATTTCTTTGACCAGAAAAAAAAAACATTTAAACCACACATGTATACATATTTTATTTTTTGCTTCAAAATTGGCATTTTGTGTACAGAAAAATACATAGAAAATGACAAGCTTGCAGCAAAAAAATGATACATGTAGGTAATTAGTCTACAATTGTGGAGAAAAATGGTCTGACATCTGAACGACACTCATCTGATGATTAACATGGGTTTTCAGCAATTTGATTGACGACTGAAAAATGTCTCTTATGATCCACCATGTAGTTTAGAGGAATCTATTTTCAATTAATAGCTCCAGAACAAATGATACAGTTTTAATAAAAATGGGTGATAATCAAAGAGATAATATAAAGCAATGAAGAATATCAGTTATTCATACCAAAAAGCTTTTTTAGTATTATATAAGCTCTGGAATTGAACATCAAAGTGAAAAGTGATCATTGAAGATGATTACATGACAAAAGCACTTCAAAATGTGCTACGAAAATGGCAAAAATATCATTATCTGATGATTTTGAGGAACTCTTACTGAATAGATTTTTGTGTTTTAAGAGTCTCTCGAAAAAAACCAAATTGTTTAGCTTCACTAGCTATAGAAGTATATTTTATTAGTGAATTGAGTCAACTATTGTGACATAAAAGTGTCCTGTATTGAAGAAAAAAAAAGAAGTCTCTTTCATTCCGAGATACTTTGAAGATATAGAGTGAAGATTTCTTTCCACCAGGAAAGATGATACTCATTATATTCGTGATGAAAACGCTGAACTTACAACTTTCAAAGATAATGCTGGTCTTTGGAGACCAAAGAGGTACTTAGTTGATAATCCCTTTACAAATCCCAACGTATAGTTGTCAGAAACTGCTTTACGAACTTGTTAGATTGCTTTTACCCAGGATAATAAAGGTATTTTTGTTACTTATAGATTCTTCTGATAATTATCTAGGTGTGAATAATGGTGCAAAAATGGAGTAGATTTATCAAGTACTGATATGATAAACATATTAAACGATTCCTATCCACCACACAGATTATAAAATAATAAAATGTTGCTTTTTATCAGTGACCTTGCATCACATAAAAAATAGGAAAAAGTTTTTATCTATTAATCTTGGAAAAATTAAGAAGAAAATTAATCTATAAAAGCTGGAAAACACATGATTTATAAATCTTTGAGCTATTAATTACAGCTTTTAATAAGCTATTTTTATTAAGCTAGAAACAATTTATTTTGATTAACTTTGATAAATAATAATGCTTGTCTTCGTTACCAAGACTAATAATTCCTATTATAAATATTTATAAATCTTTTGAAAAAGAATCTAATCTATTGGAGTACGTACTAATTAAGTTGAATAAATAATTTAAATACATTAAAAATGTAGAATATAATTTTAAAGTTATTTATGCAAACCTAATTTAATGATTAATTATTTTATATATATTTTAAGAAAATTTTTGTAAATCAATTTTTTCTATCTGAGGGGTTTATTAAATTTTTAAGTTAAATTTATATTCATTTACTTATGATTTATTAAATATAGTATTCAGTGCACGAAAGAATAAATGTGCGTGGCCGCACGTATTTTGTGCTTAGATTGTACATTCAATAGAATAGTAGATAGATATTAGTTAAATTAAATATTATGAGTTATAAAAAATTTACATTATTATGTTAAAGAACACTTTCAGAAAACATGGGAAAAATAGATTAGTAGAGACAGAAGTCAATAATCAAAAAATAAATGCACACTATATGTCATATTAACTCACACACATTTTATTTAGGTGTTAGGACATCATTAAAAGGAAATACCTAATTCATAGACTAATTATTATTTTTTCTCATTAATAACTTCATTATTATGATCATAAGAAAAGGTTTTAGCTGCTTAATTATAAATAAAATGTGACAAATGACTTAATTGTTGTATATAAAAATATATTTTTATCGAGCAAAAAGATCAAAGACTATTTGATAGATTGATGTCGAGAAAAATTAATCAAGCTCGTTTTACTTTGTCATTTATCAAAAGAAATAAAAAGAGTGAACAGCCTGAAGACATAGAGGGAAATTAAAAGGAAAATTGTGAGTTCATAAATCTAAAAACCTTCAAAGGAAAAATATTGAAAAAAATGTGTATATAAAGGATTGAAATTCTTGAATGAAAATAAATAGATTTTAGTTAGGGTAGAATTTCAGCAACTCATTCAATCTGATACAAATGATTTTTGCTAGAATGAATTGTTATAATTCTTTAGAAAGTCTAGAATAAAGTTTTTACTATTAATTCTAGAATGTCAATTTTATGAATCTGTTAAGTTAATTTCATTCATCAAGATGACGAATGAACAGGCAACATTCAGGTGGAGATCATCTACGTCAGAATCAATTCGTTAACTATTCGATCTTCCAACACGAATAAGACATGAAAAAAAAATTAGTTTCCTGGCAAGTGTGATTAGAAGGACGAGGGGAAACAAATGATTAATAAGTTGAGATATGATTGGCCTGGAAAATATTAAAAAAGGGGAAGTTAATCGGAAATAAATATAATATTTGAAGCAGCCTTGAATGTAAAATCTTTTTCTCTAAATTACTTCATCTTTATCATAATTTTAGCTCCATTAATTGACTATGAATTGGTATATTAAAATTTATTTAAATCATCAGGATTCTTCTTTGATTAAAAAATATTTGTGTGAGTATGTATGAATATATTAATGCATTTTACACACACTATACAAACATGTCATATACATGAACGTAACACTTGGCGAGAAATTATTTACATTAGGTCCAGACATGATTATTAAAATTTCATTCATTAACTCATCGAACTTGATGGTCCAAATGTCATGAACATGAATGCCAACCATAATAAATATGACAATATATTCTGTTTGTTATCGATAAATATTACAAGTGTTTGACACCCAATGATGTTAAATGTATTGTCAACTACTTATATATAAATGTTAATGATTAGACTTATAATTGATAAAAAGTCAGACCTAAATTAAACATTCCTCACTCACAATATTTCGAAGATTTTCCGTGAAAACGTGTCATAATTATTGCTAAATAATCTTAATAACCAGTATTTTCATGGGCATTTTATCTGAATGATCTCTAGCGGGCTTCAATCTTAACGATTATTGAAAGGTTGAGAGTGCATCGAATGTACAACTCTTCGTGTGAAATCTCATTGTGTGTTCATTACATTTATCAAGCATGATCATATGTCTATCTTGGTCAATTAATAGAGCAGCTATTGGACAGCTGATCATTGAAGATCATTGAAGAAATTAGTCCAAAAGAAATTAAATTCACCGTGAATTTAAGTGTTGTATTGAAAGTGAATGAACACATTAATTCCATCTCTAACTTTTCATTAATTAGAAATAAAAGGTTGAAGAAACGTTGGATAAATCCTGAAAATGAATAAAAGATGTTAAAGGAATTGGACTAACCATGTTAAGTCACTAGAAAAGTGATTGGAAATGACCATTAATTGGATATTCAATAGCTACATAGCTTGAGCCCGCTAGAGATATATTAAATTTCCAATTTTTTTCCTGAAAACAATGTATTTAAAAGCAATTCTAAATTACATGAAACCGAAAATTCTACTTTTAATGATGTTCATATGATCTATGAATATAATACTATTTATTTAGTCACATAATCTCTAGCATAGCAGTATTTGCTGATACGCCACTTTGTCTATGTATTTCCACGGAAAAATCGCCGAATTAGATAAGTTAGATGTACATATTTACACAAAAGTATTAAATGTTTGATTTAAAAGCAGTCATTTTTACAAAAGAAGTAGCAGTTGAGTTATCATTGTTGTAGATATTTAGTGAAAGAGGAAAAAATACAAAAAGCAACATTATGTCAACTCAAATGTATTAGATTGTCCAGATACTGTGGTGTGAAACCAATACCTTGGCATTTCATGCCCTGATGAATGACACCATACAGAAGACTACCGCAGTGATCACAGAAGGTAGGGCTGTTGTAGGTGTGGTCTTTGAATTGATGCTTAGTCCGTGTATCCTGAATTAGGTCATCATTACACCATGCACGCAAGTAAAGAATTGGGGATATTATCAGTTATCGGGAAAATTCAGATGTACAGCAGTTTATATATTTTATATAAATAATAAACATATCCATGTGTATATATGCTGCTGTACACAATTACATACATTTATTCAGATTAGTTTTCAGTGATGCACACTATCGTTTAAAATTGAAAGATGATGAGAATAATTTTTGAATTTGGCCCATTTTTCAGCAACTGTATGTTCAAAGATGATTATTTCATTGATGATACTCATTCCATGTTCTTTCATTTATTTTGTAACTTAATTTCCTTTTAATGATTGTTGTTTGATAATTTGAGAATCTAACAATAATTATTCAACTTTTAAAAAAATTTCACTCATGATCTATTTGAGTTGAAGGGTGTATATTTTCGGCAACTTATAAGAGAAAGGCATTTGACTTTACTTCAAAGGAATACACGGAGAAAAATGTAAAGCATGAACAACCAGAATTCTCGTAATAATTATGAAATAATAATTAATAAATAAATACAATTTACTTTACTTTTCTAGTGAAAACATTTTTTGAAACAATATTATTGGAAAATGTAAATTCCATTACATTATCATTCAATTTTAATTTATGTCATTCAAAATTATACATTAATGTATTCCTCAATTTCTTATTGTAATATTCATTAGCGATAGAATAATTATGACGCAAGAATAATGTTACTTTTATTTAAATAATATTGAAAAATTTCTGATACAATCTGAAATAAAATATTTTCATCGATTTATATAGCTCATTTAATGATAATTGTACCTTTCTTATGACTATTTTATGCAATTTAAATTGAATTCTTTGTCCCAACCAATTTTTCCTACTCGGGGATTCGAATCTACGACCTCTCGCACACATACGACTTAAACCTACTCTTTATACACTGAAAATCCAAGTGCATTGTTATTACACATCTAAACGTATTAAATATGACGTCACCTATTTGATTAACATAGTAGTCACTTTCAATGCGTTTTGAAATGTGTAAAAAGTGACTACAATGTTAATCAAATGGGTGACGTCATATTTAACACGCCTAGATGTGTAACAACAATACACTTGGATTTACAGTGTAACCTGTTTAGCTATTCTAATACCTCTTCTATAAACAAGAATATTGAAATGAGGAAAGAAAAGACAACGATCAAATTAATTTATCGGCACACGGCTTATACTCTACGACAAGTGATGTCCATTTTCCAATATTCAGAAATATATACACCAATAATAAATTCTTAGATCTAAATATGAGACAAAACAAATTCCTTTAGTGTAAACTGTTAAGTTTAATTTTAATCCACTAAAGTGATAAACACCAGAATATTTTTCTGTTATTTGTAAGGATTTTATAACTTTACAATAATATCAATAATCCTTTGAAGTAAAATCAATATCATCATTTTTATTCACTAAGAAAATTATTACGAGTCTTAATATTTTTCTCCGTGTGGCTTCTAAAATTTATTATTTTAGGAAAACATTTTTGAACTATTAAGAAAGGTTTATATTTACTTGTAAACTTGGGAAGTTTTTTTCGGTGAAAATACAGCTACTTGAAATTTAATTCCGAAATTTTTCTTATGATCTCTAAATTTTAAACTATAGTGTATCATAGTATATTCAATGAAGTCTACATTACACTTTGTAATAATTTAAAAATCAATTTTTTTTACTTCATCTAACTGCAGAGTCATTGATTTGACAGTATTCGAGCGTGATAATCTTCGTTAAAACAGCGACAAAGTATAAAAAAATTGATGATAGCTCAAGATATATTATTAGTTCATGAAGAACTAGATTAGATGTGCTTAATGCATTTTTTACACAAAAAATAAAATAGAAAAAGAATGAATATTTAATTATTCATCCACGATCTTACTAAGTCATCTATCAGAATTTTAATGAAAATAATTGCCTGCCTTTTTCTTTAATAAAAAAAAAATGGGTCGCAATATTTTATTTATTTCCCAGTTTCATAAGCTGTACTTTTTTACACATATAGTGAATATTTTAACATAAATTTCTCCCATTAGAAATAATTTATGCACTTCAAAGTTCAAGAAATAAGAAGTCAATAAGAGAAAAGCGTTTGTATCATTGACAATTTAGCAGAAAATTTTTTTTAAAACAGTTTAAAAGCACACCTATCTTTTTCAACAAGAACCGAAAATGTAGAGATAATTAAATAATATCTGAAAATCAGAAATCAGTATAGATTTTTTAGAAACTTGAATTCCATTATTTTTTAAAAGAAATTTCATCATTGCAGCAATAGTTGAAAATAAACATGTAATCCTGGTCTTAATATAATAGTTATTATTATTTCATTAATAAATTATTTTTATAATCATTCATTAGTTGCATTCCCATCAGTAATTAATATGATACTTCTTATTATGAAGTATGTATTTAATATTTAGATTACAATCTTAAATAAAATAACAGTAGATTATTATTCAGTCAAGTTCTCGTGGTAAAACTAAAATTGATTAAAATGCTATCCCAACTTTTCATCACCTTGTTAAACAATTCAAGCAATGAGATCAAAGCAAAAAGTTATTCAGAATATTAAAAGAAAAAAAAAAACATGACACCAAGAAGAAAAACCAATGATTGGTTAAAAGCAATCATCCAAAAGATAATAATCTTTCCGATAAAAAATTCATCAAAGACAGTTTATGAGAACTGATCGATAGACTGAAGAATCAATTTACCGATCCATTTACACTTATAACATATTAATGTGAATCTACTACATGACCTACGAAAGATTGGCAGTTTTCCAAACAAACGTTTTTGTCGATTTAAACGATAATTGTCCATAAAAATACAAGAGTTAGAAGTAAATATGCATGAAACCAACAGCTAGATTTTTCAGTATTTATTCAATCATATTTCTATTTTTTATATCCATCTTTATTTATATGAAGATGTATCTGGATATTATTTGTTATAGAAAAAAATCCTTTTTTATCAAGATGATGAAAAGTAGTATTGTACATAATTAAATAAGTATATTCAGTTTTATAAATTTACTTGTCTTTATAAAATTGCTTTAAGGCATTTGAATCTTACTTTATTCTAGTAGTCTTTGCAAGAGGTATAGGATTGTGAAGACGTTTTTTTAAAATACTTTTTATCAAATATATTGCTCATCCTTTATAAAATTGTTCAGGTATAGTGTAATTTTACAGAGAAGTCTTGGCAAAGTCATTTCTTTTTATTCAAGTAATATTAAATGTCTTGGTAAGGTGATTATTTATGCATCCAATTTTTAGACATTATTTACTTAATTATAATTTTCATTTTCTTTATTAAAATTGGCATTAATTAGAAACTTCTATAAAAGGTGATTAAGATAAACCAAAATAAATATTATGTTAAAATTTCTTTGAAGTTAATTTTAAATAAAATATTATAATTATGATGTTCTGGATCTTTATCATGTGTCTAGAATGATTTAAATTGAATTTTCTATGTTCTCAGGAATATTATTAGTAAAATAAAAAATAATATTGCTAAGTAATTCTGAACAATTTGTATGTACTTTGCCTAGTCTTACTCATCTGAGATAAGTCTTAGAGAAATGAAGTTGTTATTAAAAACGATAACTTACGTCAGAATCAGCACCCTTGTCGGCTCCAGGGCATGTGAAGCTAACATACTCATGACATCGCTTATGAACAACGAAACTACAAACTGGAATAGAAAAGATTATTCTTAGAAAATAATGTTGAGTACACTATAAACTGAAAACTATTATTTGAATGATGAAAATTTTATATCAATTCCATTAATTAATGGTTTAATGTTAATAATTATATGATATTTTCAAAATAAATTTATCACAACTATGTAAAATTAACAAAACAAAACATGTTTAAAAATTCAATAATTATATCATACAATTTAATTTTTTAATTTTTATGTAAAACTTTCGTTAAATATGATTTTTTTTTTATTATATAGTTTAATAGACATTTGAAAATATCAAGTAATTATTAGTATTAATTGAAAAAAAAACCAGTTGTTTAATATTTTTTTAAAAAATTTCATTTTCTTAATATTTTATTAACTTCCTTGATTACTTTTTAACAATTATTTTATTAACTTCCTTCTGTGAACATTTTGAAATACCTTGGCACTGATATCCTTGTTTTCCAAAGCCCCTGAAACAAACCAATTCTTTTTTTATTGTTCATCATTGTAAAATTAGTTCTTTTATAATAATTTTTTAGCTGGTAAGCAGAGTGGAGGGTCAAAAACTTTGATAAAAATGTTCACTTTTTCTACATTTATATTTCATGTGACGTGCTTACTAGCTAAAAGACTATAGTATATACGATTACACTTCATTTTTATTTGATTAATTATTTTAATAATAAAAAATAAATTATCTAATAATAATAAAAACTTGTCTTGTTATCATTAATATAATGTTACTAACCATAAAAGATTTTTTTCTTATTAAATTATGATATAACTATAAAGATTTATTATAAAATTTATGACTGTAATATAAAACTTGGTAACATAAATCAGATAAAGTTATATAAATTCTACATCTTTAATATTCAGATTATTTATAAAAAATGCAAACAATTGAATATTCAAATGAAATTATTCAATATTGTTATTTTTTTTTTCTCCTATGCAATTATCTATTTTAAAACTATTTAAATATTACTCTAACAATCAATTTAATTAAAGATAAGAATCAATATCCATTTATTGCTAAAAAATATCTTTGATAAATCAATTATTAATAAAATTTTAAAAAGGATAATTGTTTTTTTTATACATTTTATTTAAATCATATTCATATTTTCAATCAAGTGGAAATAATGTAAAATCACTTGAGTATTTTATTTAAATTTCATTGTAAATGCATTATTAAACTCAATAGATTATCCTTTAATACACTAATAAACGTTCCATCAATTTGAATTCACCTAAACGTATTAAAATGATGCAATTTACTGCATTATTAAGATGGAAATTGCACATAATATGTATGACCATCGAAAAATATCTATTTATATTCGATAACACGTAACAAGTGTTTCAAAATAGAACATTAGGATTCGCAATGTTATAATCCTTTTTTGCTTTATTAAGGTCGCTGAGTATTGTGCTCTGTCCTGATTCCCCATTCCTTAGTTTGTCTCGAAACTAATAAGCCTATGATACTGAACAAAGATGAATCTCTGATATAATGCAACTGGATCAGGGCATATTTAATTGATACAAAGTGACAAGAGATGCAATTATAAACTTTAAAATAAAAAAATATGTTTAAAGCTTGTAAAAGAAATATTTTTGAGTTGTATTGATTTTTATGTTCTATTTAAAGTAATATTTATACATAAATATAGCTAAACGTTAGCTTTATGTCATTATATTAGATAGAATGAAATCGATTTATCAGATTAGTGATTATAATTAACTTTGACACCATTTTTGATCACCTAATTTCATTTTTTAGCTATTTTTTGAATTTTTATTTTTATGAATAAAAAAAAGGTAATTGTAATAATGAGCATGATAATAAAATTAGGATTTTAAAAAATAAAATCCTGACAAAATAATCCTGGAACAAAAAAAATTTACGCTTCTTAAGCAGAATATTTAAATTCACGACTTTACCGTAATCCATGACTTCACTTGTTGAGAATAAAAAAAATTGATTTAAAAATCTGATATCAATTTTTAGATATACATTTAAAGAGACTCTATATGTTAGTTTGCTCGTTTTTTGCGATGCTTCAATGAAAGCACCGGTCTAATGATCACAGCTTTACCCTATATAATATAATAACTTTGTATGACAACATCTCAAAAACGATTTAACTTATTTTATTGATTTGACTGGTTTTTTTTTAGTCTATGTTGTGTGTAGATATGGCTTGAAACTATTTTGACTTTGAAAGAATATTTTTTTTTTTCATGCTTAGGTCACTAACTATTTAATAAAATATTTAGAAAATGTTACAAGAAGTCGGGCGTCCTCGAAAAGTAGGTCATTAACATTTTTAATATACATAATGAAATTAAACGACGTGCAATTTTGTCATACAAAGTAGAGCTTTTAAAGCAACTGTAATATATTAGAAACCGAAATTAACTCTTACATACTACCTATTTAATTGAATTATTAAAAAGTACTTAAGCGAAAAAAACAATGGAATTTTTTATTTTATTTAAAATCGAATTTTTTGAAATAAAAAAATTGACTACATGTCTAGATTAGTCATTTTATAATAATTTGAATATTTTAATAATCAGAGAAAAACTCGTTTGCCTTTTGAAGGGTTTTTTCCTCCCCTATTTTCTGAGCCCTGAAGTCATTTTCAAGATTCAGACTCTTCTTCAACACCCATTTTTTATGAGTGTTTATGAGTTAATTTAGTTATTTATAATGGCATTCCAACGTTCTTTTTCATAATAAATTGTCGAAAATGAGGTATTTTAAAATACAGTATAATTCAATTTCTACTGAGGAAAAAAAGCTCTCTTAATACAAAGAAAATATTTTAGTTTATGCAAATTTATTATACGAACGTAAATAATCATTTAAAAATATATAATAGCAATAAAATGATAAAATTTGTTGGCATAGTTCCATGGTAGAATTTGATTAAACTGGTTTATATGAAATGTAGATTTTATTTCAACTCTATCGACATGTCATCAGTGATTCAGTTATGAGGAAAATACCTGATGGTTTAGTGAGTATATTGTCACTACATACAATGACTATCCGGCATAATTTAATACATATTATCGGTACAGTTAATAATTCCTGACGATGACATTCTGCAAAACAAACATCAATAAAAACTTACCATATAAAATCCTTACAGTGGCTACAGAAAGTGGGTTGCTTGAAAAATCGTGGCATAAAACTATGACCCTTAACCATATAAACATTTTTTTTCTTTAAAGCTCCTTTCCGACCTCGAATGCGTTTTGCAAAAGCTGTGTTTGCATCACTACCCAAAGTGTCATCGCACATGTTGCCTTCATCATCCGCCATCCCGCCCTTTTTGTTCGAGATTGGCCGTGTAAGTAATCTAAATGTAAAACCACAGTAATTTGAATAATAGATGTATCGTTTATCTAAACACTATTTTCAATTACGTATCCTCTATTTTATCACTGCTCCGACAGGCGCACTACTAATAAACACGACATACAATACGTAATAAATAACGTACTAGCACCTACAAGCACTCACTCGATATGCTGCGAACTTTTCAACCTCAACTCTCCTCGTCTTGCTTACCCACGTACACTCGTTCGTTCTTTCTTTCTCGTTCAGGACTGTAGCTACGGTGTTCACCTAACGGATTATCTGTTTCTCCTCTCTCAGCCTGTCCGATAATTTTAGAATCTCGCGCAGCACTGAAGTGCCACTGCACAGCTTATGCCGCGCACAGAAGTATCGACACACTCGCGGTAGCACCATGATTTACACCGTGTTTATCTAGTAATAATAACAATACTATTTTCAATATTTATCAATCCTTATTTTGTTTACTATTTTTCTATTTAGGATGCCTTCAATAAATTCTTCAATCCCACTCTTTGGGAAGCTAAGCTGAATGATAAGTGAGCTAGGAATTGACTGGAGAAAATTCTTCATATTTCTACCTCGTACACACTTGGGCAATAAATGATAACATATGTTATGTTTAAAATTCATTTTTTTTAACGATTTTATTATTGATAGAGATTCATAAAACTATGTTTACGTCACCAACGTATGGTTTTAATAAACATTTATGATGACTTGTTTTTGAATTTTGCAAAGCAAAAGAATCTATTCTTGGCAACCTTGATATTAGAATTAGTAATCATTATTAATGGCTGTTTTATTGGAATGAAGCATTCATATATGAAATAAAAGGTTACTGAAGTAATAAAAACAGCAAAAGAAGAAACATGTTTTAATTTAAAAATTGCCAATGTAATTTGATTTTTATTGATTTACTATAGAGAACATTAAAGTCTTCAATATGTATGAGGAATAGACTTATGTTTATAATACTAAAATCAACATATTGGATGAAAGTCTATCTACAAATACTATAGACCCTCTTTCACTCGATCCACATATGATTGAAAAATTCATTTAGTCATACAAGGACATTTGAATTATGAAGTATTAAAAGTTGCAAGTGTTGATGACGCCATAGGTTCTCCAATCAAATTGCCTCGTAGCTATAGCTCAAATGGAAAAACATTTCAATCAGGAAGAATAACAAAAATAGGGTAGTGAAAGAAATAAAAGTGTGATATAAACACACAGAAAGCATACAATTCTTCAATTTTATTTTTCAAATAACTTTTTATAAACATTGACTGTTAAAAGCCACTTACAGACAAAAATGTTCATATCTGGTTTCTAAATGATTTTATAAAACAAAAATAAAAGTTAATCAAGGCTCAGTGATTGAAAAAAATTAAAATAAGAATTTTATCAACTTCATCTATATTGTTTATAGAAAACACATGTTCGCGGGTGTTATGAAATCTAAGTCTAAAAAAAACAATAGGGGATCAAGAACAGTATCATGTTTGAGTACTTCCAGAATGGAATGCAACGATTATTTGCTGTAACAAAAAAAATATACATTTTTAATTTACTCGAGGAGTGAACATTTAATGTAGCACGTTGGAGAAACCGTTCAAATGTAATCAGAAGAATCCTTTTTAGTGCACCGCAGCAATATAAGAGTAGTTTAATAAGTTTCCACTAAAGCTTTTGAAGCCTGATAGAAAAATCGGTATTGATAATATTGGATGTTGAAGGTTCCATGTGTCAAGAACGGATAAATGATTGGTGAATCACTCTTTCTAAATATTTGACACTTCTATTTTTAATTATCTTTAAAAATTTTTAAATAATGAATTATTCTCGACTTCTTTATTGTAAAAAACAAATGAAAAAAGTACAATTTACATCACTTTTAAGCCTAAGGTAGTGTTTTATAATCAAAAATTGATTTTAGATATGTCTCTGAAGTATTTCAATTATAATTAACTAGATGATCTTATGTAAAATGGATGTAAAATGATTACCAATAATTGGAATAAAAATTCTATAAAATGTGTAGGTGGTACATGTATTGATGAAACTCAAAGCTGAAATTTATTCTAGATTTTTTTTTTGATAAACTTTTTACCTTTTTTGTTGTAAAACCTACGTTTCAGCTTTAGTACAACTTTAAAAGAGTTATTTAAAAGTTTCTAGAAGTTGGTTGTTAACCAAAGGGCAGAGTCTTTAGCTGAGTTTAAATTCATGATTTTTAACGTGTCTTATAACAATGAAAGATATTTTTACAAAAAAATAACAAAAGAGTCAGCCAAGTAGAGATGTATTTATTTTTAAAGATAAAAAATTTCTAGAGATTGATGAAGATTAAGCTTTATGACTATTTTGATTTTATCAAATTATATTAAGAAATTACTATTGTTTGTAATTAATGATGAAATGTAGGGAGCTACGAAGTAGCGTAGGAAACATGTGCAGCTAAATTATTTATATAAGGAATATTTTGATTGCTTGGAACTATTTCAGCCCATTTGCTAAAGTCAATGCTTGGTAAGACCCCACTTCTACATGGAACTCTTGGATTACTGTACAAACAAATTATTTGATAATTATACATGAATTCAGAACAAACATCGTTAATAAAATATAATATTCAAGTTAAATAATATCAAAAATACATACAATTCGTGATCAGGAAGAATCATTGGATAAAGCTGTATCGTTTCTACGAGATCGGTATTATCACATATGATCCGAGCAAGTCTCATTTTCCGGATTTCATTTAGTTGATCTAATGATTAAAAGTTAAAAGACAATTATTTCCCCCATAAAACAGTAATTTATTTGATTATAAAAGTCTATTATTTACCAAGCGTAAACGAAGAGGGTTGATTAGGTAACTCATACCAAAACCGATCACCCCGGCGTGAATTACTAAATTGGGTAGCTATTACACATGAAAAGGTAGGTCCTAACATACTGCCAGGTAGTGGTCGTTCAGAAACACCCCCTGACCAGAGATCTATATCAGCCGGGTATCTAGAATAAAAATCATCTTATAACTTTTTCAAAAGCACAGAAATTTAAAGGGAGAAATATTTACTGAAATATTGAAGCGTAACGTCTAACAGTATCATTAGGCATAAAGCCTAAAAGGTCATCGAAAGTCTTTGCCACTGGAAGTCCACATAATTTTCTAAATTCCATATAACTTGGGATACCGAATTCCCTACCCCGTTGCATGTTGAAAGACACTAGATCCATTCCAAATTTCGCGCCAACTTTTTTAAATAAATGATTAGTAACCTGAAGAATCCAATTAAAGTTGATTAAAAAATAAAACTAAGAATAAACTCTACAAAATAGTATTTTAATAAAAAAACAGCTTACTTCCTGAGTGATTGATTCGTCCATCGCTTGAGCTACTTGATTAGTAAGTCCTATAAAGTATTCATCTATCACACCAGCACGATATAAATCCCATGGTCGACGGATTAAATCAGATAATCTTTTTGATGCTAAAATAATTTCGATGATGAATAAAAGATTTTAAGTATTTATTAAATAAAAATTTATTTTATACATACCAATATATGTATGACCTTTACTCCATCTTTCAACCACAGTTGGGAGTAGAGAATGACCAAATCGAAAAGCAGCCGCAGCAAAAGCATCAATTACACTGGGATCCACGTTTGGATCATATCCATCCCAATATCCGTCTTTACCAAGAATGAGACCAAATTTATGCATAGTTTCTTCGCCAAGGAGAATAGGTAGAAATTCATTGTATGTGACATGCTGTATTTCAGCTATTGTGATGCGTCGTGCTTCTTGGAATAGAGTTTCATCATCCCAATGTGGATTCACATTGATAAGTTCTTTAGCAATTTTATTATGTTCTCTAGCCATCAGAGTATGCATGCAGGTTAAAACTAATTGTTCATTAACACGAATTTCACCTATCAAAGTTTAAGAAATTTTTATTTCAATTTTATCTCTGATACTATTTTATATATTTATTGATATATAAAATATAATATTTTTATTGATTACTATTATTCAATAAAAGAATATTCAGAAAAAATACCTTACCAGCTTCAAAGCAGTACATTGAGCTATTGGGTCTAGTACATCCTTCATCCGGAATGTCAAGTTTCAGAGGAAGTAAATCCTTTAATCCATACTCAGAAAAGACCGGATTCATCCTTAAAAGACCATCATATCCCGTTCGAAGCTTCCTACAAAATAATTATTTTTATATCAAATTCAGAATAAGAAGTTCTTTTTGTAATGAAAATTCAGTACAAAGAAAAACTATATTTTATTTAGTTTAAAAATAAATCAAGTGTATAACTTCAACTTGTATTGAAGGAAAATAATGTCTTACGTCTATTTTATAATCGATGATGCACAAACCTAGCAAAGTCTTCAGAAATTCCGTAGATTGTATTACCATCAAGTACTCCAGTAAGAAGATTAAAAGGAATCCTAGATCCAAGGCGACAGCCTGGTCGTACTGCAGGAAATGCTCTGACGAAATTCTGACATCGAATTTTAAATAAACGATAAAAATAATCATCAGCAGGAATTTCTATTTCATAACAGTATGGATTTTTTGAATGTGGTGGACGATCACAACATTCTTCAGGATCATTACGATTTAAAGGATCTAAAAATTAATTAATGATGAAATAACAGAAAGGTAATGTTTACCGAAGCATTTGAAACATACCAAGTGGAGTAGCTGTAAGAGTATAATCATGATCCATAAACTGGCCCCAGGCAATAACCATGATTGTACCAGCGTGATCATGATAACCATGATCTGGATGCATAGTTCTTGACACAACTCGTGACAACGGTAGACGATCACCTGTTATTGACATTCTTGGTTCACTAATTCCATCCGCAAAAGCAGGTGGCATAATTCTATGAAAAAAAATTGTATTTTAAGAAATCCCATAGCTAAAATGTAAAAAATGGATTTTTTTACCTTGCAAAAGGAGCAAGTGATGAACCCCAATTCGGATGATCTGTATTAGTACACAGACCATCGAACCGACGATATTTTCCAGGTTTACATTCTACAGCTTTTAGAAATCCTGGGCAAACGTTGTGGATGAGCGTTTTTGAAGTATCGATTAATGGAAGACCTTTTTCTATCATATCTTTGGTTAACCCATACCTTTAGCGTTGAGTAATTAAATTAAGTTATTTCTCATTTTTTTGGAAAAATATTATTCCTCATAAATATGAAAAATAACACTCTTTCAATAAATGAGTATAAATCAAATAATATTACATACCTATTAGCTAATGTGGTAGAAATGTCTAGTAAAAGCTCTCCAACAGTAGCCAAGTCTTCAGCTCTCCATTTATCATTGTAGGGCTGAGCAACATCTAAAGTAATAGAAAAAGATATTTTGGTTCTTATCAAAGAAAACATTCTTAGATCATTCATCAAAAAATCCCATATATTTTTGATCAACATATCATTCAATATAACATAGTGCTATTAATAATAATCTGGTGACTTGTGAAAGAAAAACGTTAATAGTTAAAAAAGCACTGCTGTAATTATATCAGGATTAATGAATAATATTATAAAAAAAGACAACTAGCTTGTTTAAAAAATCTTGTTGAAGTTAATTATTTATCTGACGAGTAAATAAATAAAACAGTCCATTACCGTATGCCTAGCAATTAATAATTTACTCATTAAATGAATGACATGAAGTGACAGAATCTATAAAATATAAGCGATAAATCTAAACACTGTTTTTAATTGCAAATCAACATGGTAAGAGCTTCCTATCTTTCATGTGGGTCTGATTGGGTGATCCCCCTTTCTATCAGGTGATAGAGAGGGGTGAGCTAAGAGTCATCAGTGGGGGCCTGAACATTGGCCTTCCATGCTCTTGTACTTTTTCTTCTTCTTCTTCTTCTGTGTAGGACATTACCCCTCTCATGAAAAATACGGGACATCCATCCCTGTAAGTTGTGAGAGTCGTTAACCCTTGTAATCAAGCATTGTAGGAAGACCTTTCAAATTTGCACCTGGGAGGTGAAGAATCCCAAAAGAACACTCACAATTAAGTACGTAGATCTTAAAGGTGATAGGATTTGCAGGGTTAGTAAGAGGCTTTTAAATCTTTTTAGAAGACTGATACAAATGGATGGAATTAGAGTTATTACTGATGAGTAATTTTCGCAAAGGTCACGGAAATTTTTTTTTTTAGATTAAATATTTAAGATGACTCCTTGAGAAAGCTAATATGATTAAGTAATGATTTATTTTTATTATTTCTATAAATCATTATTTATGGTTATTACTATTTTTATAGTTTTTATAGAAGTTTTATTTAATAGTTATTAGTGTAGACTTTTATGTTAATACTATGATACCTACTGATTTTTTGAATTGCTTCGTGGTAAGCTTCATTAATAGCATCATAAGTAATACAATCATTTGTATCAGAAACAAATGGTCTAAAAAAAAAGATATTTGAATTAAACAATAGATATAAATATTCATTTGATGATCATTTTTAATATTGAAGAATGATTTATTTATAAATCAACACTTACAAATTTCCTCGAAGAAGATTATAAGTGTAGTCATAGGCATCAGTTTTTTTCGTTCCTTCTAATATAAGTGCACAATCATTTTTATTATATTCTCCACCGAAACTCCCGCTGACACTTAATGGTAGGAATAAAAAAACTGTAAATAACATTGTTGATGTTCATCTGAAATGAACATTTATATAAATTATACAGACATTAAATTTAAATTTATTTAGCATTAAAATTAATAAAAGACTGAAAGATGACAAGATCACATCTCATGAGGTATCATATCTATCAAAGATCCTTGACCATAATTAAAGTATCTTAATTAAAAACTTCTACAAAATTATATCAAAAATTAATATAATCTATGAATAATCATAAAATAAGTTTTTATTTAAATCAAGCACTCCAGATGAAATGAGGTAAATGAAAAAATATGCTAGGATAATTTTAGACTTCAGAACAAAGGTGACTGTTGCAATATTAATAATTATAAAAATGATAACTATAAGAATAAGGTGATTCATATGTAGGAAACTGGTAGTGAGAGTTACATGACCATGATTGTGGTGGATTATAATAAGAAAACAAAATAGAATATAAAAAAAAAAATCTTCAGCTAGTATAGTAGGTAATTCTAATAATAATATACTTATTATATAAAAAAAAGTTGGAATTATTAAAAAAACCGTGTGCATTCCAGGGATTTAAATATAGTCTATTCACTGATCTCTACATTTCTCAATAAAATGATGGAAAAAACCCATGTCTAAAGTTTGTGTAATTGAAATCAGAGCAGAAGGAATATTTAAATCGCATTGAAAGATGCTGATGCTGATGAAGATAATATCTCAGATGAACTAGAAACCTTTTAAGAATTTCCTAATGTTGATGAATTTCAGTGGCTATAGTTTCAATAAGTATTTCACGAAAATTTGCGAAATCCCTACACTTCTTTTTCAGATAGAAGATTGTTATATTTTTTCACTATAAATATATTTCCATGCTTGTTAATTTTAATTGACTTTTTTCAAAGTAACTGGTGTCGAATAACCTTGATTTAAATTTTCGAGACCGACATCAGATTTATTCTCAAGTTCGATTTATGTAACACCTTCTCGAGGTTTAACGTTCTTTCGCTCTTTGGCAACCTGATATTTCTCACACCACTTATTTTCATCGAGCTATTATTTTCAATATTTAAATTTTTATATAAGCCCAAGAATTATGATTTTAATATAATTTAGTGCTGAGTCTTCATACATCTGTTACGTACTGTGATGTGCTTTCACTAAGTAGATGCATGGAAAGCAGCTTTTTATAGTTAAACTTAAGCTTGAAATATAAAAAAAAAAGTTTTTCAAATTAATTTTAAATTAGTTATTTGAAAGATTTAAAAAAATTAAATAAAAATTGCTGTTGAATGGTTTTTTTTACTCCTCACAGTCAAAAACATTAACAATGAAAAACATTTAACGTAGAATGTAATTTTTTTTATTCACAATATTGTTATACTTGGACATTTAAGATGAAATACAGCATCGTAAAAAGAAAATGATGTCAACTCAAGACAATATGGTTGTAGTTTGATATAACAGTTATTAACACCACTGATTTTTTATCTAATATACATGATAAGTACTGTTGCTCAACAGAATCTATTTTATCTATTATAAAATACTAAAATAGTATAATTTATTGAATTGATTAGTTTGATAAACATCAGTTAACTATTTGTTCTTTTTAAAAAATGATATAAAACATTCTAATGTATGTACTTGAATTTATGTTGATTTTAAAAAAAATTAATAACATTAATAAACAGGATAAAATAATTCCAACTTTCAAATAAATTTTTATAAAATCATGTATTATAGAATGGTCATGAAAATCTGGAGTTTCCTTTCTTATTGATATTGAAAACAAGATAAAATATTTTACAACGGAACATATGGATTTAATTTACATAATTATTAATTTATTAATAAAATTATCAATAGCCATATCAATACAAATAATTAATGTATCCAGCTTTTATGCTAATATTAATTTATTATAATTGGCGAAAAGTAAATGATTGTAAAATTATTTATATCGTTTAGATTATTTTTAAAACACTATTTGCATTAGAAAAATCAATAACTTGAATAATTACGCTTACAACAAATTGGCGGGAAAGGCTTGATGTTTTATTAGACGATATTCTAAGTTAGAAGAATATATTTTTTACACAAAAAAAAAAAGATTAAAAATGGAAATTTTTTGATTGAAATTATTTCATTTTATAAAAAATTTAATATACAATTAATGATTAATCAAAACTATGTGTGATAATATAATTTTCATTCAACTAATGAAAATAATACAAGCTTTATTTCAACATTCTAATATAAAATTATAAAATGAAATTATCATGAAAATCTAATTAATCAAGTAAATAAAAATAATTAAGTAAATTAAAATTTTTAACTTCACTTAAAATTTTTTTGTTAATCATTAAAATAATTTTTTAATTCAAATAATACAAAGAGGGTAAAAAAATATTTCAGTATTATGTACTTACTCAGTAATAAAACAATGAATTTAAAAAAAAATCAGTAAATCCGTAGTATTTTTTTGTGTTTAATGAATTGGGAACTCACAAGAATCACTTGGATGAGTGGACGTAAAAAATAGTTCGGAATAAGGAGTTGAGCAAAGCGAGCAGTTTGAAGAAGCAAGTTATCAAATGAAAGTACAAATATCTTCGCTCTCTACTAGTTTCGCATACTGCCTATAGCAGTTTGATGTGGGTCACTCGTATTCTCCAGTCTCCCATTGATGTAATAAGTTGAACAAGACCATGATTCCCGGAGGGTGGGACGCGAAAGCTTTTTAAAGGAGTGAAAGGAATGGAAAAGCGGAATTGAATTTCATGACTCTCACCATTTTTGACTATATTGCTCCATTTTTTTAAATCGATTATTATTTTTTTAAATTATTAATATCTTTTATCTCTCAATGAAGATAACTTGTTTGGAAACTTTCTTTCGAATGTCAAAGAGGAATAATCATATTCTGAGCGAAGACTGAGTAAATATTCTGTATCCATAAATTACTTGATTAATTATTTAAACGTCGTCGTGAGTAAAGTTAAGTTAATACATAACAGTGAAGTAATCAATTACATCTCTAATGATTAAATTGCAAAATTCTTGATAAAAATCTCGTAAAGAGAACTCCAATATGGGAAAATATTCCTGGAAGCCATCACGGTTGGAGGCTGCAACGTGGAATGGAGAAGCCGGGTTCCACTATAAGAGCAGCAATCCTGCAAATAAATATACAAAGCAATGATAAATGATTTTTTCATTAACAATAGATGATTGATGTTCTTAATAATAAATAGCTTTGCGTAACTTTTTCACTATAAACAATAAGCGTTAAATGGAAATTGAAAAGACTGATGGTGCTAATTTTTTTTATGGCTATTAATCTTTTTATTAAAAAAAATTTATTTGTATTTATAACAACTTAAAATGTTCAAAATTTAATTCAACTATACCCTGACCTACACTTAGGTCAGATGTCCTTCATTTTAAATAATTTTTTTCAATTCTTCAAGCATCACTATTGTTTTTAATATTATGATTAATAAAAAAATTTTGTAACAGTTTTATGATGAATGAATTTATTTTATGATGCAATTATATGATGAAAACTGTATCATTCTTTTTGACATCATGTCATGAAAAATATTTCCGACAACTGAGCAAAGCCTTGAAAAAAAAAACTAGTTATACCACCATGTTATTTCAAGAAGCTAGATTGTATTTTAGCTATTATGTAAAAAAAAATATGTCACATGTATTTACTTCCGCATTTTGCTATCAAGATAATGATAATATTAATATAAAGATATATAATACCTGTAATTAGTACTTTCGTGGCACTGCTGATAAGGCACGTTAACAGGTATGATTATGAGGGAAGTTTTGCAACTCCAGAATAAACCGTTAATATTATAATAATGAACAGTATATATTCTTTTAAATAAACTATCTCTACATTTCTATAAATATATAGAATATCTGATACATATATAAATGGAATATAATTAGTCAATAAAAAAAAAAGCAAATGCAATTAATTTTTTGCATTCATTTAGTTAAAGAGAGTATTTTTATAAACTTGGTCCTGAGGGGTTCATTAATTTCAAAAGGCTGCCAGCCATGCTGAAAAAAAAATAATTAAAACAGATGAGTTATTATTGAATTCATGAGCAATTCTGTTGTAGTTTTATTGGCTAAAGTAAATATTGAGTTTGTTTGAAAACAACTTTCTTCATCACAGCTTCGGGTTTTCGCTTTTTGCTATTGAATATAAAGTAGATAAGATTTGCAATTCAAGCTCATAATTAACTCTACAGAATACGAGTAGTGTACTCTACTTAAATTTTCAAATAAAACAAATAAAAATCGATAAAATTTGAATAAAAATGAATAAAGTCAATTTCATATTTTTTTGTTGCAAGTCTTCCATACTGAGAAAAAAAATTTTAAAAATGAATATTTCAAAATACTTTATTCTGAAATATTAATTGCTGAAACTCTGAGCCAATTTCTTTGACTTTAAAAATTTTGCCGATGGGGTCTAGTTTTTATGTCAAGGAACAATAATCACTATAGTAAATGCCCGAGTAATAAGTGAGAGAAGTGACCTGGAAAAAGCTCACTGAGGAAGACACACACACAAGGCTAACTCGGTCGATAATAACAGGAGAGAGTACACAAAGAGAAAGAGAAATACAGCCCCAGATTACTATGAAAAAAACTCTTAAAGCAAATAAAATTCTTTTTCTCTGATAAATTTTTTCCTTAAACTACGATCAACTCCCAATTTTGACTTCTGTTTAATAATCTTCTCTTAAAGTATCATTCAATTTTAATCATCATCCCTACTAGTAGCCAAATCAACGTAAGATTGATGGCAGACTTATGTATTTTGGCCTAAGTTGGTCATTTACGTATGTATCTGCTGTCTCTCTGAAACAGACAGACACAAGATTTTCGTCAGAAATTAATGGTAATCTGATGCAGAACGGCAACAGACGTACATAAGTCTGACGAAAATTTTGATGTCAAGACTGGTTACTAGGGATGGATGAAATTTTTACTTTAAAATTTGTAATAATACTACTTACTTTTTCACAATATGTTCAAAGATGTAGGTTGGAATGACATTTATTATTACAGTATCAGAGCTTTTTTTTATTTCAGCCACTATGTCTTTATCTTTCAATCCAATAACATTCTAGAAACAGATATTAATGATGAATTGAAATTGGCCATTGATTAATAATAACATTAAAAAGTTAAAATAGCAAAAAATTATTACCTTTCCATTCACTTCCAATATTTGATGATCGGTGAGGAGTCCATTCTTGGCTGCTGATGAATCTTTCACAACTGAAATAATTTTTCCTTCTTTAAATTGAAAGCCTATTTGTCCAGAGCTGTCTTTGTGCATAACTATGGTGCGTTCAAAAGGTCTAGAATAATAAAGTAGAGGTTTAGTATGTATTGGCTGTTAGCTTTTTATATTTTTTACGATTTCTAATAACATTTCATCAAACTTTCATTACCTATCTCGCACGACTATCTTGATATTATTAGCCGGTGCATTCTGAAATATTTTATGAGCTTGTTCCATAGAAAATCCAGCAACTGATGTTCCATTTACTTCCAAGATCTGATCACCAAAGCGTAGCCCGCTCTGAATTGCTGGAGAGCCTGGGCTTACTAGACATACGAATATACCATTCTGTACAGCATGTACTCGTAATCCTATTTTTCCATCTTTATCCTTAGATAACGTCAACTAAAATAGAATAACATTAAAATATTATTTCAGAAAAAAAACTAAGCCAACTAAAGCAAAAGTTGACAATTTAGCGTAAAACAACTATTGGCACATGACATTTCATAAATAATTGATAGCTTTGTGAACGTAACAACAAGTTTCTACAGTCTTACAAAAACTGTAATTATATCATACCGTAAAAGGACCCAAATTAATGAGAATCCATTAACTAATCGTAATTAACTTACTTCTCTTATTCCATTATTCACTGGAGTTCTCTGTGATTCAATGAAATCATTTGACAGCGAAGCTTTTGTTGATGACGATCTAGATTTTTCAGACTGACGAGTTTATATTTAATATTAATTATCTATATTTTTTATTATATAATTTATTTTATGTAACTTATTTCCTGCTGGTATATTATAATGATAAGAATTAGAAAAGTAGAAATAATTTAATAATATTTCATACACAAAAAACATATCTATTGAAAATAAATGTCATCATTTGCATGTGTTTACTTTTACTGATATACCAGCTTAGAAAAAAGCACACCATATGAATATTATGCTATTATACAAACCAGTTCATTATCATTAACAGAATAAATTTCATTTTTAATTGATTCATCGTTAAGTGCCAAGCCCATGTAGTCATCTAATTGAGGGTACAAAGTTTTTTTGTCATTTATTGCACATTTTGGCACAATCGTGGGATACTGAGGAATTGGATTTATTTGCGTCTAATCATAAGAAAGAATATGTTAGTGATGATAAATATTGTTGTTATTTATAGATTGATTGGAAAAATACGTACTTTTTTAGTGTTATTATCTATTTTTAGATTCTCAAGAGATGGATAAAGAGCCATGTTAATTGAACAATTTCACAAAATTTTCAAATAGCCGTTCACAAATAAACTGATATTGTTATGACGCACGTTCTTTAGATAAAAATTAATATCAAGAAAAATGATGAAGCATCCTTTAATCAGTTTTCAAATGATAAACTTATGATTTTCTCTGTCTAGGCATACAACAATGGGTGTCATTAAACGAACACAAAAAATATCTATGATTTATTATATTTCAGAACTTAAATTCCCTAGTAAAAAAACAAATTATTAAATACAACGTAGCGACAATAAAATACTATGTAGTGAATAAATAATATGTAAATACGTTTTGTCAATTTGTGAAATTGATGATTTCCAAGTAAATCATTTCGATATTGTGAATTTAAAAAAAATCACTGACAAAAATGTTTAGAGTAGGAGATTCACCCACTAGCGTTCATGTTTTTCGTACATGCGCAAACAGGAGTTTCTTTTATTATTTTAAAAAATCCAATAATTATAAATATTTTCGTCGTCATTTCTTAAAAATGATAGAACAATAAAATTTATTTTCATCTGAGGAGAAATCTCTCGCTGAATTCTCTTTATATTTTATTATTTGCAGCAATTTTAGTGAATAATAAACTGCCATCTTTAAAAAACATTATTCGCGGGAGTTTTTGAACATAAGAAAAAATTTTTTATAATTTAATTTAATTAAACATTTAAAATACTTTTTAGTGCTATTTTATGAACTGATTTTTTTAACATCAACATACTTGTCAGTATTTCAAATAAAAGTATTTGAAATACTAATTTAAATACTTTTCACGGTATTTCAAATAATATTTGAGTACTGACAACAAAAAGTATTTGATAATTGTATTTAAATATTTCAAAAAAGTACTTTATTTGAAATATTTTAAATAAAATACCTTTTTCAGTATATATAATACACTAAATCGTTTTTAGTATGCAAAGTAAAATATCAATAAGGTACTCAATAAAAAATTTGCTAAACGTTGTACGTAACGCCGTAGCTTATACAGAAATTGTTGAAAAAATTCATCAGTATTTAAATACAATTACACTATTTATATTTGTATTTAAATACTTTCTGCTGTTATCTTAAGCAAGTATATACTTACTTTAAAATATCTATTTAAATTAGCTAGGCTGCATTTGTATTTGTATTTCAAATACTTTATGAATATTTGTATTTGTATTTAAATACTTTTCAAAAGGTATTTTGTACAAGTCTGAACATCAACATATTAAAAAAACATGACGGCTGCACCTCAATTGCGGACGAGGCCCAAAAATAGTGTAATAAAATGTCTCAGTTGCGGACGGGGTCAATTAGAAAATGGTCAGGTACCAAAACAGAGTAAGAAATTAGCCCTGTCTACAAAAAAATATGTCTCACCCTATAGATAAATATAACGCAAATTTGCATCCAAAAAATAAGATGGTTCTACAAAATTGTAGAAATTGGCAAGTTGATTCTGCTCTCAAACACTTTGGGGTATTACAGGAAGTGAAACGCTTCTACAAAATTGTAAAAATTGGCAAGTTGATTCTGCTCTCAAACACTTTTTGGAGGGGGTCTTACAGAAAGTGAGGCGTTTCTACAAAATTGTAGAAATTGGCAAGTAATCTTCCAACCAATAAGCATTACTTATTTTACCTACTCCTCCCTATTTTTAGATTTTTGTTCTTAGTAGGCGGAGATGACATTTAAGACAATGATCATAACCTGGATGGACCCTGTCCGCAACTGAGACGGTTTATTGCTTTTCGTCCGGTACTGAGAAACAGCGAACATGACAAATCTGATGAAAAATATTCCTTATTATCAAAATAATTGTTAATCAAATTGGTTGGTATGAGGAATTCGTTTCTGCAGCTATTTTGAAAAATGCTCATTTAATAAAATTTTACAATTAAATCATCAATATCAGTTCTAAGTGACTCAATTTCTGTTGTATCAAAAAATTAACGGAAAAACACTTAAGACAATATGTGGTATTAATTATATAAGTGGTATTAATTTATTAAACACTTTATTATAAAAAATACTTTTTAAATAATTAGTAGCTTTCTAAACATTTCAATCTTATCAATTATTAATCTTCATAAATATAATAATAGTTTACATCTACATCAATTTGTTCATCTATATAATGTTAATAATATTTTTACATTTAATTACATTTTTCGAAACTCAAGGCTTCCAACCAAGGAAACTGTCCTGAATAACAATATGTTTAAATATACTATTGGTAACAGCTTGGTGTGGTTTACGATTTCGTTGAGCTTCTAAAGTGTATAAAACTTTTTCTTTAGCTTCACTTTTTGGAATATCACCTCTCAAACTCAACAACCGTATTAGATGATCCTCAGTCATATCAGGATACTTCTCAACCAGTGAATGAAGATCAAGTGATAGAATTTCAGCATCTTCACATCGCAATACTTCTGCAAGTCGTTTGATGACTTCAAAAGGTGAGTCAAAATGTCCAATTTTTGATGCTATTTTGATGAAAAAATTTTTTAATTTATCAGCTTCAGTCATAATTTTTGATGTACAAGTTAAACATTCTTCATAAGTTTTTAGAGAGATTTTTCGTTGCAGCATAGCAGCAATATAACGTCTAGCGATTAAATTCTGTGCTTCATTAATAACATATTGAAAATTTTTCATCCTCAAATGATTATAATCTTGGAAATAGTCTTCTAATGTGACACAAATTGTTTCTACAGGTATTGAAGAATTTAACCACTTGGGAGTCAACAAATCTTGGAACTGTGGTTCTAGGTCTAAGAAAGACTCTTCTAACAGAATAGCAGCAGCTTCATTTCGCAGTTGTTGATACGAAGCAATTAAATTTTCGAATTTTACAGCAGCATCTTCATTAGCATTTGATACCCAATACAACTGTTTCATTTGTTGAGCTAATTCTATAAACTGTATACAATTATTAACAATAGTAATCATATGATGAGTAAAATAAGGAACTTGACTTCGATCTTCAAAGTGTTTAGCTTTAAATTCAATAACTGCTTGCCGATACATATATCCATATTTTGTCACCTGTTCTATAGAAACTACGAGCGCTTTAGCTGTTAAATCAGTGCTGATAGTTTTTGTTACTTGAAGATTTTGGTCAATCATTTGAAAAATAATTACAGGAGCTGATGTATGATAGTATACATCTTGAGTATTATTTTCTATTAAATGTTTACTCCACCAATCACTTTTTTCTTTTTCCAATGTTTTCTTCATCCAATCTTCATAGTTTTGACACATATTCTGTAAATATTTTTCTTGAAGATTATTTATAATGTCATTACTTAATAAAGGTCCAATTTCATCAACATTTACGTTCAGCTCAGGATGTTGCATTAATTCTGGTCCAGGATAAGTATTCATGACCCAAGCAAGTAATGAAACATATTCATTGCCTTCTAAACCATTAGCTATAATATTTTTTAAATATTGTGATAGACTTGTATGATACATTCTTACAAATTTGTTAACTATATCATATTTTGGTGGAAAACATGGACCACAAAGAGTTTTAACAACTCTCAAATCTTCAACAATCTTTTGTCGTATAAGTTCTAAATATCTTACCAACCACATTTTGTCATTTACACGTTCTTCAATCTGAGTACCTTCTATTTTTTCAGCTACTGATTTTTCTAAAATTTTCATTGCCATTTCTTTCCATTTTTTAGGTCGACCCGGTGGCACAAAATCACTTTGCCGTGAACGTAGTTCAGCAAACTGATCAGCTTTTTCTTCTCTTTCAATAATTCTTAAAACAGTAACAATCAGGGTTGGTTCTTTCCTCACAGTATTTAAAGTTCTACTCAATACTAATTCTATTTGTTTTCTCAGTAACTGTGACAAAACTTCTACATCTTCGAAATAAGCTTTTAACATTACTTTATCTGGACTTGATTGGTTAGGAGGCTTATGGAGTTCATAAAGTAAATCATCTCGAGAGTTTTCTAAATCCATTAGACATTGATGGGCATGTAAAAGTTTCCCCTCATTAATCCATTGTTTTGTCCTCTCAACACTTTCAGGAACAGTAAAAATATGCTTCAAATTCTCTTTGGCAGTAACATATTGTGAATGTCGCATATTTTCATCTTGAACTGGTTTTAAATCTTCATTTAATTTAAGTGCTAGGCTAAATGATTTTCCCATTAGATCTAATTCTGTTTTTACTAACTGAATTATTTCAAGAGTATTTTGAAGTTGATTGAAACCAACCCTAACCCCATCAAGTTGACTTTGCATAGCTGTTTTTAACATTGTATCAACCGAAGCTTTTTTACGGCCAATTCTCCGTTTATATTGTTCAACTTTTTCCAACTGCCCCGGTCTTTGGAGCATGTTGTTTATGTGTTTTGTTGCAGTGGCCTTAGCCTCCTCTTCCAGAGCTTGCAAATCGTCCATTATTGTCTTAATGACTATTTCCACAACTTAATAAAATGTATTGCACAGCATAAAGTTTAAATTATATTTATAATTCAAATTTATTTCATATATTTATTAGCGATTTTATCTAAACTAGGAAGTTTATGTCAGATTGTGCATAAAATGCCTTGGTGCAAAACTTTAATCCCCACTAACAATCTTTCATTCGGTGTACACTTACTGTAGAAAAAAGTGGCTTTTCAACCAGCTGCACTGTTCAACAGCGATTTTTACTGTTGTCAACTAACTATAACTACTTTTAGTGTTGTTTTTGAAATTGTTTATCAAAAATTATCATTTCATTGTGATCATTAAACCTGAAGAATGTTTTTTAATCACTGTTGATGATCATTGAAATATTTAAAAGAATAATAAAATACTAAATTTTCTGGAGGATTTAATTCATTGAAAAATTATTTATTTTTAAAGTAATTATTAAAGAAGAGATGGCAGATGATTCCACTGCTTCATCCGCATCATTTTATGATCCAGAAAAGAACTACTCTTTTCAAAAATCTCGTTCATACTGTCAACAAATTAAAGTGGTTTGTTTTTAAATGTTTTTTATAATATATATTTTATTACTTGCTTTATCACAATGTCAATTCATTACGAATACATTTTTAAAATTTGATTATAGAATATGCAGGAAATAGGAGAAGCTGCTAATGATGTTCTAAACGATATGGTTAATATCAAGAAAAATTTAATGGTTGTTAACAAATTATTAAACGCCGTTAGGTCAGGAACGACACAATGAATAAAAACTTTTGATATATAATATGAATATTTTAATAAAAATTTTATTTTAGTTGATACATACATAAATTGTATTTTTACTGATTAATACTCTCTTCTCTTTGTTGTTGATATAAATAATGAAGATCTTTACAATCATCATCAGAAATGTGAACCCATCCAGTTTCTTTCATGTGATAAACTAAAAATATATATAAAAATTAATAATTATTATCAATAAAGAAAATCCAAAGAATTTAAGAAATACTTTACCTCGAACAATTCCTCCAGAATAGGCATCTCGATGAGTAGCATGATAAATAGCACGTCTTCCAAGATCATAAGCTTCTTCATCTGTTAAATCCCAACGATAACCAGAGTCCAATACACCAAATGCATAAATCGAACCTGAACCAACACTAAATACTTTTCCTGGAGTTCTAGTACCTTCTGAATCAACATAGTAAAGACCTGGCCCACGTTTGTCCCATCCAGCAATCATCATACCTATTTTAATTTGTATAATAATTTAAGTTTATTTCATTCATCATAGCTTAATAATAATCATAATTTTTTTGTTCAATTCTCTCTTTACCCATAGATAATCCCATTCCTTTATAATTGTAAACCATGTTGGACATAAGTTTACTTGCAGCAGCAACAGAAATACGTTCTCGATTTCTCAATTCATACATTCGACATTGTTTAGCAAGTACTCTATCCCAATAAACACAATCTGCCGCACCTCCAGCAAGAGTTCCAAGTAAATAATCATTTATTTCTACTATTTTCTTCATGCTCTGAGAACCTAGTAAATTAAAAAAACCAAATAATTCAATACAATATTGACAGTAATTCTATAATTAATAGTTGATAATAAAATAGATTAATTACCGATAAATTGACCACCAGTAGCTCGTGAATCAACTGCTAAAACAACTCCTCCTTTGAATTGAAAACCAAGAGTTGTAGTTCCATGATCGAATTTTATGCTGATTTTTTCTGTACTGTCATTTGTTGTACTCGGAAACTGGTTGACATTATCAGCTTGCTAATAGAAATTGAAACATTAAAAAATGTTACTTTTCATGACCATTTGATACATGATTTGCAAATTTTGATAGACGGGGATGTACTTACAGGGAAAACAGGAGGCATTGCTAATGACACATTGTTTGTGAAATTGTGAACATAATTTGGAATACCATTGTTCAAAAGATCATATTCTTTTGAATGATTGAAATTAACAATAGAATTTATACCACAAACTTCGGCAAGAGCCATGGTTCGGCTTATTCGGAATTTCAAGTATCAAACAAGAAGAATGTTCACTGACAAACCTGCCTATGCAATGAAACTATAGTAAAATTAACTTGAGAGTCATTTTCGATCTATAGTGGGAGACACGTGGTTGTAGCTGTATTCACAGTAGTGGGGAGTTGATTCTTGAAGTGAGCTGCTATAGCACACATGACGAAAAACATTACATGAGAATTAGTACAAAAAAACTCCTTTATTGTTACCTATACTCAAAACATGTGGCAACGGTATAACCTTACTAAATATTTTAGTAAACAAACCGATTATTCACCTTTACCATTTACAAAAATGATGAATTAAATAAAATCCATAATGGGATACGTTCCAAAATGTATAAAAAAACCTAAACTTAAGAAGAAAAATAAGTGTCGTCGAGCTAATAATCGTAAGAATAATTTGAAATCAAAGTTGAATCCAAAGATTCATAACAAAGTTCCTTTTTTGATGAATCAAGTTAATAACGCTACTATGTCAGCTGATAGTTTTTGGAAAAGTTATGAGGCTTCACAAAAGTGGATACAGAAGTATATATTTTATATTCAAAAAAAGTTATTTGTTGATATTCAGCTAGTTTATAATTTTATTTTTTTCTAGGCACAATGTCGCGTGGTGGCAATCAAAATGTATAGCTTTGGAGAATGAAAATCGTATACTTCGAGAAAAGTTGAGAAGTCTGACGGAATCTATTAATTCAGAAAATAATCCAAAAACAACTGATCCAAATTATGATTATACGAACACTGATGCCTACCAACATGATGTAAATAATTGTGATTCCACAAAAAATGATGCTTATCAATACGACGAGAACAATTATGATTACACAAATACTGATGCTTATCAATATGATCAAGATAATTATGATTCTGCACAAAATGATGCATACCAATATGATGAGAATAACTGTGATCCAACAAATACTGGGACCAACTATTATAATGAAGATAATTATCACTTAGCAAACAATGCTGATGAGTATTGTGGTGAAGAAGCTGAAAATGAAGATGAATTAGTATTTGAAGTTGATGAGAATATGATGAAATTTTTGGAACAAAGTTTTCGTTATAAAATGAAGTTGAAACAAGGACAAAAAATTAACAGCATTCCATGTAATGGAGAAGAAAATGATACAGAAGATCTAGCCCAAGGTCCATCAACTAGTAATAATGATACTGAAGTTGATAATGCAAAATTATTATATGGTTCTGCTAGCTCTCATATTATGAAAATGGAAAAATCATTAAAGACATCAGCAGATCAGTTTAAAAATTGTCCAAAACCACATTACTGGCCAAATATTCCTTTTCACTGATACATGCTCATTTGTTTTTGTGATGTAAATTTATCAGTTTAAGTGAAAAATATGAATGAATGAATATAGAGTGTATTTTAACTTAACTATCTATCTTAAAAATAGTTATTTTTCATAAACATCTTTGTATGCATCAATTTAAAATTAAAAATAGTAATTAAAAAAAAAATCAACAAATGGCGCTAGTTGATATTTTCCTAGGGACCCTAAGTTTTTTTGGAGTATCTTGTCAGTTTTTCTTTTTATTAATGCTTTTACCATAACAATGTTTTTTTTACTGCTTGATTGTTCAAAAAGTTAAATTAACACACATTGATTGTTCAATCCCAATTTGAAACAGGTTATACCATTAAATTTAGTGCACTGGAGTTTAAAATGCTCATTAAATTAAAGAGACCTGAAATACTTAAATTTTAGGTATGTTATTTTCCTCATAAAACATTAAAAATTTAATTTTATATATTTTTCTATCTTACTCATCTATTATCTCTCTTTATTTTGTATATCTCTGTGGATCAAATATGGCTAACTACATTAAATCTTTAAAGGGATGGACATTGTTGTATACTTGGCGTCGTTAAAGTCTACATACAAATCTTGTTTTGTTATTAAATATAATTGTTTATACCTTCAGTTGTTTTTCACAAAATACAACTATGGTGAGAAACATAATTAAATAAATAATCATCATTTAGGAGCAGCTTTTTGAATGAAGGTATGTATTTATTATGACTCAAATTCTTGTTTTGAAATCAATAAAAAAATACACATATATGTTAGTTTGATTCTATAATATATTTTATTGAAAGTACAATGACTATCTTAAAATTAAAAAAGATTTATTGTGTTTAGCTTAGTACTTCAATTTATTTCTATCTATACTTATTTATTGCTACATTTTTCATTTTTTATAGAATTTTTTCAATTTTGAGAGTGTTTTCAACCTCTTTTCCAATGGCAAAAATCGATAATAACTTACCTAATTTATTAAAGAATAAAAAACTTCCAAAATTAAAAAAAGCTCGCAAATCAGCAATGAAATGGAGTCAACAGTATTTTTCTGCTTTGGAAGAAACTTTATTGACAATTACAAAAAATAAACCTGGTATTCTAATGACAAAATCATTGAGAAAAAAGAGTAATTTGCATCACATCTATCGTTGTGAACAATGTGGTGACAGGTAACAAATGTTATAAAATTCTTGTCGTATATTTAAGAAATAACACTTCAATCGAAAATGATGTTTGCAGCTTCCATTTTCAAAGCAGTTTAAAGGATCATCTAACGAGATTTAGCTGGATCATGGGTTATTGGTACAGACATTGTTCCTCAGTTCAACGTAATATTAATGAACCTTCATGTAGTGTGAAAAAACCAAATGAAAAAGTGTTAGCGACAACGAACAAGGAAAAAATTGATGAAATTCAAAAAGATGGGTCGATATTGATATTCTATAATCAATGTCAATTTTTAAGACATTTGAAAAGTCATAACGTTAACTGGGTAGATGCAAATAAAATCATGATGATGCCTTTACCACTTGACATCCAACCAGATGAGTATCCTCAAATAGAAAATGTAAGTAAAATTTTGATGAAATATATGTTTTTACACAATATTCATATTATGGACTGGCTACGACTGAAAAAGATTAACTTTAAGTGGTGGAAAACTGATAAATTTGATAAAAATCCTATTGCTGACATACTCAATGAATGCAATATTGACTATGTAAATAATGGTATGATAAATCAGGAAGATTTATTTAAGAATAACTCATGCATTTCAAATGCAATGAACTATATTAGTAAGACTGAATCCGGTGATGATGAATCACTACACTTGGATCAAATAAATAATTCCAGCAATCATTGTACTGAATTAACTACCTATAAACCAATAAAAAAGAATGGTACAAGTTTTTCCCATTGTTCTAGTAAGAAACAAAAATATATATCCTTCGAAAAGGCTATGGAATTGAAAAATGTCGATTTTAACATTAGAGTAAACATGAATGAAATCAAAAGTAATCAATTATTTGATTTCCATCATATAATTTCTAGCATTATTGCATCAACAACGAATCAAAATAATGTACTTTTGAAACTATTTAATCCTGATGTTCCATTTGAATCAGCGATAAAAATAAATTTTTCATCACAGCCAAAAATAACTATAAAAATTGATCCAATGGATACTAAAGGATTTTTGATAACTCCTAAATCTAATGTCGTTGATACTCTGATGCACATCATATCTATAATTAATTCGACTTCAAAATTGAATCAAATAGATAATACTCCATGTTGCATCAAATCTGTATTAGCAAGAACGAATTCATCAATCGCACAAGATTATATCAAACAACTTGGAAGCAGCGGTTCAAAAGACAGAGAGCAAATTTTAAATGGAAAATATCGACAGGTACAATATCAAAGTCTGCATAAAGAAGATAAAAATCATTCACAAACAATAATTAAACGAGTTAACTCTGTTTGTGATAACAATGAATTAAACAGTAAATTTAATTTGTTGTATCATGATTGGGAGTCAAACGTAAAAAAATTTTCTTGTGAAAAATGTAATGAATGTAAAAAAATGAAGAAACCAAAATATTATATTATTGGAGTATCTAAACCAGCTGAAAATGAGTCTGACTATTGTCAATGTTATAACTATGTTTGCCATTTATGCAGTTCAAAACAAGGTAGTGCTTTACGATATGAATCACATTTAAGACTCCATAAAAAAGAAACTCCATACCAATGTCCAGAATGTTTTACGTCATTTTCATCATTTGATCAACTAGAAAATCATATTTGGACGTATTGTAATCATGTTATTATGCAACAATTTTATTCTTGCAAAATTTGTAAAACGAATGAATTTTGGACTCCTGAAAATACATCGAAACATTATGTTGAGCATCATGCAAAAATTGTAATATATTGTAAAATATGTAGAAAAATTTTTAATTCTTTTATCGATTATCAAGTTCATAATTCTAAGAAACATATTTCAGTGATACAATTGGCTAATATTGCCAAATATATCAAATGTCATGTTAGTAAACGCTTTATAAAACCGGAGCTTTATCATTTTCATGTTTTGTCTCTTAATACAGTTGAAAAATATACTTATTACACTTGTCCATTCTGCTTATTTGCGGTTAAAGATGCCAATCGCAATAAAGAGATTATTCAAAAACATATAATGTACTTACATAAAAGAAATCCTTTTGGAAATAATTTTTATTTAAGATATAAAAATGAAAAACCACAAGGAATAGTTGAACGTAATCGAGTATTAAATATCAAAGATATTATATTATTAAACATAAAAAATACTATATCGATGAATATTTCAATCGAAAAGTATTTTATTACTCATGAAATAACTGATTTCAAAAAAATGCTAAATACACTGTATAATTTAAAACAGGAATATTTGCAATATGTAGAACGGAAGTGGAATAATTCAGATAAGTTAAATAATGAAGCTCAGATAAGCTCAATATTTACTGAAAATCTAAAAAGTTTACAACAAAAGAAGATTATAAGCTGGACAAAGAGAAAATATTTGAATAAGTTTAATATAGAACAGTCAAATAAATTCAATCATTCGAATATGAAAGCCAAACAAGTACTTCCATCAACAAAAAGAAAGACGAGAAGTAACAAATCTAAACGGATTGCTTTAAATGGTCCGACAAATTATAATGAAGTTCCTATCAATTATAAATGCCATTTATGCGGAATGTTAATAAATACTCATTGGAACGTACTGAAAAATCATTTTGATAATAACCATTCAAAAAACTATGAACTAGTCTTTATAACTCCAAAGTTATTAAAAATTTCACCAGAAGATATGAATGCTGAACTGATGAAAAATGAGAAGAAACGTAAATCAGACTTGATTGCATATACAGCAAGAAAAAAAGCACGTTATGCTTTTAAAAAATTATCTGATCAATCAACCTCATCAAGTTCAGGTTTATGTGTACAAAATGAATTTTTAGAAAAGACAGAAAATAATCTCAATTGTAAAAAATGTCTTCAAAGTTTTAATAATATAGACATGTTGCACAAACATGTTGCTTCCAGTCATCGAATCCAAGGACATTTTCTTATTTGCTTAGAATGTGGAGAAAATTTTGTTGCTTCTCCAAGTTTACAAATGCATCTAAAAGCTTTTCATGGTGTTGACGACCCATTAACTTATATGTCTCGAAATGCATCTTATGTTCTTAATGTTACAGACGAAATTGAAGAGCAAGATAGAATAACAAAATTTAATCAATGTTATGTTTGTATGGCTGTATTTGAAAATAAAGCAGCCGTCGACAAACATTTACGCGTTCATGGAATGGCATTTTTAAATCGAAGACGAATCGAAACACAAAATGCTCTGAAACATTATAAAAAATAACAATAATTTTACATTAAAATTATGAAGAAAATTATTCCAATATACAATCTTACTTAACAAAATTAAATTCTATCTTTATCAAGGGATATTTAAATACTAAAGTAGTATTTACACAATTTTTTAATATTATGTATAAAAATTTATCCTTCATTGTGCTTAATGCTTATCTAATTTATATTACATTCGTTCATTGTATATATGAAATTTATTTATAGAATATATGTATAAATATTGTTACATACAAAAATATTGAAAGTGTTTTTCTTTTAAAAATGAGTAAACCACAATTACTACCTAAAGAAATGACTGAATAATAATTGATAATTATTTACATTTTTTTTACAAAAGAGTATTTGAAGGAAATTTTATTTATATTAATATTTAAGAGTTTTTTCAATCACATTAAAACAACGCCATTTATCTGGCAAATATAGAGGTTCATATACAAGTGGAAATGGGGTATCCCAACCAGTTACTCTTTGAATTGGTGCTTCGAGATTCAGGAAACATTTTTCCTGTAATATCAATGATTAATAGATTTTAATTGATTAAACAGAAGATTTATTTTATTAATAATCCTACTATTAGTTACATAAATCCAGTAAATCATACCTGAACAACAGCAGCAATTTCACTTCCAAAGCCATTAGTTAGTGGAGCTTCGTGAGCAATGACAACTCGTCCGGTTTTTCTTACTGACTATTATGACAAATCACAAAGATTATTATTTTTGATAAAGTAGATACACTATAAAATAAACTAAACTTTAAGTTTCAGTACTCCAAAAGTAAAAAGTTGAGCATGTTTTTTATGTAGATTGATTTATGGTAGTTAATGGCTTTAGCAAATTCAATTTAAAAAAAAAAAAAAATGTCCCATAGTAAAGTAAATTAGCTCAAGTGCAGTTCCATGTTTCGGAAAAGAAACTGGATTTAATCTCAGTCATAAATAATGATCTTAAAAATAAGAGATGGACCTTTAAGTAATAATATTACGAAATGATTTACCTCACATACTGTTTCTGTATCCCAGGGAAGAATTGTCATAATATCTAAAACCTCACAAGTTGCTCCAATTTTTTTTTCAACGAGATCAGCTACCTCTAAAAGTACATGAACTAAAGTACCCCACCCTATTAATGTTATAGAATCTCCTGGAACATAAAATTTAATCAATTCGATTAAAATCTAATCTAGATTGGCACAATGTTATAATGCTAATCCTATTCGATTTTATGAAGGCTCTAGAATTCGTCAGCCATTGACTCCGATTATGTAAAGCTTATTTACTAGATTTTCCCTGAATAAAATTAAGTAAAATTATTTTCGATTTTTTTAAACCGACAAATAATATGTTTGCTGAAAAATTGAAGGTAAATTATAGACAAACAAAAAATGATTAGTTTGTAAACCTTTTCTAACGACTTCTGCTTTCCCCAATGGTATTTTAAAATCTTCAAGTGGTACCTGATCCGATGTTGAACGATAAAGAACTTTTGGTTCAAAAACAATACAAGGATCAGGCTCTTCTGCACAACTCAATAATAATCCTTTTGCTTGAATAGGTCCACGTGGCATCACAACCTAGGATAAAAAAAAAAATTCAAACTTTCACTTGATTTATGAACTTAGTAAAAGTTTTTAAAGCCTTTGAACTTTCACACCTTAAGCCCAGCAGTATGAGCGAAGTAAGCTTCTGGGCTTTGAGAATGATATAGAGCTCCATGACCCACTGCACTACAAGGTGTTCGAATGGTTAATTTCCCACAATCAAACATACCGCCACTACGATACCTCATTTTTGCAGCTTCATTTATCAACTAGTCATCAAGGCAATGCTTCAATTTTATTTATAATGAAATATTTTAAGAATATATAGAAATTAAATATAATTATTAACCACTTACTTGATCTAAAGCAGGAAAGATATAGTCTGCAAATTGTATTTCACCAATACTAGTAATTCCTTGATTTGCTAACCCAATACCAAATCCTACAATTCCTTGTTCTGAAAGAGGAGTATTAAATACTCGATCATTTCCAAAACGATTTTTAAGGCCTACTGTGCAACGAAAAACTCCTCCAAATGCAACATCTTCACCAAAAATCACTAAAAATGAATTCAAAATAAAATGATCAAATGTTCAAGCAGTTTCCATATGAAGAAAATATTTATTTACCTGAATTTGAATCTTTCTCAAGTATAATCTCAAGTGCATTATTAATTGCTTGGTACATGTTCATTGTTTTTGTTGTTTCTTCATTTTATGTTAATAAATTGTCATTTCATTGTAGAACAAAAAAGCATATTAATTAAGATTAATAACAAAATAGCATTAATAATCATAGATACCTTCATTATGTATTTTTTCATTGGTTGTTGCTACTGAATGTAATTTTTTTTTATAGAATAAAGATCCATAAATTATTCGCGGAAATTCCATCAACTTTATTTGAGAATTAAGCTGAGAAAACGTGCTTAACTTATTGAGAAGCATGTTTAACAGATACTGATATAAACAGTGTTGATAAGCGCCGCCTTTCAGTAAGTTGACGATTAGATAATTAACATATAATAAGTGATTCAATTTGAACTCTGTATCTTTCAACTCTATAGATACTGAACACTAAGTAACGCATAATTATGTATGTATATGTTATGACAAACAATTTGAATATTTTTATGGATAAAGTTATACGTCAGAAGCTATTTAACATTCAAATAAAAAATTGTTTGTCATTTTAATATTTTCTATCATAATGTCGATAATATTTTTTTTTTATTTTTCGTTAGTAGCACAACGTATATTTTTTCGTTAAATATTATCCTATTCAATTGATAAAAAAACCGTATGACTGCGGGTAAGATACTAAAAATAGCGATTAAAGAAAGGTTGGAAAACAATTATCATCATTCGAAGTAATAACTTGATAATCACATAAAATACAAGTTGTAAAACTTTGTATCAAATCTATTATATACCTGTTTTATGAGTATGATTAAATAACAATAATTATTAGTTTACTAAAATTTCAAAATGAAAAATAACGTGTAAAATTGGGGGTTTTTTTAAAGCAATAAAAAAATGGCTCTCTATTTCTAGTTAAAAGTATTATTTCATTATTTACTAAGATTTAAGTTATTATTTGCAAGCTTTATTACAGAAAATAATGAAATTTAATATATTCTTGTAATTAGCATTATTATAATGAAGGAAAAGTGATTTATTAGTAAGCCTTAACTTCTTAACTGAAGTAAAGACCTCTTTGACCTCCTGCTAAACTCAATACTACCAGACCGAATTTGAAATATTAAATATCTTTTCTTTTTATCATAAAATTATCTTTAATGATACTATCTTTTAATTTGATAACTATTATTAATAAGTGAAATATATCACTTGATAAATTTTCTAAAAAAGATTAAAGAATGAATTCATTTAGGAATTGTCATCTTACTTTTGATTGATAGTTCAGCCAGATAACTATTTAGCACAATTAAAAAACTTTAATCCTCTGCATTTGTCTTCAAAAGGTTCCTTTATTTCCTGTATCAAGTCTCTAGTACAAGCTGAGAATCATTGATAATTATTAAAGCAGTTTCTCTTTATTTTGTTAGTCTTTTCATTGGGTTATGATAATAGCAGTAGATGAATAGCACCAGTCAAAACCATATCTCATTTTCATACCTTCCTGGTTGTATTTTGACTTGAACTTGGAATCCCATTGTCTCTTTTATGACCTGAAAATGTACCGTGTCATTTTTACTGTTTCAGGATTATTCGGTATAATAGTTCAGTTTTACCCAGCTTGATGTACAGCGATAAGGATAATTTGAGAAAAGGGTACCCGGTACTCATGGCAACTCCATGTTATACAACTTTCTGCAAGATAAGATAAGATAAAGTGAACATGCATTTTCAGGTGATAATTACCGCAAATCGAAAAACCCTGAATGAACAACTTCCTTTTTATTTAATTGATATCTCGATTTCAAATGGGAATATCCCAACAATTCTTCAGCTGTAAACAATTAAATTCAATTAATTACTAATGCTATTACTGAAACATAAAAATCAAGTTTTTATATACCACAAAGTGTTTATTATTATTTAAATTGAATTATTATTATATTTAATTCATTCTACTCACATTAGCATTATAACCTCTTCTTCAGTGAATGTTAATAATTTATTTATATTTTTATCATGTACTATAATTAAAACTATGTTAACAGCATACATTATTCATAGTAAAGAGAAATGAATGACATTAGTAATAAATAATTTTTTTCAATACATTTATTATTTGTTATTAAATTTGAATTGATAAATTGCAATTTTACTGCAAAACATTAAATAGTTATGGAAAATGTTGGAATTATAATTCGAATTTTTTTAAATATATTATTACAATTTAAATAATTTCTGCTACAAAGCAAACATTTTAAAGTATGACTATAGCAATAGAGTAGTGCGATGGTAGGGAATGTGCCGAGTTGCGCACTGTTGTGTCCATTTGTGTCTGTCAGTATCATTTAATTCGCCGTGATAGATTCACGCAATACTACTCCAGTATAATAAACTACACAAAATAATTTGTTTGAACCAAGTAAATTCAATTTGAAGAATTCAATCATAACATTTATTTATCGTTTAACTTGCTAGTGGAGTTTACTTTGATTTATTTTATTTTATTTTAAGAAAATAAAGTAAAGGATTGTTTTGTACATCTCTATATATATCTATTTTAAAGGTTCTAGAAATTTCTTTGCTATATCTACGATAAACGTTGACAATTTTAGTTTTATTGTTTCAGTTCTGTAAGAATGTGATTAAAAACATCAATAAACATCTATTAATCTTTTAACAAGTATTATATGATTAAAATATTGTTGAATTATCGAAGTTGTATTTGATAAATTATTGACATCAATTTTCGTATTATTTACTAGAACGATTTAAATTATTTTTTACTAGAAATTTTGTGAGTTTATTGTTGTATAAAGATAAAATTTTGTTTGATTGGTTAAAAATGTGAAATAATATTTAAATGGAGTTGGATGATAAAATATAAAAAAAAAACTATCATTCAGTGAAACTATATCTGTGTATAATGTCATAAAAATATCTGATTCAAGTAATATGTAAGTATCAACTTTATTCAATAGTATATGATTGTAATTTATTGATACCATATGTTGCACTTGTTCGTCATATAATAGTTGTGCTAAATGCTTTTAGATATAATATAACGATTATATCAATTAAACTATAGCGAAATCTTGCAAATAGTATTGATTAACGATATTGAAGTGGTACCATCATTGAATTAGATCTACCATTAATCAACTGATGACTTCGTACTATTGTTTAATGTTGAGTAATAATATGCATACACATATATTTCTTTCATTCAGACACAGATAATTTGTTTTTCAGAATTAAATTATTTTGAATGATATAATCGTTTTATTATATTTGATTGACGTCAATGAAGGATATAATTTGTGCAAAACACAATAGATTTTGTTGTGTGATAACAATTTTTACTAAAAGTATTAGTGAGACAGCCATAGTACCGGGAACAATGATGAGTGATTATTTATTATTATTTTAGTGAAAGTTTTCCATTGAGGAAAAATGGTTTTATTATTACTAAAAGTTGAAACATATGTTACGTAGTTGAGGAATATTTTGACAATATTTTATCAACTCGTGGGTTTTATTTCGTGTGAACAGCTGTGAGTAGTTGACTTTTACAATTGTAATTCATTTGATTATAATACAATAAATTATTGATCACAAATATATTGTTGATATACGTTAAAACGTTATAAATTAAATAACATTGAAAATAACTTAAAAATTAATGTTAATGTGATGGAAAACACATTTTTTAAATTATCCATTCATTATTAACAAGGTAGTTTAATGTTGAATAATTGTAAATATGGTTACAATTATTTAATCAACTGTTAATATAAATAAAGCCCATTTAAGAAGCTCAAAATAGATACTAAATTCATTGAAATTAAGATAAACTTCGATCGTAAGAGATAAAAAAGTCATACGACTTTTAATTAAATTTATTCTGAGCGATTAATTAATTTATTTCCTGTTAATAATACACTGATATCTTTTGATATTGTTTTTGTGTTAAAAGTATACCTTTTAATTGATTTTATTTGGAAAATGCGCAATTTTAACGAATATTTAATATATTTTTATTTCATTATTAGCATACTGCTTTAATCATAACAACCATTATTTTTCATAGAATACAATTACAGTGGGATATGATTATTCAGAATAAATTTTATTGCAACAATATGGCAATCATTCTTGCAACTTCAATGATATTGCTTGAGTAATCTCATTTTTGAATAAATTTTCTAATATTATTTATAACATTTTGATTACTTAAAAAATGTTATTATAACAATTTCTATCAATTAATCAACATAATCAAGATAATCTTTTGAACTTTTGCACACATCTGTTTCTTTCTCCTTACAAGATACAAACATATGGTAGTACATATTCTACATTATTTATGCATGAATATTTTTCTAAACTCGAGTTTTATTAGTTTTGTTGAACTAAATAAATAAATTCAATCTCAGCCAAATTCCAAACTATTGTCAGATGATTTAGATAAGATTATTACCCAATGTTAGATTGAAGCTGGTTGAGAATTCAAGATGATAGCCAAGGGTTGATGAGTCTGATGACTCAGCTAGCAAAGGTTTGAAATACCATGGTATTTAAAGATTGATTTAGAAAAATATTTGATCTCTACATTGTAGAACGGAAGAACTTGAGTATCGACAAAAATCTAAGCTAAATGTAGCTTTAAGTTTCTTGTATATTTGCCAAGACCAAGGTCAGAATTAGGATCATACCTTGTTGCTAATACTTGACTGGGCATTGAACCAAACTTAAGTGGTAAAGTTTTGAATTTCACTATTGATTCAGTTCTAGTTTATCAATATGTGAAGTTTATACCCTGAAGTTATTGCAACTTTCAACAGAATAAACACTTTGTTTAAATTATATCATAACTTTCACATAATAAATTAATTTTCAAGTATAAATACTAAATTTTGATCAGAATAAATTAGTTATCAATCTGTTATGAAGAGATTTATCATGAGAATTCTAGTTCTTTCTATTGTCATGATTGCATTGATTATTCAAACCAGAAGAAGGAATTTTGAAGCCCTACCGAGATAAAAATAAATTATAGAAATTATGGAGGAAATCTGAAAATTACCTACCTCAACATAATCTTGTAGACCAAAATAAATATGAGAACTTTCAAATCAATCAGTAAAAGCTCAGCTAGCAACATTTATTGACCTTGCTCCAATTCAAAATGAAACTCCAACATTGCTCCAAAACGTCAAACAATGCAGGGTTTTTTTTTTTTTTACAAAAATAATACTAATTCTAGTCGTTTATTTTTCTTCGTGTAATTTTATACTTTAATCAAACAATAAATAAAATAATAAATAAACAAACAATTGTATACATAAACTTTTCATTTCTTTATGAATTTATATAAACAATAAAGAGTGAAAATATTTTTTATTATCTCTAATGTTCTTTTTTAAGCTTAAAATACTTTTTAATTACTATTATCCATTCTTAATGACATCAAAACACATACTGATTCTAAAATTTTTATTACATCTAAACTTATCACATATATTTTTTTTTATTTTTTCTAATTAAATATAATTACCTCCCAGTATTTCTAACTTTAGCATTTGATTCTCTTGTATTTAAATAAATAATAAAACATAACATAAGAGTATACTAATTTTAGCATCACCACATTCTTTTGACCTCAACTCAGTGGTGGACAACCATAATTTATTTACCAAATTCCAAATTTGTTTTTACGTTATTAATGAGTTATTTTTAGAAAATTCTTAATCGTAATATTGTCAAATATTGACGCATAATGTTTTATTTACGTCATTATGAAGCCTACCAGATTTTATAAGATCACAAGGTCAAATATCTCTCTTAAATATCTCATGCCTTTAATGGTTTCTCTATCTCATTATGTAATGGTTTAATGTTCGAGATATACACATTTGAAATATTTCCTGACTTGTCTGTATTAGTTTGTAACTCATTAACGTTGGCTTTGTCGTTAATTCAATTATCTCTTTCTCCAGCTTACTTGAGGTTTATTGTAAATGAATACATATGTGCTTACATCGTCAAAGTCATTTTACATCTAATTAAAAATTAACGGATAGAATCAACAACTTTTTCTACACAAGAAAATTTAATTGATAATAAACATGGTGGAATAAAAATACAATTTATTAACAATATTTTTTTTAAATGTAACAATTATTTTTTATTATTAGTAACTCCTTTTTATTGCTTGGAAATTTATGAAAAGCATTTGGATTTAATATCAGTCAAGTTTTGTTACTTGAAAAAATATTGCTTTTTTTTTATTTTCTCAAGATATTGTTGAGAAAAATTTTATTTACACATTGGACATCCACATAATTATGAGTACATATAAAGACTACCTTATTTTATACTTAATATTTTTCTGAAAAATTAGTACAGTTTATGTAACTTTTATGTATCAATTGATAAATTACGAACATTTTATCAGATGTACCGTTAAATGTTTTTATTATTTTTCTTGTTTTTGTATAAAGGGGACCAGATTCTCTTTATAACTTTGTCAGTTTATAAAAAAATCAATTATTAAATTTTGTTATATCTATATCAAAGATAATATTTCTATCATCATTATACATAATTTCTAACATAACTTATTGTTCATCATGGGAATGTTATCTGCCAACGATTATTATTGTATTAATTTTTACACTTGTTACTAATGACTTATCTTTCTTAGAATTTTTCCATTATTTATGTTTCAGTTTTTACAATAGCGTGTTTAAACAAAATTACAGCTTTTATAGACACTGAACAAATAATTGAACCAATAAAATACCTACTTAAAATGTTTTATAATTAATACTTCTCTCTATTGGGAATAAAAATACAAAACTTCTGAAGAGTTAAGTATTTTCTATTAACTAAATTGAAGTTATCATGAAGAATTTTTTTAAAAAATGTCGAAAATAAAATGAAAAAAGCATTTCACCTTTGATAAACTTTGTGAACCTTTGTCAACAAATGTTCGAATGAATAAAAATATATTATTTTTAAGCTTGTAATTCATTTTTTAAATTACTTTTTTATCTTAAAAGTAGGATTTCCATTCGACTGAATTATCAGCTACCAAAGAAAAAAAATCACATTCAACTTTGACCCTTTATAATTCACAAACAAATAACTATATAGCAATCATTGTATTATTATTATAATACTTTGAAAGAAGACAGTACTCTGACTGAAAAACAAACTCTTGGCATTTTTTCATTTGGTTTCTTCTTTTTTTTTGAGATGAAGCCAAAGCAACCATCAAGTGACTTTTTATTTCGTTGGAAATATTCTTAGAAACTCTACAAAAGAGAAAGCTACTTTATAATTTAAAATATAAAAAAAAAAAAAAAAATTGTATTGCAAAAAATTCCATAAATATCAACTGTCTATTCATTGTTACAAAAAAAAAAAAAAAATTAATTCAACTAACTTTTCTGTAGTAAACTTAAAACTAAAAGTATTTATTTAACTGTAAATAATTTAAAAAATTCCAAAACTAACTTAAAAAATTGAGTAAGGTATTTAAACAGCATATATTATAATATTTTACATACGTAATGCTCTAAAGTAATATTATAAAATATGTAAAATAGGTTCTCCATATGTTAAAAAGAACACAACAAATATCATACTGATGTATTGGTCATAACTTATTTAATATGATCTATTTAAAAATAAAATAAGATTAATTATCATTTAAAGATGAAAAAAAAATAACATAATAGATTGATTTATTTCATTGTTTCTCGTTTAAGCATTTATCACTTTCAATTTTCGAAATTCCACTTTTATATTGTATCTATATGTTGCCACCCTCTTTACTCGTAGAAAATTCATTTAGCTATCGCCTACTCGTTCTCCTTTCAAGTTCTATGACGTCACTGAATATAGTAGAGCATTCTCGCAAACGATCAGACTGAGCGACCCTATGAATCTGAGATGAAATGAACTTGCAGGTTGAGCATAGCCTCCTCCTTTTTTACCTTCACCCCCCCACAAGTTTCTACGTCACGAACAAATTTTTCCCTCTCTATTGCCTTCACGTCCTTCGTTATTTTTCCGTAACCACTGAAGCTCAATAGCCGAGGGCTTCGAAGCCTTTCACTTATATCAGTACAGTTTTATTATTCGGTATATACCCTTCGTATTCAGAAAATCAGCATATTTATTATCTTCTGAATTTTTAAATAAATTTTATTTTAAATTTATCATCACTTTATTAAGTAAATCATCATCAATGTAAAGTAGGTGTTTATTAAACCAAATGTAAATCTTTGAATTAATTCAGATTTTTGCAATTATTCATAACAATATGAACAAATACACAATATGTAAAATTGTAATCATACTAAAAGTGTTTTAGTGTGAGTGTAACAAGACTTTTGTGTGGTATTTTGTTATAAAAAAAAATTACATCAGCAATAAACTAGGTAATAATATTGAACAGCTGGTAGTATTTACAGCGAAAAATATTCAACTTGTAATTTTTATTCAATGATTTTTATCATGTTCCTTTTACTTTGATGTGTGGTAATACAAAATCTTGAAAAGTATATTAACAGCTGTAGTCAAATTCAACAGTGTTACTATGAGCTATGATGTTTGTTAATAGTGCAAAAATGTCTTGAATAATGTAGTTTTAATAATTATCAAATAATTAAAATAATTATCTAATATAAATGAATTTATAATCTGATTTAAATGCTGGGCTTTTACATGCTATATACGTTCATCATATGAATTAGATCACAAATCGCGAAGTCAAGTGAAAGTTATTTGCACGTTTCGGAGTATTGCATCAAGTTGATTGTAAATTATCCAGATAATTTTTTTCAGAAAATTAACTAGAAATTTATTTCGTAATAATTGTTAATGTTTTTTAATTTATTGTTATAATTATTAATATCAATTGATGAGAAATTTTTAAAATACATTTTCATTATTTTATTATTGTTATAGTGTGGCGCCTTGGATCTTGGACTAAAACAGACAGAAATATTGGAAATAATGGAGCCATTTTGCTTTATTGATACCGATTTAAATATCAATGATAATATTATAAAAGATACGAAGGAGAAAAATATTACCAACGAAAATGAAAATAATATTAATGAAATCAACAATATAAAGAAATATTATGAAGAAATTGATTATACACATAATCCACAACAAAGACTTGCAGTGTTAAGTTTTGAGCAAGTACGGAGATTAAATGATGTAATGAATGAGGTTGTTAGTATTCATGGTAGAGGTAACTTTCCAACCTTGGAAGTACGATTAAGAGATTTGGTGACAGTTGTAAGGAGCAAACTGGAGGAAAATCCGGGTAATGGTGGAGCAGGAATGAGAGTACGAGATATTCGATTAAATGGTGGTGCCGCATCTCACGTTTTAGCTACTGAATCCCAACCTTATAACGATCTAGATCTCATATTTGGAGTAGAACTTACTAGTGGTCGTCACTTTGATCGAGTTAAAACAGCAGTACTTGGATCACTATTTGACTTATTACCTGAAGGTGTCAGCCGTAAGCGCATAACTACTTGTAGTCTCAAAGAAGCATATGTTAGTAAAATGGTGAAGGTCACCGATGGTGATAGGTGGTCGCTTATTTCTTTAGGAAACTCACGTGGACATCGGAATGTTGAATTAAAATTTGTTGATACAATGAAACGACAATTTGAATTCTCTGTTGATTCATTTCAAATTATTCTCGACTCATTACTTCTTTTTTACGACTGCAGCAAACTTAAGATTAGTGAAAACTTTTATCCAACTGTTATCGGAGAATCTGTTTATGGTGACTTTCAAGAGGCTCTTTATCATCTTCATAAAAAACTTATATCGACTAGACACCCTGAAGAGATTCGAGGTGGAGGTTTACTTAAATATTGTAACCTTCTCGTTAAAATGTACAAGCCTGCTCAACCAGATTACATCAAAACACTAGAAAGATACATGTGTTCGAGATTTTTTATAGATTTTTCTGATATTAATCAACAGCAAGCTAAACTTGAGAATTATCTGTGGAACCATTTTGTTGGTCCAGAGGAGGAAGCTCTAAAATATCAATATCTCATGCTACTACACAGTGTGGTTGAAGAATCAACAGTATGTTTAATGGGTCATGAAAGGCGACAAACTTTAGCTCTCATTGAAAATCTTGCTTTTCAAGTTCTTTGTCAAAAACAACAACGATTGAATAATCAACCAACTCCAGTTGGGCCACCGACAACATATGTTTATACAAATGGATATACAAATCCTGGATTTTACTATACTCCAGTAATTCCAACAGCTTGCTATACATGCACTTGCAATTCTTGGATGGCGTGTTCCTCGTGATGCTATGTTCCTGATTCAGCAGTAACCAACTCAACTCTAACGTGCTGACAAGTCAATAATGTCGACGATCTCAGTGATGCAGTCACAATCATCGATCATAGATCTAATCGATGGCACCACTATTTGGTCATTACTATTATTTTTGTAATATTCATTAAAACAATCACAGGAAAGTATTACTTTCTTGTAAAAGTTGCACTTGTATTGTCTGAGGTATGACCATTTTTCAATGAGAATTATTATGATTAGTGTAATTTTTATCAGAAAATATCATTGCTATTCATGCATCTATGACAATTTTGTAAAAAAAAATACAGAAAATAGTATAGAATTATACTATAATGTTTAAACTAATACAATATAATGAACTGATTGTAGCAGGAATTATAATACTTGTGTTATGAAGATGCTAATGATTGCATTCACTTTTTTATTTATTAATTTAAAGGTTCGACTGATTTTAATAATCACAATTTTATTGAAAATTATTTTAACTGTTTCCCAATCATTTAATTTGCATTCTGAAAATTTAAATATCGAAAACAACAGAGTGAACGACTTAATGTTCTATTTTATGAAAATCAATTATTGTATTAAGAATTGAAGGAATTTTATTGTACATATGATAAAGTGATACATACAAAAATATATTCTTAAATATCAATATTCGAAGATTTATATTTAGACAGATATTTTTCATTATTCTGCGCTCTTAATGTATCCATTATCATGTATACATTATAATATAAAAAGTAAGAATAACTTTATTCAATCAAAAAAACATTGTAATAAAGAAATTAAATATCAATTCATAAAACTGAAATTATTGATTTATATATATATATATTAATTATTATATCATAACAATACTGTTTGTCTAATGCAGCTTATAATTTTTTCTTTGAAATAATGATAATAATAATTATTACCATAATAGTAAAACAAGAACAACAGTAGTAATGATGAAGAAATACACGGAAATAAACAATCATGACTTAAAGAAGACTTTAAATAATTCAGCTAAAATTTTATTCCCAAGATCTTCAATCATGATAATAACTTGGGATAGTCGGTCCAAAAATTACTTTAAAAAGTTTTACAAAACGTTCATGAAAATAATTATAATCCTAATATTACTACTATTGTGGTCATTTGTAAAACTTCTGAACTATTCTATTTAGAAATTGAAATGTTTATAAAATCGAGAAATATCCATTTGAAAAAAGTATTTGTCGACGATACTTTCATGAGTACAAAAAATTGGTAAAATTTCTCTCTCTCTCTCTGTCTCTCAATTACTGTTAGTATTACTATTTAGCTGTTATTATGATGATGATGATTATTATTATATTACAGGTGATGGTAGTACCACTATAAACAATGAAAATGTGAAAATGGAATAAACTCGCTTAGTTAAAAAATTCTTGCACCATACAACAGAAACAATGTAGAAATTATTTCATGTGTTTTACACATCATATATATTAAAATACAACGATAAAGTATTGCAAATAACATCAAAATTAGAAACTGCATTATTAAGTCTGGTATTTAGAGAACTACGTTCTATTTAATAATCTATAAAATATCTATTTAATCTTTGAAAGAAATGAATTTAGCTCTAATGAAAATTAATTGTTGTAAAAATTAAAAGAAAAATTATTTGAAAGTGCAGAAAAAAATTACAAAATTCCTATGTACAAGCGAAAAAATATCATTATTGTTACGTTAATTGTTTGTGGTGATCTACTAGTAGATTTTATAAAAGGTTATTCATAGAAGAATTAAAACAAAAAAATTAATTAAAATTTAAAAAGTTTCAAAAAAAGCCTTAATATAATTCGTAAATTAACAATAAAAAACTATCAGGCATAATTATATTAGAACATTAAATCATATTAGCTTATTAAGATCAGTATAGAAAGTGGTAGAGACTCTAAAAATTTGCATTATTTTTTTTGAGTCAACGTTCAAAAAATATTAATCATTTTTTTTAATTTAATAATCAATTTTTCTAACCACTATTATTAATTATTATTTTTATTATTATTATTATTATTATTATTATTACGTTTAGCATTCTTTTTATTAATATTGTGTGGCTGTGATCACATTTTGTTTAGATTTTGCTGTTAAAGAATACTACAATTATCTAATAAAATATCAATTTGTAATAAAGAAAAAATGGAAAATAATAAAAAAAAAAAAACAATACCGTAAATAAAAGTATGTTTCTTTGACGAATATTTTAACATGGAAGTTCAATGCTATGTTATACTTATGCAAGCATTTTTGGAATTATATTGTTAAATATTTTATAACTATATCTAAATAAATCAACTGCTATTTGTATGAAAGTGCCTAGATAGTTTAAACCGATAAGTTGACTGTGTATAAGTACGTAAATACAATTAAAAATTCTTGCCCACTGTAACATTTCCGTCAGAAATGCAAACTGAAAAATGTGATATTGAATAAGTGCAAATTGTAACCGGAATGTCCAGTCATTCTTAGAAGGCAACATAAATATTTAAAAAATAGTGAATATGAAAATAGTAATCAGAAGAGAAAGATAGAATATTATAGTTGTAAACTATATGGTGCTCGATTGTCCACATGTATGTGTTTGTTAAGTTGTCATATTGAGACTCTAGTCTCCCGTAGCAACGCTTGCATAACTTTATAAGATATTGTAATTATTTAATACTGTGAGCGCGAAACCAACCGGGCAAACTCTGTACAGCTGCTAAATGTATATATAAATAATGGTTTGCACATGTGTAAGAATTAAGTATGTATATAGTTGCTTAGTCGACCGATATCACAGGCAAGAAAAGCATGTCGATGTAGTAATAGTTACAAGTATTTGCGGGTATATATGAATCCATTTCTAAACGTTCAACACATAGTCATGGAATAAATTTCTGAATTGTATTTACTTGGCTCGATATCGACTAGTGACCCCGATTGTCGATTCGCTGGTTTACACAAATACTACTTTGCAGCTAAGAATCAGTCACTTCGTGCTAACTCCGCCTTCTCTTCCTTTTTTTGTAATGCTCTTATCCCACTCTTTTTATAGTTGTGAAGCGAAAGTAAATCTTAGTAAAAAGACATTAAACTGGTTTTTCAAGTATCATGTCACTAATGCTAGAGAGTAGTAATCATGATTCAATAGTTTGTTTGCGATTACTACTCTTATAGTTGTATTATTCAAGGCACATATTTTTATAACTTATTCGGCATCTATGATTCAATTAATTCCAACTCATAGGTATTGAATATCATTTTTTTTACTAAATGTATCATAATATAAATATTTTTAGCAAAGATAGTATAATAAAGAATGCCGATTTATCATTCATCATATTTTTAATATAATTAAGTTGCCACACTTGCTACATATTCTGTGATGTAGATACTTTAATGTTAAATTTTTCTTAATGTATGGGATATTAAATAACACGTAATAGAAAAAAAAAGAGTTAACACAACAATAAAAAATTAAATAAAAAAATGACTGAATTTCTATCGCAGTACAATTATTATAAAGTTATTAGATTCGTTGATAATCGAGAGAACAAACATAAATCGTTGGTACATTAGTAATTAACTAGTTTATTAATGATAGATCGAGCACCATATAGTTAACTGATAAGAGCAACACGCACAGGTATCTTTGCTGATAAAAATTTTCATCTCAATAATTTGTATCTTTCTCTCTCTCCTTCGACTATTTATTAATTTTATATCATACAGAATGAATATGAAAAAATATTCCTCTTTTATGAGTTAATTTTTTTCTGGAGAGTATTATCGAAATAAAAAAATTTATATATTATATATTTGTCATTATCATTGAAGCAAATGTATCAATTATAGTGACCATTATATATTTTATGCAGTCTATTAATACTTTTAGCATATGTAATAACAAAAAAAATTAATAAACTAACTTAAAATATGATTTTTTTTTTAAAGGAAGACTTCTTGACCATCAGCGTACAATTAAAAGGAATGGCCTTAAGATAATGCAAAACAAATATAATTCTGATTGCAGTTTTTAACTAATGTTTTTTAATTTTATCTCTTATGGTCAGATTCTTTTTTGTTTAATAAAGTACAAATGACAGTAATTAGTGCATGTGACACAGATGTTGCTTAAATTTTTGAAAATAGAAAAGAAAAATAGAGGAAAAAGTTGTCTAATTTATACCTTGATTGATATTTTCTGGAGTAAAAGACAAAACTCCTAATTATGTAAAGTTTGCATTTGTTATTAGTTTGAATAATTTTTAACTATTTCTGAATGTAATAATTGACTTTAAAATAATAAGAAATATGAATTAAATACAGGTATAAACTAAGCAACTTAATTCTAAAAATGACTCAAAAATTCTCCTAACCGATTTATCATAATTTTAACACTTATTTAGACTAGAAAAAACTACATAGAATAAAAACAGATAATCAATTGATTGTAATTAGTGTTATATAGTTAGAAACAATAGACATACATTGAAGAACAATAGGGTACTAATAATTTTTTAATTTAAAAATAAGAGAAATTACACGTACGATTAATATGTTAATGTGTCCTATAGAATTGTAATGACTCTCCTCTGATTTTATGAAAATAAAAATGTACCAATAATATAACTGAAACTTTTGAGTCATCAGACACGATTTGAATTATTTCATGGCCTTATACAACCTCGATATGATTATTCAATGGCAACATTATTTTGTTTCCATTCCGTCTATAAATATTTATTAAAAATGTTGTTTACAAACAAATATTTTTTATACGTTGATTATTTCATTTGATTCTATGTATAAACTACGTTAAAAAGTGTCAAATTTTTATTAAATATGAGACATTGTAAATAAAATGTTTTCTTAAGTAGTAATGATTTTCATTATACCAACAAATTTGGTCACGTTTAAAAAAATAGCTACACATACGAGTATCAGTATGTTGTAAAATGAAGATAATGAGTTCGATATTTAGACATGGACATATTTGTGTAATAGAACAGATAATCATATTTGTATTGTTGCACTTAATGAATATTATAAAATATTTTATAGAAGATTTACAAATGAAATACAAAAATACTAATAATAACGAAGTAAATGACTTTGTATATAAACTCAATATTTGAGAATTAATGTTAGAAATTCATTATTTAAAATAAACTTATGTACAGATAGGAAATCTTACTTCATTAATAAATAATTTTTAAACCTTAATTTGTAAATTATCAATTATTTTTTATAAAAATATAAATTCACCTCAGTCTACATATCTGTTAAAGGCTTTACATATTTTACTATTGGAATGCAACGAGAGACAAAAATGAGTCAGACTTGGCTCAAACTTATGCTAATAGTCGTGATGCTTGTATAAAGTCAGGTTTGTCATCAAACATTGGTTGGGAGTACAAAATAATGACCACGAGCCAAACTTGCTTGCCAAGTTGAAAAAAATCATTTACTACGATTGTGGTAATCAGTATTAAACAAATGATTCATTGCTGTACAATTGACTTGTTAAATATTCATTCATTAATCGATGAATAAATGCTGTATAATTCAATGAAAAAAGATTCAATAATTTTTTTACATAGACATTTATTGATTATAATGTTTATCAAGTCTTATCATTGGAGTATACATTCTTTTCCGTGAGGAACTAGATGATAAAAAATGAAAAAATACAGACTATACATACCGGACAAGAGATATAGACCAATGTTGTTTACGTCAATATGTCCCAGTCCTTGACGATAACTCTTATACTTCATAGATCGACTCTTTAGATGTTACTACTTACAAAATTTCAAGCATTTGTTCCTGTAAGCACACACTGAAAACATTATTCATTATTATACAACAATTGGACAATTTATATGCTGATGATGGTTTAATCTACTATCAGACCTGCTCTACTCATCAGCGACAATGTTGAACGATCCTGAGTTTGTCAGTAATATCTCTTTACAAGTTCTAGAGAAGCTTTAGCAAACCTTTAGATATCAACATGCCTTTCATTGATCTCTGAAACTCCACAGAAGTTATGAATCATAGATTTAATAATTATTTAAACATTTTTTTACTTGTTATTATCTTATAACTATCCAGAACATGATATAAAAGCAAATATTAATTTTTTAAATTCACCACTCAAACACGTGTTGGGAATCCAAAGCTTCTCTTGATGTATTCTTGGTATGCTCTAGCAGAACTGAAGCTTGATTTTCCTCACAGATTTTATCAGAGAAAATAGTTTCTCATGAATTTAATAAAGATATCCATTAAATTGGTAATTCAATCTGTAAATCAATAAATTTCTTCATAGTTGATACTACCTTGATTTTTTTTTCTATTTGTATTGTGATCAATTTAATTCCTTTTAAATGTTTCAAATCTGCTTACATGCAGCTTTTGTTATGATACAATTTTACCTAATAAACGACACAATATGAAAAAGCTAAAAGCATAAATATTTTTATGAAATATGATTAAATAAATTTAATTAATTTAAATACTTGACACTTACTTTAACACAAGTATACTTTGTCTACACTACGTGAGAACTAATAAAACTAATAAATAACATGAGAAGGAAATGCTTTAGCTGTCACTATCGAACTTCATTACCTTCCTAAAAAATAAAGTAAGGTGGAAATGGATTAATAAGATTATGTTATTTCCATCACATTCCTCAATAAAGCTTTTATTGGTGAAAATCTATGGGTATAAAAGCAGAATGTACAAGACAGGTTTATGCTATTGTCGAAACAACCAGCTTTACTTGTTCATCTAGTCTCATATATACAGAATAAACAGTAGTAATGAAATCTTCAATTCACTGTGTTTTATGGTTTGTTATGGTTTTTATTATCCTAATGGACTCGACGACTGAAATTCAAGCTAACCGCATCGGTCAGTATTCACATACGTATTATAACATTCCAAATTTTTGTAATTCTCCATGCTACTGAAAGATTTGAAAGAAATTTAATAATAATAAACATGTACTTTTGTTACTATTCACCAGGAACATGCATCAGGAATTGTGCACAATGCAAAAAGATGTATGGTTCATACTTTGAGGGGCAACTTTGTGCTGATACATGCATCAAATATAAAGGAAAAATGATACCAGATTGTGAAGATGCTGATTCTATTGCTCCATTCATAGTACCATCTGGAAGTGAATAGACGTATTTTAAAAGCAATTGGTTGTATTCTCGAAACAGATAAAAGAAAATGTAAAAGACTTCAAGATATCTTCCTGACTTTCGGATAGCTCATTGAAATTCTAATAAAATATTTCATTGAAATTGTTTTTATAATAATTTGCAAGTTTATCCTACATTAATTCGATAAATTCTAACAGAATTACAAATAGAATTGACTGTAATACTCACTTAAGAAAATGGCGTTGAAACCTTGATGTGGCTTTCAAGATTTTCAGTCTGTTATTTTTTATTTTATTTATTTTCCTTCAATTGTGCATCGTAAATAACCATCAATTACTTTCTTCTCTACGTAGACTTGTTGAGGAATTATATTCTGTGATAAAGTACTATTGAAGACTTTGGTTTATTTCGTCCTTTGTAGTTTTAATATGTCTAGTTCTTTGGATCTTCTTAAGCTGTTTAAAAAGCCATTCAATGATTAATTAGTATTTCATCTGCTTCTGATCAGAAATTAAGCAAAATGTTAAAAAAAAATTTTAAAAACAATATAAATACAGTAAGTTTTTAATACAAAAAAACTTTTTATCTTCATCTTTGTAATACGACATTATGAAAATATCCACTTATAATTTTATAAAATAGTCACACAAGAAAATATGTATTGACCATTCAATTTGAAAAATTGAACACAAATTTTATTAAGAATAAACAATTATTACTTTAAAATAATGTTTTTAATTTACTTTCAGTAAATTTTCTACATCTTTTAACTATATCACGTATAATTTTGAACATTTTTTTAGATTCAGTGTAACCGAGTTCAGTGAAAAGATTTTAAGAAGTCAGTATGAAAAAGAAATCATGATAGAGCAGAATGTTATAACATATATATATATATATCATCAAATCTGTGTCTTTTTGAACGATTATGTGTTTTATTCAGCTGTTGAAAGTATCATATTTGAGAGAATGAGACTTTCGGAGACACTGTATTTCATTTAAAACTGAGCAGTCAGTAATTTCTGCATCACTAGCACTAAAACTGTGAGGGAGAATATTGTTACTCCAGGCAGCTTGAAATAGCCTTTGTTTTTCTGATGATTTTGAACTCCTCTGATGATTACTTAATTCAAAGCTTCCTATATATCATAAAAAAAAAAAATTAATATTTTACAGTTTCCACTAGATAAACTTAATTATTTGAGCAGATGATAGGCAACATAAAATAAATTAAATAATTCACCTTTTGGTGACCGTGGAGGCGTAGCACCAATATGTGAAAGTAGTTCATATGGTACAGATGATAGAGAAGATGGTGATGCTCTATGTGACATGTGCTGTCGATTAAAAAAAATATCTGTATTATTTATTCCCAGAATGTTTAATACTCGATGAGCATTGTTTCGTATCCAAAGTTCTCCAAAATCTAACGGCAACTCTGTTTGTGTACTGGCATTATGATATCGTATTGACTTATTCCAAGGTAATCGACTAGGTAGATAAGATAGACTTTTAACCAGAAACCGATTTTTGGATCCATTATAGTCTATCAACATGGGCAAGCTTGAATTACGATGAGGTGAATGCATCAACATTTGTAAAGTCTTGATAGTATTTTTCAGCTGAAATTCATATAATATATAATATAATAATTGAATTAAATTCAGTAATATAGTTATTTACTATGATACATTAGACATTTACCTCTTCAATTAAATTGACTATATCTTCATGCGTCGTCAAAACTCCAGATGTTTGAACTTTTTCTTTGGTTTCGGATTCACACTCAACTAGTTCATTAGCTACTATCTTGACCTTATTTTTTGATACTCCTTTACCAGTTCTATCACTGAAAAGGCAGAAAAAAATTTTTATTTTAACAAAAAATTCAATACAATGAACGGTTTTATATATTTACAAATATGAGATTAAATTTAATTTATTTTATACGATGTATCAATATAGAGTACACATATTAAACATCTATGTACTTACTAATTATCTTGCAATAAAAAAATACAACCTGTTTTGATATCAGAGTCTACTACCATTAAGTCACGAATAATATGTGTATCATGCACTAAAGAAATAAAAGCTTGCTAAATTTTACCATTGCAAACATCAAATCCTGAACTTCTTCTTTAAGCTTCTCTATAAATTGAATCCACTTTAGTTTAAGATGGAAATACTGCAAGAAAGATTTCTGAGCTGAGGGTAGTTCAAAGAAAATGCAATCATGCATAAAATTCCACGACTAATCGATCTTTTATTAAATTTATGACCTAAAAAATGACATAACTATTTTTTTTTTTTTTCAATACATAGTATAAAGTGCTGCGATCGTGAAGCTCATGCATAATGATTTTAAGTTAAAGTTAGATTTACAGGAACTAATGAAAAACTTTCAGACTTTTAAAAAGAACGCCAGAACAAAAGTTATTATTAGCAAATAAGATAAATTAGCAAATTAGCATCATAGTACCCTAGCTTTTCTTCAAGAGATCATTATCAATTTGTTGACAGCTGCAAACAGGAATGAGGAAATTGTTTGCTCTGAAAAAAATCTAAAACTTAGCTAAGGACCAGTTTTTTAAAACTTGCTTGGATTATTGCGGACTACCCCAGATATAATCCATATTTATATAAGAGAAGGGAACAATCGTATTACTAATACTACAAATGTTATTATTTAGAGTTAATGGCAGAAAGGCTAAATTTGAGTACATATCAATTACTGCTAATAATAAACAATAAATACCATTGTGTTCCTTAAAGAAGATATGCCCTTGGACACTGCATCTAAAACGTTTGTATTTAATTGGTAAAAAATATCAAAATACAGTTCAGATATTTCAGTGAAATGAGTGGACATTTTGAAATGTTTTTCAAGAATTTTAAAATTGTTAGAACATTTTTTTTTTTTAATTTTCAAAGCTAAAAATCTTCTGCTTCTTTAACTGATTTAAAATATTCCCCTTAATTTTTCTTAGCATTTCTTCAGTTTTATTTTTTGTTTTAAAGACATAAGATATTTTTTTTTTCAAATTTACATCTCTCGTGTGAATTAAATTACTCTTAGCTGAAAAGTATGTTGAGGTAATAATTTTTAAAAATAATTGTTAATGTGATTAAGACGTAAATTTAGTGTAGTTTCAATCAGCAAACAAGTAGTGTTAAATAGTCACAGGTAAACAAGTAGAAAAATTTTAAAGATACATGTAAATCAAACAGTATAATTGAAGTGTGATTTTTGCATATTCGAAATCATTAAAGTTATGCAATTTAAAAAGTGTTAGATATATCATTCATACATAATAACATTACTTTTTGGCAATCACTACTACTAATGATAACATCATCAACACAACGAAATTTCTAATGAATACTTACCGAAGTTTAGGGTGTCCTGGACTTGTTACATAAGAAGGTGATCTATTAGAAGGAGATAAAGGAGACACCTCGCTCTCTTCAGGAATATTCTCATCATCTTCACTAATAGATGGTAGTGTTAATGACTGAATACCATTCATATCCGATTCGTGCTAGAAAAAAAAATCAAAAATGCCGTAACATAAAAAATTCTACAAAAATAACTCTACTATTTTATTTTAGCAAATTATTTATGCACTAGATTGTGTATATATTACTTTAGTGCAAAAAAAATTGTAGAATTATTTTTACTATGATATTAAGATTGATAAAAAAAAAGAAAAAAAACGTACTTCAGCTTCATATCCTTCGCGTAGATTATAGGTAAGGTCGTGAACAATATCTTGTGAGAATTGTTGTTGGTATTCAGGGTATAATCGAAGCACGTCAATAAGACCTTGTATATTAATACACTTGAGATAACAATAAGTTAATGCTTTAACATCACAACTCGATCTAACAATAATATCTCCAGCGCTTCCTAATAAATTGCCCCCGCCATTATTGCAATTTTGTAAATACACATTTATATCACAGCCAACAAGATCTCCTTTCCCTAGAGTCAAATGAATATTAACATAAATTGCGTTTATTCTCTAAAAATCATAATATAAACAAACTTACCTAATATTGCTACAACCATTTCATTTTGTTCAACCTCCATAGACCCATTGCATAGGTAATATATGTAAGATAGAGCATCACCTTTCCTTACAAGATATTCTTCTGGTGCATAAAAATTACTACGAATATTATGAGATATCAATTTTAAACATCCTTGCGATGCAGTGGCAAATATTGGTAAACTTAGAATTTCACGATGAAGATGCATCGATACATCACCCCTCAGTTCTTCCGGAAACTCTCTAAGCGTCTATTAAAACGATAATAATAATAAAGATTAAAAAATTAAATAAAATTACTTAGAAAATGAAATGTACTTCGTGTATATCAATTCCGTGATTCAGAGACCATGTGGTTTGAAAATAATCTTGCATTCTTTGTTTCAGTTGATCAGGTATTTGATGCAATGTCATGAAGTCTTTCAAGTCACGCAATTTCGTGTGATAAAGAGATCGTCGAGAATATATTCTTTGAATGATTGCTGTCACGTTGCCAAAAACTAAGGCATGCATTAAGGCTGAACATAAAACACAGTAATCAATATTATTACTTTGCCGTAATTTGTAGCTATAAAATTGCAAATGTTGGGTACTAACCTCCTATCAACATGGTACAAATTGAAAATACTTTTTCATATGTGGTATTTGCTGAAACATTTCCAAAACCAACAGACGTGAGACTGCTGCAAGTGAAATAAAGAGCTGTAACGTAGCTTTCAGTATGTGTGATATTTTGAACTGGAATTTTTAATCGTTCAGCAAGGGTATGCATCCAACCTGTTTGTCACAAAACACGCCATGAACTTTATTTTTCATGAAGTTTATTGAACTTCATGATAATTTTTTCGTTACATGTAGTAGGGTTCACTTACTTAGATTCCACTCTTTGTTATTATGGAGTCTCTCTTTATCAGCAATTACGTACCAAATGCACGCAAGCCAATGTGCCACTATCGTAAACGATAACATCAGTAATGTAAGAATTAAAGCACTATATTGCGAATACCGATCCATCCTTTGGAGTATTCGAGCTAACCGCAGCAAACGAGTAAGTTTTACTAGATGGATGTGACTATGTCCGGATTCCTGAAAGTATAAAGTTTCACAACAATTTATTGCACTGTCAAATATTCATTAGCATGATGTTCTAAAAATTTGGCAATACTTTATGTAAATAACAATGAAATTTAAGTCACTGACCTCTCCACTGTAAACATCAAAAGCATACAATAAATCAAATGGTAAAGCTGCAAGAAGATCGATAAGAAACCAGCTTCTAAGATAATTTGTGGCTATTTTACGACCATTAATTACCAGTTTTCCTTTTCTGCTGACATAGGTCGTTCGAAAATTCAATACTATGTCTGAAAACAATATAACAAATGGATTTTTAATGTCTCGTAAAATGCTAAAAATCATTTACAAAACATCCATAATTGTATATTAAGCTTTGACTAAAAAATAAAATATAAATAATGAATTATAAACTTACATCTAAGGGAGATGTAGGATTTGAGGAAGAAAAACTGAGAAAAATCATATTGGTGTATTAATATACCAAAGAAAATATAACTTTGACCCATATATAAAGAAGTAGATATTGCAAAAACATCTGATACACCTATCTCTGAATACTCGATTGTCTGATCATGATTGGCACATATCTACTGCAAAGGCAAACGTTACTCATGCTCTACTTTAGAAGAATGATTCAATAACAATTAATATCATAAAAAATCTTGAATAATCGTCAGAAAAATTTTCAATTTATACAGTAAGCTTGTTATATTGATCAAATTTTCATAGAACTTACCAAACATAAATAGTGCTTCAACAACAACATCACTAATCATTGTAGGTCGATCACTGCTTATGAAGCTTGCATTATATGGAACAATTATTGCCACATAAAATGTAGCGACAAGCGTTAACCAATCCCAGCAAGATTTAAATCCACCATAATGACTTAGAGTGAAGGTTGATTTTTCAGCTGTGGTTGTTTTATATTCTGGTAAAGGTGTGGTTGAAGCATGAAAAAGTGGCTGGAAAAAATTTCATTTATTGTGACATTCGTTAATCAATTATCTGATAATTGCTGTTATAAAATATATACGTACTTTATTGAGGAGTCTATGGTTTCCATCTTGATTGTAATGACCAGAAAGAGTATATAATATACCACGACTCCTTCGTCTTCCACCATAATCATGTGATGAAGCTTCAGGATCAATGTTGTTTTCAGCATCTGAAAGAAATCATTTCAATACAATAAAAGGATCAGTCATTGTACAAAAATGGGTACAAAGGGAAGATCTTTTAAGCCCGGTAGATTTGATCGAATACTTTATTGTATATAATAGTGTCGGTGCACTTATAGCTACCGCCAAAGTCCTTTTCGGCACCCACATAATCATAGATCTCGGTTCAAACCGGTTATTAAACTACATCCTGGTAAACTAAAGTGTAGTACTAAGCCAGGATATGCATCAATCTCAACTCAAACAAACAATTCAAAGAAGAATAATGGCAAGATCATGAATTAATACTCTTGTAATTCGGACTTTGACTCTTGACTTAGTGAATAGTTTCTAAATAATTGGATTTAAATAGAAGGCAACATTTAACTGCTCTCAGTAATATAAATTAGTGTACTAGATAAATAAATTACAAATGTTTTAATTAGATTTATTTACTCACCATTTCCTGGAATTTCAAACATTGGAAAAAATTTAGTCTGTGATATTTCCTTGTGGGATGCAAGAAATAATACAACATCGCCTTTTTCATTTTTTATTGGAACGATATCTAATAAGCAATTAAAAGGAGTACCTGGAAATAATATTCAGTTCGTGATGTTCCATCATAACAGATGTTTTACGTTCAATTATCGACACTTATTTTTAATGATATTCTGAGATTAACAACTTACCGCATTTTTTATAAAGTATAACTTTCAGTTTTAATTCAGTTTTACTTTCCAGGCTTTTCGATATAAGAGCCTTGTCTTCTTCAGCAGTTTCCGGTCCATATAAAAATTTACAAGCACAACTTTTCTGCATGATTTGTGCGCGCTGGAATCCAGTCAGTTCACAGAATCCATCAGAACAGTAAACGATTGGATAAACTGTTGATACTTGAGCATTACCCAGCACGAAATTACTGTCTGGAATTTTTTCAAACATTTTTTATCATTTTTTTAAATCAAACTTTGATATTGAGTTCAATATGAAACTGATTCGTTTAATAAAAGTGTTATAATACTTACGAGTTCCATCGAAACGTGTAGCAATAGTATCAAGGAAAGTATTTTGAGGTGCAAGTAAACCTTTTCGAGCAGGCATTTGTACTCTGATTCTGAAAAAATACCCCTTTACAGGGAGATATAGACTTCATACAATTTTATGAATACTTTTAAATTTAAATTGGAAATTCTTCAAGAAGTTTACAGGAAAGAGATTAGCTTTAATATGGTCAGTAATACTGCTTCTTACTTAAATTTAAATATTATCTTCAGATGCATAGAACATCTTTATAAAAAAAATATGAATATTTACAATTAAACAACAAAAAAGTATATTCTTCTTTTTTAATTTGTTCAAGTAAATGTCAAAGCCCTTTCAATGTTTCAAAAGAGTAACCCCCCTGAAAGTTTACAATGCCTTGCCGACACGACAATCTCCACTATACACTTACGCACTAATGAAGACCCCGATTTCAACCAGTGCCGGCATTTCCGCGAATGAATCAGAGGCCTCTTATTAGCTTTTGCGGGTAAAACCCGTCTTAGGGCCTTTGCGCTTGATTGCAACCATTCTTTTCAGACATTAGACTTCGGGGAATTGTAAATCCACAAAGACTTCATAAATGAAAACCAGCATTTGAAATATTTGATATTTTGTATTTGTTTCATAAAGCATAATCAATACATGACAAATCATTCGCAATAGCATTGATGTAATTCCCTATTTTTATGACAATTTTCAATATATAATGACACTTTTTGTACTCACGTAGAGCAATTCATGTCATTTCAAAGTAATCCATTCATCAACGTTCATCTTTGTTCACTTTCAATGATATTTTTTTATTTTATACCATTTCAAAAGCTTCAATTACACGAGTTACTGGTACAAACGTAAAATCGACCCCTGTTCTATGTTTTGTTTGAACTCCATTAGATTGAACATGTTGATAAATAAACTCCTGGTACATAAAGTACTAGCCTTGTTTAACAGTATTAATAATATTCTTTAAAAAAGGGAAGCATAAATGCCTCTTTGAAATCAATAATTAACCTTCTTCGTTTTAAATTTGGCTTTTTATCTAAAAATACGTTTAATCCTCTCATATGCATACGTTTATTTTCAACGGGAGCTGAAATTCATGCTAATAAATGTGTTTGTTAGTTAAGTTTACTTTGAATAGAATAAAATTAATCAGAAATTATTCAAATCTCTTTAAAGATTCAAACAATTCATTATACTTTGTAATCAATTAAGTGTAATGAATTGTCAATTGTAAATACCATTGATACATTTTTAAATATCGTCATAAAATATAATTTTCTGTTATTGCTGATAAATATGCTTTTATACTCCAATATCCGGATTTGTGGCTTGGGAGCCACATAAATTTGATTGATATTCAGACGTTTATGTGACGTTGATAGTGTGTTAAAATTTTCATATTTACAATATTTTTTTTGTTCTACCACCAACATATTCTTTTTGATATACATTGCTAATATTGGAAGCTTTCATTCCCCTTAAGCTTTTTCAATAGCTATTTCGTTTGAATCCAATCCATAGTTATGTTTAAATGTTCGTATGATATAGGCTACAATGGAATTCAATATTATTCCTACGTATCATTGAATATTATATTATAATATATATCAACTTACCTAATTATCCTCTTATATTACTGATATCATCACGTGCACTTTGCATTATATTATATGATTTGTCTAATGAAATATAAAACATCACTATATGTGAGAAAGAATTTTATTCCATGTTCTAGATAACATAAAAAAACTTGTTAACATTGACTTCAGCTTCTTTTAACTTAGGGCTGAGAGCAACTTTGGCCTCAGGGGAAGGTATTGGGTTCAAGTCCCAATTGGAAACCATTTTTCTCCGAGTTCGAGTAGAAAGATATTTCTTGGGTATTTAAAGACGTTAAAAATGTTGATCACCACTTTAAAAATGGTGTAGAAAAAACATAATTTTTTTCCATTCTTGAAGATATCGGGTATTTTATATTATCGTTGAATAAAATATTAGCATGAATATATAAAAGATTTTGAAAAATATTTTTAAATGTGATTTAAGGAATAATCTCAGTAAGCTTGATTGAGGATTACAATTTACAGAAGTTTTTGAGTGAGATCATTAAACTTTTTTCATTTTTTCTCTCATCAAATGAATTGTGAGTATTGATGATAAAATAAATAGTTTAAAACTCATTAAAACTATTCATTCTTCCTATACGGAAGGTAGAACGGAGCCAATTTAAAAAAGAAAAAAGCTTATCTCCTTTAATTATTCATCAAATGTAATATTGGGCATACCAAAAAATAGGTTAACAATATTATAAATATATGGGAGAAGAATTTAAGAGAAAAATCAATGTAATTAGCTGAGTAAAACAGATTTCTTATAATACTTGGTAGATGTAGGTAATCCCATATAATCACGTAACTAACTCAGACATCTATACAGCAGCACGATTGAATAACTTATCTTTTGGAGTTCAGAACTTCTATCAAAATTTATATCATAAGAAAAATGTTATTTACACCATAACAACACCCTTGAATTATATTAAACTCAGAAGGATAATTGCTCATCCAACAAATTCACAAACACTTTCACTTTAGTCACAGTTAGAAGATTGAAACTCAAGGCTTTGACATTTTCATCATTTTTTTTAATTGATCAATTTTCTTCACAAAACATTCATACCATTTTTTTTTGTTGTATCAACTAACTGTTGAAAAATATCATCTATACATGTGTGTATACACAACAGATAATTAGAATTGATAACAAGTGTTACATACAAGAATGGTAACAAAGAATACTAGTTAAACAAATTAATCAAAAAAAATCATAAGATTTTTCAATCAACGTTTCATAATTGTATTTCGTTGAAGTTTATGATGCTCAATTACTTGAATAAATTCAATTCCATCTCTAAATTGGATATTTATTATTATTTTTTCATGGTTAATGTTTAATTTAAAAGAATAAAAGATTAAATATTGGAAACAATTAATAGAAATTTTGTTTTTTTTAATTTTAAAAATATAAATATAATTATGATTTACAGATACCTTAATCAAGAAGTCTCAATTTAGTTAATTTTTTTTTAAGAAATCCAATTTTAGTCTGTAATATTCATATGAAAATACTACTATTCATTGTGCAGCGTATGTTGATTGATTAATACACTGTGATTTAGGTCTATTTTTATATTTTAATAGGAAATAGTTATAATCGTTTGTGACGAGCTAAAAATATTCTAATAAATAAAGCTTGTTGATTGTATAAGAGCATTCGCGTAACTAAAGGTAAAGAGAAGAAAATGTAGTTTGCACAGTCCAGGTTTCATCCCTATGGACTTGCGCTGTTTGAGATAAGTGCAACATGTGGAAAAATCGACTGATTTCTATTACTGTACTTAGAAGTACGAATGCTTAAAAATTTATCGTTCTCCAGTACTTTTAAAATACTTAAATTCATTTGAATTAATTTATTTTCACAGAAGTTAATGCTCATTTTCACTTTTGTGCTTCATAAAATTCATTATCTTTTTTTATTATTAGAATGTGAATTTTTTTTTAAAACCTATTCCATAAAAATGTATATAGCATAGTTGAACTACTTTCATTTTACATGTTAATCCTTTTTTAATTTTTTATTTCCTTCTATTCATAGTACCATCTCACTTTAAAAACTGATACCCTAATTTTATGATTTTTCGTACAGAACAATTTTTACGAAAAAAATGCTCTTTTATAAAACAGATATATGCCGTGAACTTCATCATTTTGATAAGATACTTGATACTGAAGAATCTCGATTTTTTATATTTATTTTAAGAAATAATGTCTTGTTTATTAATAGTTATTTATCGAACCTTTTATTTCTTTTTTATTCTCATCTCCTCCTACTTAAGATTATTATCTTCATTTACTTAAAAATTAATCGAATCAAACCGAATCAAATTATTTATGAGTAAATTGAGTTGGGGACCAAGTTTAATTAAATTTGTAATCCAGAATAGTTAACCGACTTTTTATTTTTCTCTTCAGTACAAAATTTTTATGGTTTTTTCATATAAAACATTCGGCATATGTCAAAAATTGACATTAAATTATACGTTCATAACCGGAAATCGAAGCTAGGATTTACCTTAATGTATGAATGCTTTCACTATTAGAGCTTTTTTCATTCTTCCAGTGGGTGATACAATCAGCTATAGATTCTCGAGTGCTTTGAGATGAATAATATCTAAAATTACATTCTGATGAGTCATTTGAATTTTATTGGAGTAAACCAATCACTTTGAATTATTGCATACTTGTATTTAATACTTTCGTTGAAAAGCTGATGATTAATCTTCTGAATCACGGTCAACAATATGTTCAAAAATGGAAAGCTATTATTGATATCAATCTAAATCTGTAAAAAATGATTCCATATTTTAAAAAAGATATCTACCCTATTCACCACTTAAATCTCTGGGATTAACTCAAATTGACAATTTTTCAGAAGTCCTTAAGTTTCTCACTAATTTCTGTGAGTTTGTGATTCTTATATTTGGAAGCAGCAATTTTTCTTAATTTCTATACTTTTGTGAGCAAAAAAACTATCTCTCAGGTATATGAGAACGTGTATTTCCTCAATCGCTTGTAGCCGTTATGTATCATTATGCTCTGTAGGTTGGCGTTTGTGATAGTGGGAGCATCATTATAGCTAACATGTTCGGATATACTTCCTATATCGTGTTGCATGGTTTAGAGAAATGAGTTAGATTTTAAACGTCATTTATGATAATAATGAAATGTGGTTTAGATTCTATGAAGAATTTCAATATTCTCACGTACTTGAATTTTAATTTTATGCAGATGTTTTACAAGTGAAGATCAGACTCAACTTACCTTTGAAGTGAAGAAAAAAAAGGTATATAATATTACATTTAAAGTTCTCAGTCTTTGAATTAATCCCAACAGACTAAGGGCTACAGGCTACGTTTCCACAGTTTATGCTGCTTCCAATATAATTACCCCTAGTAATTTACCTGAACAAAAAAGGAAAACAAAAAAAAATTGAAAGAAAATATTGATTTGAGTTTCAAACAAAAAAAAAAAAAAATACCAAAGTAATACTGTTTTCAACTACAAACAAATTTAATAAATTACTGAAAACTTGAGCTTTTTTTTACCCAATTCAATTATGTATAACATAAAACTCTCTTCTATAGATGCAGTTTATTATGTTTTTATTGGTAAATGTATGTTATTTACATTAAGTCATGAAATGGCTGAATTTTTCAAAAACTTTCAACTCGATAGACAATCAATCAAGTTCAAGCGAACAATTTTTTCAATAGTCACTATAAAATATTACAAAATTAACGCAATGACAGATAATACAGTCAACAATTTAGTCTTTTGGCGTAGAAATGATATATATATACATATACATATACATATTCAGCCTTGTCCATTAGTATCGGGCATCTTTATTTTTTTACAACATTTTAGAAGCTATTGTATAAAAGTGTACATATGAATATATTTCCAATATTACTTCTGATTTCAAGTGCCCAATACTTTTGGTATTTGATATTGTTTATTATGAACGTTTTTTTTTTCATCAAGTTTAAAGTTGTCCAAATAATTGTGATCATTTTAATGATTACCATGTTACCCTTAATTCTGATCCTATCGATAACTTTAATAAAGTTAGGTTTTTACAATTACAATATAATTGATAAAATGGCTATTCTAATCACATTGATATACACGTATGTGTCTATTATTGAAAAGTCTCTTTTATCACATTTTTTTTTGTCATTGGTTTGACTCACTGGTTTTCCTAATAAACAACCAAATTACACATTTATTATTATTAATAATAATAATCTTTATAAGATATTGTTACCACAATTAATCAACTGAGGTAACAATTTTTTATTCGATGCATTATAGATTATAGATTGATTTTATCTTACTAACAAGTTTTTTTACTTGGCGATGCCAGGTATATGTGTATCTTCGGGCATTTCAACAACAATGGTATCTGGATCTGGAACTCTATTTGCTGAAATACAACCATTGGCAAGTCCAGTTGGCAAAATCATTTCAGATTGATATGCTGCAGCATCCAATGCCATTAATTCTTTTTTAGATAAATGTTCCACCACTGCAGCAGCATAACAATCACCCAACATATTGTTTGTAGTCCTAACACGGTCTCTAAAAATATATATTGATTTTCATTTTTCGGTACATTGCTTAATCTTTTCAGTGTAAAAAGGATTAAATGAGCGTGAACGAATTACTTACACAAACCAATCGATCGCAAAGAGAAGAGATACATCTTCGACAGGAGCATCTATGGCACTTAGAACGACAATAAGAAGTACTAATGCAGCACTAGGGATTGATGCTGAGGATACACTGGCAGCGGTTGATGTTAATCTAGATAAAAATTTAATTGTTTTAATTACTATGAATTATTATTGTCGTAATTATTAGCTTCAAGGGTCTCATTTTTTATGCCATGGTAATCTACTCAGTCTTAACCTTCGTTTCTCTTAGGGTATAAATTAACATTCTTACAGCGACGGAAACGTCGTTAAGATAATTAAATCGCCAGTTAATATTGGATTATCTAAAAATTAGGTTATAATTACATCTCTTAGATGTCTACCTTGAATACACACTGAACTTAGTGCCTTTAATACTTTGAAATTGTTAAAGAATATTCTAGTTTCAATATAACTAAAGTTAAGTTCAATGTGAATCATTAATCTTGTTTATTTTTAGATTACTAGAGTTTTTGAAGTAATCTTTTGTGAATTTATGTCAGTAAAACTTATAAATGGTGATTTTTGAGACTCTTAAGCTTAATAATTTTCATTTTTATGATATTGTAGAAAAAAAAACTAATATTTACATAACGGTAACTATTTCTCCAAAACCCAAGTAGATCCCGTTCATTTGGGCGATGAAAATACTTGCAGTAGCAACGAACAATGCAGTTCCATCCATGTTAATATTGCATCCAATTGGTAAGACAAATCTTGTGACTCTTGGATCAACTTTTAGCTTATCGGTCATCAGTCGAAAAGTAACAGGAAGTGCAGCAGCCCTGTGCAAAACTTTGTTAAAAGGAAACACCAAGACTTCAATTATATAATGATGATGATGATACATTGTGAAGATACTGATGTTGTACCAGCCAATGTTCTCGTCCTAAAGTTATTCTGGCTCGCGAATTATTGTCTTATTAACTTATTAATATAAAATCTTAATTATTGTACATTATTTAATTATCATTCATGAATCCTCTTCCATTTGTCCTTTAATAAACGATCAACTCATAAAAAAAAAGGTGGAAATAAAAAGTTTAAAATAAAAATATAATAAATATTCTTATATTATCAATAATGGGTTTCTTAAATATTAAATTCTAATAAAACTCTAACGAAAATGACTAAAATGACCAAAAAGAACTGAAAACTGAAGTATTATTTTTTTGTGTGCTAACAATGTTGGATCCACAGTAGTAAATAGCAGATCTTACGATTCTGGTTCTGAAACAAACAGACAAATATACATTATTTGCGGCCATCTTACTTACCAAACACTAGACACTATCTCTCATTTTCATGATCTGATTCTATCATCGAAAGCACCTGCAAAAGGCCGCATGTGACGTGTTCTAATACATCATCATGATATGAATATAGAAGACCTGTAACTCTCTCAGTCATAGTATATTGAAGTCTCTGAAAAAAGTTAATCCACACACAAAAAAATTTTCAATTAACTCAAGTTTCGAATTTTTTATCGTTATCACACTTATCATAACTAAAATAACTCCCCTATCATAATAATCAAACCAAAAAGAAAAAACCTAATATAAAAATTTGATCATTATTACTCTTCATGACAGCAAAGAACATTTCATTTTCATCACAGTATATTGTTATTATAGCTTCCAAGATAATTAGCAATAAATTACTGAGAAAACTGTAAGATTTCAATTGTAAATATATCTGTTATATAACGGTAATTAATCAATGTTTCATTATATTTAATATTAATTTTCATTTTCTAGATATAAAAATGTCCAAATACTTTGAAAATAGATGAAAGATATTTCAATGATAAAATATAAAAAAATGTATCTTGAATTTAAGATTCCTAAAAAAATGGAAAAATGATCGATGTTTTGTTATCTATGACATAAAATTAATGGAAAATTGTAGTGATGCTGCTGGCTGCTTTCCAGTCATCAGAATGCCATTGAGTTAATCATCACGCCTGTAATAATTAACATACGTCCAACTTATCGTATAGATCAATCAATAATATTCCATTTATTTGGGTTATTTTATAAGTTATTTTCTTTTTCACGCCATTCTAAATAGTTATTGTTACTTCATATTTTCTTCTTTCGCATGGAAGCTTTTTTTGTCTCTGCCTGACTTATTATTTATATTTTATATCAATTTTCCAATTGCTCTTAATTGTACTTAATTTTTTGTCTTCCATAAAGTAATTATCAATTCTATTGCTATTCAACCTAATTAAAAATGATACGTTTGCATAGCATGCACAAAGAGACCAGTTTCTCAGCTTCCACACATCAATCAGTTCCAAATGACACGGAGTCACTGATAAAATGCAGTAGTACATAATCATTCTCTACTATTGTTACTTTTTAATCAATTGTTATGTCAGTAAATGAATGTAATGAATAATATGTATTGACTATGTCACAAATTGTATCAATTTTGACATCGATAAGTCACATAGTCAATAAACGGTTATCAATGTCCTAAGTGCCATTCGGAACTGCATACCTCTCTTGCTTACTTTTTCTCTTTTTTCTTTTCTCGAAGGAGACAGCATTCTCCTAAGTGAATATATGCAATTATCACAGGTTCATAGTTACTGTAGAATTAAAACTTATAAACTGATAGATCAGCATTTCACAATGCTCTGTTAAGTCAACAGATAAAAAATAAGCTTAAAAATTGTGAACACTGTGCAAAACTGATCTACTTTATTCAAATTGAATTCATGAACTGCACGACCCTGCATAGCCTCTCTTTAGAGAACTCGAAGAAGTGCCTTTATTCCGATCAAATAAATTTCTTATTTTCTGTTCAAGCTTTTTATATTGCATTAGAGAAAATTAAATGCATAGTTTGAGGTCAAACGACGTAAATAAATAAATAAATATAAATACGCGAACTGAAAGTATCGTGATTTGAAAAATGATAAAATATGAAAATTCGTATATAAATGAGGCTTTGAGAGGCGAGCAGAATCTATTTTCATATGAAAATGAAGCTGAAGGTCGACGACTCACGTTGATGCCATGGCGAAAGCGGTGAGAGTTCCTTGTGCCAAGCCGGCGTAGAATTTAAAAGGGTTTTTTTTTACGAACACCAGGTAAATGAGTTGCATTATGATTAGTTGGTATAATAATACTCCAATTACTACTGTTACAATGAACCAACCCAATTGAGACATGACCAACAGTAAATTATCAACTCCCAGAATTTTTCCAGCTATCACGGATGTTATTCCAATTGGAGTCATCCTAAAATACAAATAAAGAGTTTCATGTAAGATTAAAAAAAATTCAAAAATGTTGTTAATTATAGAAGTATACATACCACATTACAGTAGAAACCATTCGCATAATCACTTCAAACACAGCTTTAAAAAAGTCAATGACAACTTGACCTTTCTTCTCACCAAGAGTACCAAGGAAAGTACCGAACACCAGACAAAAAAATACAATTCCCAGTGTATTCGTACCACTTCTATATTGAATAACTCGTATGAGCTCTTCTTCTGATAAATCATCTTCTGTTTTCATTAACTTATGGCTGTCGTTGTGAAACATTAATTTTTTAGGAACATATACAGTATGAGCTTGTTGAAATGCTGCTTGGAAAAGGTTTTCAGGAAACATATTTCTGTAATGTAAATAATTATCATAATATTGATATTTATTTTGAATTATGTCATAATATTATGCACTATCACAAACATAATTCTTTTTTTTAATTTTTATTTTATAATTATTGTAAATATATCTTTGCTGTCGCTTATGGCTATAAATTAATTTACAAGTTTTCAAGGACTATTAGCACTTTTGCCAAATATGTAAACGATAATGAAGTTAAAATAATTATGACCAACTGGGAATCGAACTTGGGAATCCCCTCTATATATGCAAATGTTCTTTTTATCCGTAATGTTGGCTCCAGTTATTCATCATCATTGATTTAGTTTTCGTCAAAGTTAAGTCAAGCCAAACTATTGAGTCATAGCTTTTTTATGAAGAAAGTATCAAAACCTTGATGAAATAACTTATCTTGACTGAACTTTAATAGAAATAAATCACTTGTCGACGTTCTCACATTCAGCGAATCGTCTAACATTTCTTGAGGTAACCTCTTACGTGCTTCCTACAAACTATAGAACTGTTTGCTGGAAAGTTCTCGATAGTTTATATCGACTTGTACGGTTTTCGCGGTGATTGAAGTTAACAAGGATATTTAATGTTTTAAAAGACTCTTTAGTAAAAGTTTATATTAAAAATTCAAGTATTACCTTCCCAAATCTAAAAGACTATCCAAAATATTAACAGCCCTAGTTGAAGTCGAAGCTGTTGTTAAATCCTTCATGTCATAATTTCCAGGATGAATTAACAATGATAATGCTACTCCAAGAATAGCATTTAATAAGGACGTAAAAATGAAATAAACCAATGTACGAACGGCTATTTTTCCGTTCATTTTGGCATTTAAACTGGCAGATCCTAATGAAATCAAATCAATCATTAATACATATACTGATTTCATTCATATGTTATATCAGATAATAATACTTTACCAGAAATAAGACTAGCAATGACTAAGGGTAAAATCATAAGTTTTAAGAGCCGCATGAATAATTCACCAGGGTAGCTTATCAGCATAACTGTGTCATCATCTAATCCTAATGATCTTAACCCAAATCCTGAAAAATACAATAAGATTTTTACTTTTTGAATAATATTAAATTTTTCATTTGTTTATATATCAAGTTTTATCTTTTTCATGCCTTCAATTTTATCGGATTATTATCAAAGAATCGTCTTTCTATTAATAAAAGAACTTGAACTTATACATTATCTACTTTAAACGCTTAGATTTATTTTTATACATAATTTTGTGCATCGGTGATGTAATCTACTTCAATTGTAAGGTTTCAAAAAATTTTGCTATTAGATTATGTAGAAAAAAAACTGCGTCATGATAGATAATATTTTAATTTAGAAAAAAAATTGATTATTTTATAAGCTATATATGATGGACTATTATTGTATACTCTATAAGTTCAATTTTCTACACGAATGCATCAGAAGATAGTTCGATAATCAATAAAATATGAATAAAAAAAATTCGGCTTAAATATTTAAATTGATATTATAACTTACCTAAAATTATACCAAGCATAACACCAGACAAAGTAACTAAAAGAAGCATGTTTTCACGCATCCATTTCCTTGTATCGGCCGTCACCTTTCGGGGACCCTGCGAAGCTGAAACATCTTGTCCACCCATCTTGGCGAAGAGATACTCAGAAAAGCGGGCCGATGATTTTTCTTCCATTGTGTTATAAAAGTGCTTGATTGATAATCTTGATGATTATCAAAAGCACTTGCGGAATGCAGTGGAGTTCTGACAATACCGAAATGACGATAGGTTGCCGTTTTGAATATATAAAAGTAAATTCGTCGATCACAAAACTTGGATCCACCTGACGTATTCTTATTATTTGGGATAGGGTTTTATATTGTCGTTTTATCTAATGCTGATAGATTATTTGTCTATTAATTGAGTCTCAATATTTATAAAGTTTAATGTAAATCTTTGGCTACAATGGACTTTCCTATTTGTACTACAAATTTAATTATTACTTTTCAAGCACCTTTTTTTATTATTATATCACACGTAATTTTTTAGCTAACTAATCAACATTTAAACTGTTGAGTTATCCTTTATTGATTTTATCTGCTTTAAGTTTCACCAACCTCAAATAATCTAAGGTTAATAAATGTGTTTGAACGTAAAAAATTTTCCTCTCTACTTTCATACACCTATTTTTTAATTCACTTAGAATGTGTATAATAATACAATTAATTCGTTATTTTTTAGTTCAACTTTCCTGCCCAACACTCTCTGATACGTGTCTTTCAGTCGACAAATCGTAACTGACTGGAGTTGTCAACCATTGTCGTATTGATCAAAAGCGTTCTTTTGATATTTAGAAGCACTTCCAAGATTTCGCACTTGCGCACTCACATATAAATATAAGTATACTCCATTATATAAAATTTTAAGACGTATTTGAGATAATTATGAATTACTTTTTAGGTCTGTAATGAGAAAATAAGTACTCTTGTATGTTATCCACATGAGCTATCATAACAATTGTTATATAAATTTTCACAGATGTAGGGATCCACATCTCTCTAAATTGCATTGTATAATGTTGCGAACTACACACTGCACACTGATTGACCCTACGTTTAAACTTATATTTATAATATCATGAATGGGAGTGATGTTAAATTATTTCTCCCGGATGCTCGTACGTTTAAAGAATATATCTTGCTATGATATATTTATGACGAAAGAAAAGCTCACTTTAATGGTACCATACAAAACGTTCCATTATTTTCTAGAACTCAATTTTTGGGAGTACCGAAACCGATTAGTGCTTATTCATGAAAAGCTTATCTATTCTGAAATTAGAATACTCCTATCTTTAGCTTAGTAATGTAGGAAGAGAATAAGTTAATCTCTACATTGTATGACTCATTTCCTTGAATAGAAGAAAAAAATAGCTTGGATTTATCCTTATTGAATGCCACTAGTTCATTTAGGGCTTTAGGTAACATACTTATTTGAAGAATTAGTTTCCGAAAATGCATTATTACCTTCAGTTCTATTTTGTTCAAAGGTTAAAAGGTGCTTAACTAAAGATTTTGAAGTTGTTTGTTCGATCACGCAACTTGACAATCAAAAAGGATTGCTTCTTCAATGACCTACAAAAGCTAAGAGTTATATCGATGACCTTAAATCTAGGAAGCAAAATCAAGTTAATTAAATGCCAATTATATTTCGAAAATTTTATTTAATTTAGTGAATATTACATAATTTTTTTCTCTTTACACTGTACAATCTATATTCGAACTATTATATTGGAGCAAAAGAGAACCTCTATGCAATTTTTTTGTAAAGAATGTGAAGAATGTATTATACCCTCTTCACTATTTTTATGAAAGTTGAACAATAATAAAGAACATTGTAGTAAAGTAGAAAATAACTTTTGCTAAATTATTATAAGCACGAACTAGTTTTGAAAAATATTTATTACTATTAATATATATTAATTTTGAAATGGATTTACTTTTTCAGTCTATTAATATCTTCCAAAATTTGATAAAGGAATTATATGTAATGACATCAATATGACGTGATCCATCGATTTTCGGTGGATGATGTAAACCATTATTATATAATTTGTTCGACTCGTCAGAGAATATTATCTCGTAATAATTACTTTCATTATTATAATTGTTCTACTTCTTCTATATAACAATTTGTATAAATATAATATTGTTAATAAATTGATCGGACTAGCTTAAGAGATATTATCAAATTTCGGTTAGTTGATTACCTTTCCTAACCTAAGTTACATCATTCGGTATAAGCTCATTTCATAGAATATTAAGCATCTTGTAAAGGCTATGTAAACATGAATTTAATGTTGACAATTGAAGAATCAATTATTCATATTAATAATAATAAGATATTTTACGAACAGATTGCAATTTCTTTCACTAGTCCGATTTTAGGCTACAGAAATATTCTGTATTTCATGTATTACATGTAACATGCACTTTTACTATTTTTTGTACAATTAAAATAATTTTCTAATCATTATTCTTACTACACATACTGTTCATTATTATTGTCTATTTGTTAGATATTTTCTTTAAAAAGTTTTGTCCTATTTTGTGTAAAAATATTAAAATTTTTTATCCGTTCTAAAATTCTATTCTATGAACGTTCAGTTTTACGTGCATTTAATGCAATTGTTTGAAATTATTTACATTTCTTTCCACAAGTGAATTTTGGACAGTTAATTACTTATAAATTTTCCATTATTTCAACGTTCATTAATCAACTAAGGAAGATTTGTACAAAAGTATTCACAAGATTTAAGTAAATTCTATAATTGCATATTAACAAAAATCTATACACAATTTAATATTTAGTAATTCGTTTAGTTAATGCAATTTTTATAATCACTTGTATCATGTCCTGAGTAAATACAAAAGCCATTCATGACATGAATTAATGTGAGTATTAAACTAAACGAGAAAGACGATGCTTAGAAAGTTTGATAGATGTGACCAATTCAAGTATCATCTCTCAAGATCTTGGAAATCTTAGATCTCTGTATACAATCGTGCAATTAATTTCCGTGTGAAAGACAAATTATAACAATAAGTAGGGATATCAGTCTTTATTTTAAACAGAGTGGCACTACTATGGCCGAGTATATTGATAAAGGTAAATTAATATATTACGGAGTCAAATGACCAAAAAATCAGTTCAAATAAGTAGTCTTTACGTCCTTGAAAAGATTCTAAGCTCAATTCTTGGATGTTTTTTCTTGAGCAATTTATAATTTTTTTAGATTATATAAATGGCAGTGACAATTTGAGCATATCATTGTCCTAAATCTAATTGATTGTAAGTCAACACGTTTTTCGTGTTAAGCAGTAACCTAATTCACTGGTTTGTTAAAGACAATAAACGGAGTTACGTATAAAATCAAGTTACGTATTAAAATTCATACTAAAAAAAGATGATACCAAAAAAGAGCACAAATATCAGAAAGTAATATTATATAATAAATAAATTAATATATACACTACATGAAAACTTTAAGATTCATAATTTTGGCACAAAATACTTTTATCTCTATTCATAATCGAAGATTATTCCCTCCTTTATTCTAAATAATAAATTAGCATGGCGTTAAATAATACCGATTAACCAAAGTAAGGAATAAATTTATTTTGATCTCGTGAAATATGTTTCAATACACCCCAGATCGTATCACACTTTCAATTATTCAATACGTAATTAACTCAGGACTTGACACTTACAGTCTTATATGAAAGTAGCTAAATTAAGTTCTTCATAATCAAAGGGATCATTTGAAATCGAAGTAAAAATTAGCTATTAATATGGATGCAGTTTCATTATTAAAGTTAAGTCTTTAAAGTTTTATGGAATTATTTTTTAACTAACAAACACTAAAAGTTTTTATTTTTGTTTTAATTTAGAGTTGTGTTTGTTAAAAACTGTATTCCAATTTATTTATTTATCAAACTAATTTATATTCATGATTTTGATTTCAGAAATATTCCCAGTTAATATTTTCCAGATGCTAATAGCTCGAGAAAACAACATTATTAAATCTTTAACTCATTATCCACACTCGTAAGATTTCGAGTAGGATTCTGACTACGTTGTGGAGTTGGTGGAACGAGAGGGCTAATACTGGGACTTCTTGTAGCAAGAGGTGACAATGAAGGTGAAAAGCTAGGACTCAAAGCAGCTGCTGGAAACGCCGAAGCGTCATGACTGATAGGAGAACGGGGTAGAATTCCTCGACCTAATATAGGTACAGCTAGAGACCTTGGAGCAATGGAAGTAAGTAATGGTGGTGGTGGAACTTTATGAACAGGTTTATGTCTAGAATTGCTGCTAAAATTATTATTATTTTGAACAGTCGTCGTATCATCCTTGAGTCTTGCAATCTCGCTAAAAACATGCGCAAGCGGTTGATACTGTGGACCCCAATCCAATAAATAATCCCAATTGTAAGAACCAGTGAGTTCTTCTTCACTATGAACTATTGAGCTTAAGGATCCATTCATTGAAGGATCTCCTGGAACTTCTACTTCAAAGCCTGATTTCTGAGGATTATCAATTTTTCCATAAATCAGTGTAGCTATTTCGGCCTCAGTCACTGCTTCATCTCCAAACAAATGAATACTATCAAGTGGCAAGTTTTCAATAGATCTTCGAGGATTGCTTAATGGAGCATCAACGATTCCTAATCTCGCAAGATATTCTTGAGTATTATGAACCGAAATATCGCTAACTGAATCTCGACTAGCTTGTCCTTCATTAATCATTCTTATTTCTTCATCCTCTCCATCATCTTCTGCTGATCCTCGACCTGATGAACCAGACCTATCGCTTCCAGATAACTCAGATGTAGCTTGATGATTAATAGACTGTGCTGATGGACCATAAGGTGGGATTTCATCATATTTCGGAGGTGCAAATTGGCAAGAACTACTATTGTCAGAGTTTCGATGATTTTGGCCATTATCAGAAACACCTATTCCAGATACGTTCCTGATCGGTATGGTATCAAAAGCATTAGGATTCACATAATTATTAGATATTGCAGCATTTTCGTCATTCAGGCCTGATTTTAGAGTAGGTTTTTTATTCTTGCGGTTCTTGAAATACAAATAAAGGAAGATTGTCCCGAAAATGATTAACAAAAGCACTAAGGCAATTAGAAGACCTAGAGCCCAATCGGCTAATCCTTTATTTGCAGTTACTGCCATATTATCTTTATGATTGGGATGCGCTCCGAAACCACTTGAAGCATAAAAGTCCTTCGCTTCATCAGTAGTGATTCTAATTTCTATCACAGTCGAATTAGAAAATGACTCTTGTTTCCCCGAACTTGCACTCACAACTAATTTTACTATCGGTTCGATATCGTTTAAACTGAATTTCTTCTTAACTATTAGCACACCAGTTGTTCTATTTAGTTTGAAATAAGGATGTTGGGATGATAATTGATAAACCACTCGCCCATCAGAGCCTTTATCTCTATCAGTAGCTTTTACTTGACCAATCACTGTACCAGGCACCATTTGAGCATCTTGGATATCAAATCGATACATTTTTTCTGTGAATTGTGGATAGAATTCATCTCTTGAATCTATTTCAATTCTTACTCGAACTGCTGCCGATCTTCCACCTGTATCAGTGGCTTTTAAAGTAAAGGCATACCGATTTCTTTGTTCATAATCAAATACTGCTGATGTCGTTACTATTCCATTTTTAGGATCCACAGAAAAAAGCTTCCAGCTATCATCGATATCTGAAAATTCTCGTGCCACAGCTGATACAATTGAATAATTCAATTTACTAAAAACTCCTCGATCAAGATCTGAAGCATGAGCTGTAAATACTTGAGTGCCGGCTGGTTCATTTTCACCAACAAATTCAAAATACTCTAGAACTGGGAATCTTGGTGAATTATCATTTACATCTTCTAGATGAATGTACACTCGAGTTAATGTACATAAAGGTGTTGAAATATCTGAATCACAAGCAAGTATGATAAGAATATAAGTTTCTGGACTGAGATCGCAATCTAAAGCAGAGTGAACCGAAATGACTCCACTTGTATGGTTCAATTGGAATAATCCCGCATCATTACCAGAAGTTATATTGTAAAAAATGGTCGAAGCAGGTGTTCCAGCGAGATCTTCATCAATTGCTTCTGTTGTAATTAATACAGTACCAGGAAGTATGTCTTCTTTGACAGATAATTCATAGATTTCTTGTGTGAAACGGGGGTAGTTATCATTAATATCATTTACAGTGACTGTTATTAAGATTTGGCTATCACCGCTTTCTTCTGATGAATTGAAACGTTTGGTTCCAAGATGTAAAATGTACCTACGGACGGAAGAGAAAATGGTTAATCTTTGGTTGTTATATAGATGTTGGTCTAAAAGTAAGCATTTTTCTCATTTCCAAGCAAAACAATAAAAATATTTGAAGTCTAGGTAAGAATTTTCTTCAAATTTTTTATTATTATAGAAAGAAATGTTACTTTTAGAAAATATTTTTTAAATTTTACTCAAGATAAACACCTGTCTTTCAGTTCCCGATCTAAATTCCTGACAACAATTAAGTTTCCATTGGATACCTCGAAACAATTATCATCTTCTTGTGATAAAATTAAAGCATTAGACATTTCAAGATCCGATAATTTCAAAATACTTGTTCCCCTAATTACATTCTCATCTATTTGTACTTTAAATTCTCGATTATTTGATAGATTCTTCAAGCTATTTAATTTAACAATAACTAAACTAGTCGATGATAACGGCGGTTTGCCTGAATCCTCTGCAACTACTACGAGTTCTATTTCTTTTGGCAATGGTCTTTGTAAAGCAGTTCGATTGACGGTAACTACGCCAGTATCAGAATTTATACTAAATCCTTTAATAGGTCGTAGAAGATAATAACGGATTAATTTGTTTTCTTCCTGTAAATCATCATCTGTTGCACTTACGGTTATTATGTCGGTTACATCTTTATGATTTTCTGTAAAAAACATTGATTTGATAAAAAATAAGAATCATCAAATCATTTTAATGAAACTATATTATTTGAATGAATCAAATAAAATGAATGAACCTACCTGACAATGTGACAAAGTGTGCCGCCTGTGTGAATTTAGGAGGATTGTCATTAACGTCAAGAATTTTTACCGTAACATCTGTCATAGCCTCATGAATACCATCACTGGCAATCACTTGAAAAGTATATTGACGACATTCTTCTGCATTCAGGTTTTGTTTTAAAGTTATTTTGCCACTATATCGATCAATAGTGAAAGGTATGGATTTATTGTTATAATTTAGACGATATAATAAATGTGGAGAACTATCAACATCATTAGCTGTAATAGTTGATATGACAGTTCCAACGGCAGTATCTAAAATATTTATCATATGTTTAATTCAATAGCCATTCAAACAATAATCAATAATATGTTTACCTTCGGCAATAGAAATTGTATTGTGTCCAGGAAACGTGGGTTGATTGTCGTTTACGTCAATAACTCGAATACTCAGTGTAGTAGTACCCGTTAACTGAGGATTTCCTTGATCAGTGGCTATAATAGTCAATCTATATTCTTCTTTAATTTCCCGATCTAAGACTATATTTGTACGAACTATACCACTATATGGAGGATTGATTGTAAATGCATTATCGGGATTTCCGTCAACTATATGATACAACAGCTTGCCATTGAGACCTTGGTCAATGTCACTCGCTGAGAGCTGAAAAACAAAAAAAATATAAAAAAATTTTTATTTTAAAGCAAGTTTTTTTATATTGATTTAAATATGTCTTGTTTTTAAGCAGACATGTATTTCTTACCTTTAAAATAAAATCACCTTTAGCATTCCCCTCTAAAGCAATAGCCGAATACTGAGGTTGAGTAAAAATAGGCGGATTATCATTAACATCAGCTATATAAATAACCAGTTTTGCATAAGCTATCAACGGTTCGAGTTCTACTGTTTTTGCAACCAAAGTTAACACACGTTTTGACCTTCCTTGATTTCCTATTTGATCTCTCTTCTCCACATTATCAAATTCTTCGGACGATTGAACATTCTTATTGACAGATTCATTTTTATTTTCAAAAAGTGTTGATTCAATATTGAGCTCAGCATCGAGATTCGATGGATTATTAACTTTCACAATGCCTGTATCCGGATCTATGGTAAAAGTTTGTGAACTATCATTTGGTTCAATTGAATAAGAAATGTGTTGACGACGTCCATCAGACCGTACTGCCAGCACTTGAATAATTTCTATACCGACAGCAGCATTTTCTTGGATCATTACTTCATATGTATTATTTTGAAATTTTAGAATAGGAGTTATTTCATCTAAGCTATCAATGAAAATTCGAATCAATCCAGTCGTATTTTTCGATGGATTTCCTTTATCTTTTGCTAAAACTTCGAGATAAAAAACTTTCCCATATTCTTGATTCAGAATTGTTGTTGTTGTAACGATCCCAGTATTTGGATGAATGCGGAATTTAGGTTTTTCTTGCTCATGTAGAAAAGAGTAAACAATTTCTCCGTTGATACCATCATCAAGATCTTTCGCATTTACTTGGAGAATGACTTGGCCCGGCTGGGTAGTAACTGGAATAGTGGTTGTAAACGGAGTCTTTTCGAAAATCGGTGCATTATCATTTACATCAACTAAGATAATCTCAATGGCGATTGAAGTGCTTTTGGCATCGTAATTACTTCCATCTGTGGCAGTTACCATAAAATTGTATGTGTTTTGGAGTTCACGATCAAGGGAGCTAAATACACAGTAAAAAAAAAGATTCTTATAAATTTCAATGAATGTTGAAATTGAAATAATTGCACGAATATTTGAATTATATGAAAGTTATAAATATCTTTATTAAATATGACTCAATAATAAATAATAGATAACTATTGCATAAATATGTAAATGAAAGTAATTCTTACCCAGCTGTTGTGATAATACCCGTGAAGTTATCAATCTTAAAGAGCCATGTTGATTCTTCAGCAAGAGCATAAGTAATCTTTCCATTAATACCTTGATCTGGATCTGTTGCTTTCAAGGTCATAATTGACGAGTCAGGAGGGATATCTTCCGAGATTGATACAGTATATTTATCAGAATTATATCTTGGATAAACAAATGAACTAGAAAATTGGCTGTACAGTTGGCCATTAAAATATTCAGTATCTCTGTATTCAGAATGATGATCATTCGTATTTTGATTTCGTAAAAACATCGGTGAATTGTCATTGACATCCAACACTATTACAGTAATGTTACAATAATCTTCCAATGAAGGTAATTTTTTATTTTTTGCAGAAATTGATAACAAATATCGGGAAGTTGTTTCTCGGTCCAAGCTTGAAGCATACAACTGACCAGTTGTTGAATCTAATTTGAACTTTTCACCAATGTTACCACCTGAATAAAGGAATAATAATTGTATACGAAATATTTTTTTATAGAGTGATTATATTATCCTACTATCATTCTAAGCTTGATTGGAACCTAAATTGTCGTCAATACGAAATCTATTGGTATTCATGGTTTCATCTATGCTTTAGAACTCACCAATTATGCTGTACTGAATATCATTACTCTCAGTATCAACACCAAAAGTTGCAAATGTATGGACGATTGAGTTTTCTTGATTTTCAGGTATTGCAAGAGTATAACAAGATCCAGGTAAAAATTTAGGAGAATTCTTTTTCTGTACATTAACTTCAAGAATTGTCACATCAAAAAGATTATTTGATTCCGCAATAACTGGTATGTGATAACTGGTCAATATTTTGTTATTCAAGGCTTTCCTTAAAGTTACAATCCCTGTAGATGACACACCAAATTTATCGTCATGAATACCTGTCGGTATTCGAAAGGTAATGTTCTCTAAAAAATACAAATGAAATGATTATTAATATGCATTACCATTACAAATCATTAATATTTCATACAGCTAGAAATATTTTTATTTTATTACCATGAGTATGGCGAGTAGAAGCAACTAAATCTGTGATCAATCCTCCAACCGAAAAGTCCTGAGGAATATCAACAACTGAATGAGTCATCATAACGCGTGGAACATTAATTATTTGATCAGTTGCAATGGTCAATGTTATATTCATCACGGCTCTTCTTGAGGGTGTACCATGGTCATTCGCAATAATTTGTAAAATAGTATCCTTCACAATAGATTTAGTCAAAGTGATGATACCCGTGTCATAACCAACTGAAAATTTAGATGCTTCACTGTCTGAAGCTATAATATACGATACACGACCGTTTTTTCCATCATCTTTATCTACTGCAATCACTTTTACTATATTTGTCCCTAGTAAAATAAATTTACAACATAAGTTAACTAATTCAGCTTTTGAAAAGAATATTGACAAAGCTCATTTTGAACATGATGCACTCACCGGGCACAAGATCTGGTGTTATAGATATTTTTGTTACTTCAGGAGCAACAAAAACTGGATCATTATCATTTTCATCCAAAATAATTATTTTCGCTGTAACCGTTGATGATAATCGTTCACTGAGAGCTGCACAGTCCGACGCTTTGATTGATAAAATATATTCACTTTTCTCTTCTCTGTCGATTAATTTAGTCACCGTAAGAGCACCAGTAACAGAATCTATTGCAAAACTTCCAGAAGATGGAAATTCATAAATTAATTCATATCTAATATCACCATTTAAACCACTATCTAAATCAGTAGCAGTAAAATTATATATAATAGATCCTATTTCTGTATTTTCGGGGATTTTTATCACAATTGGATCTAGCGACCATTTAGGAGGATTATCATTGAAATCATCTATGATGATTTTCACTGAGACTGCAATGCTTTGAGGATTGCCGATGGATGTGGTATCTAGCGCACGAACTTCTAGATAATATTCACTGATATTTTCTCGGTCTAGTGCATGTGCAACCACTAGTTCGCCGGAGCTTCTATGAACATCGAAAATAGGGTTTGTAGTTGATGGTGTTAGAAAATTAACGGAATAAGTCAATCGTCCTGCTGAACCAGTGCTGATCACTGATCCTACTGTATGACCGATGGTTGCATCTTCTCGTACCTGTATAGGTTTTGAGTGTTATTTTTTAAATTTTATTTTATATGATTTTTCTAGAAAAAAATAATGTTCTTACATGAAATGTAAGGCTACTGCTTCTAAATGTTGGTCGATTATCAGCAAGTGCAAGAACCTCGACCCGCCAAGTCCGAATACTGTGTCTAGGAGGTTGTCCAGCATCCATAGCCTTTACGGATACACGATAAACATCTCGTTCTTCATGATCGAGTACCAGTTTTGTTCTTATAATTCCAGTGATGGGATCGATGGAAAACACACCAGATTCATTGGAGTCTAGATCTATTAATAACATCACAAAAAGTTGTGTAGGAGATTTATATTGTTAATTCCTTGTAGTCTAAATAATTTTCGATAAGCATTTTAATTCGTTTATGTTTAACCTCGCGCATATAATTATTATAATGCAACCTTTCAGTTGAGAAGAAAGTTGGATGGATGCATTTTATCAAGCTCATTTATCTACAGTATTCTAGGATAGTCATCGACTGTGTATTTAATAATTTTTTTCGCGAATACGACGATTAATCTGTTGGGTATTTTTTGTAGCAAAAAAAGGACTGAAAATAAATAATACCTCTTAAAATAGTGTAAGTAATGGTTGAATTTTCATCCAAATCTGGATCAATTGCCCGTACTTTAGCCACTTCTGTTCCAGGTACTTGTTCTTCCCTCACACTTACAACATCACCTTGTGGGTCAACGATTATCGGAGAATTATCATTTACATCAAGAACAGTAATTCTTAAAGATACTCTCGATGTTTTCGATGGAATTCCGCGATCTTTCACTTCCAATACTAACTCATATACACTTTTCATTTCGCGATCAAGTGGCTCTCGAGTGGTGATTTCACCTAAATAAATTATTACATTAACATATGTATTACGTGGATTATTTTATCTCTATTGAGAATATACTTTATAACAATTATAACTACCTGTGTCAGGATCGATAGTAAAGCTACTATTGTGCTGAACTATGGCATATTTCAAAAGTGCATTTACATCCAGATCCGGATCAAAAGCACTTACGCTTCCAACTAAAGTACCAGGTGGTAAATTTTCTGCCAATTCAAAAATATAAAATTCTTTCTCGAAGTGTGGACTGTTATCATTCTCATCAAGAACCATAACATAGACTAAACAGGATGCGGTAGATGCTGGATTACCATTATCAGATGCTATTACACTCAGAACATAGTGATCTATTGTCTCTCGATCGAGAAATTGTGTTAAATAAATCCAACCAGTATTTGGACTAATACGGAAAATGGTGGAATTTAGAAGTCTATAACTGATTCGTGCATTATTACCTGTATCTAAGTCTAGAGCTGTTACTTGTATTATCTAGAAGCAAGTTTTTAATTATATTAATTTATCATCGAGAGTGAATGATTGAGGGGATAAATTAAAAATTTTAATGGCAATTTTTTCTTACCTGAGAATTGATTTGGGCATTTTCTGAAACATCAACATGATATTCATTCCTTTCAAATACTGGAGGATTATCATTTACATCTTGAACTTCTATATTTAAACTCATATTAACCGAGAGTCCACCTCCATCTAAAGCACTTATTGATAAACTATGCCTCTGTTGACACTCATAATCTAATTTACGAGACAGATAAAGTTCTCCGAGCCGAACATCAATTCGAAATAAATCATTATTATTTTGGTTTAGGATGTAATAAATAGGTGTCGATGGGACACTGTCAGGATCAATCGCATGAGCTATGTATAAAGGCATGTGAAGTGGGTAAGACTCTGGAACTGATATTTTTACGTTTATATTTGGAAATGTTGGTGGATTATCATTTTGATCTTCTACTGTTACTTCAACCTATTAAATGATATCATTCAAAATAGTTAATAAATTATCTTTTTGAAAATTTTTAATGAATCTAATGTAAATCATTTACCTGACAGTAACCAATTCCTCTATCATTTTTAACGCCAACACTTAAAACATATTTATCTTGAAGCTCTCTATCAAAGCTTATCTTGGATCTTAAAATACCCAAAATAGGATCGATAGTAAATTCCACATCTCCAGTTGCCAAAAAAAATCGATTTTGTTTACCTGCAATAGAGAGTACTAAATCGGTACATATTTGGATAATATTAAAGACATGATATTTATAACAATTCATAAAAAATAATTGTGATACTAAAAAGCCCTAGGAGATTGGATATTCTGATGAAAAGGAATTTATTGAAGTAGCTGGTCGTGATGCTGGGAAAGTTCTAGTGACCTCAACGGTTGATAAAATTATTCCAGAAGCGTACTATACCCTGTGTTCTTCATGGAACTACTAGTTTCATCTAGAACTAGAGATCACTAGCCTATCAACAAGTTGTTTTTGATCTACCACAATGATGGTTATAGAATCAAACATAGATCTATCATTTGATCAAATAAAACCTGGTTGAGTTTAGCTTCATTTTATAGAATTTCATTTAAACTGACTAGAATTTAAGTCCTTTGATATGTAACTAAGATTTATTATAAATATTCGTAAGAAATAGTATTAAAAAGTCGATTTTTGATATCGAAAATATATTCTAAATACGTTGACTTCAATACTTTACAAGTACGAAATCAGTATCTTTTGTTTCTTCAACAAAACTTATGCAAACGATCTTAAACTACCACTTCTCGGTGCAGAACACGAAGGGAGAACAAAAAGGCCGAACAATGGCGGGTAGCGTTTGACTGCCCGGAATGTGACTCATGACAATTTATTCGGAGACGAAACCTTTCTTGTGTTTTCGTTTTTCTTTGTACATATTCGTTACGATAATACTCGGACGTCCATTCGAGTCTCACATCTGCTGACTTGAAATGACCAAAAGCTTCCGAAATTTTTAGTTAAAAAAACTAGTGTTTATCTGATTTCACTATCAAAAACAGAACAAATATGAATAAATTTCATACATTGAGAAAAAAATGTATGAATGCAAGATTTTTTTTCCATAGAAAAAAGATTTTTTTAAGGTAAAAGAGTGATTTATCATGGGAAGATTCTGTTTCTTTTTCTTGGCCCATCAATGATATCTTTTTAATGATATAATAAAGTATTCTATGCCAAATTTGATCATTTATAAAAAAAACTAAAAATCATGTTGATTTTTTTAACATCCAATGGTAATACAAAAAAGGTTATCTAGGTATAGATATATTGATAAGAGATTGCATTCATGTTATTTATACTTGTAATAAAATTCTTAATCTATTAGAAAGATTATTATAATATAAAAACAACGATTTTAAAAAAATAAAAAATATTTTTTTTATCTGATAGAATTGCTTTTGTTTTTGATCCTTGTATCAAAGAGACTAACGAACTCAGTTAGCATGAATAATTAATTAAACACAAAAAAATTAATTCACTTGATAATTTTATCTTAATTCAAAGAATATATTATTTAAAGTTATTGAAATTGTTATTAAATAAAGTATTTTCTTTTAGAAATTACTAAAATGGTTAAATCATAGGAAATTGAATTTCACCCTCATATTTTATGTAAATGATTCATCCATTCAACACTATAAAATTCCAAGAGCTCTTATAATAATCCTGTGGAGACTTAATTATTTTTTTTTTATGATTGTTTTAACCAAGATATCTTGAAAATAAATTTGATTAATCTTATTTTACTTACCGGAAATGACATCCTCAACGGTATGTTTTATAGTACCAATAACACTATTTTTCAAATTATTTTCTTTCACACTGATAGTATATCTAGGATGTTCACATGTAGGGATACGTTGATTTGCTGATACACTCACTCGTATATGAGCATCAATATTGTTTCGAATACCATCAGCATTCGTAGCAGTAATATTTAAAAGATAAAGTGTTGATCTAGCCAGATGATTAGGTCGTATAATTTGAAGTTCTCCAGTAATTCTATCAATTCTAAATTCTCCTCCGTCATTACCACTTGATATTCGATAAATAACTTGACCAAAGAGTCCTTGATCAAAGTCTTTACTAAACACTTTTAATATTGTACTACTTGGTGAAATGTCTTGACGAATGGTTACATTGTAATTTTGCGGATTAAAAATTGGCCGATTATCATTGACATCAATGACTTGAACTCGTATAATAGCTGTAGTACTTAATCCACCTGTAACAAACATGGTAAAGCATGTCTTTAGTACATTATAGCTATTTGTTATATAACAATGGTACTAATTAAATAGGATACTGCATGTTTTTACCGTTATGTAAATTTTAATCAAGGTAAAAATAATGAGGAATTTGTTAGAAACCGAAGTTTAGATGGTAAAAGTTTTTGCATGTAAAGAGAAAGGTCTTGGATTTGATTCTCAATCAGCTTCAATATATTTTTTTAGTAATATGTTTTTTTTTGTTCAAACCTTTAGTTTGATAGTGTTTGAACCACTTTCAAGATTATGGAACAAGAGTAGAGGAGGAGGATGAGGAGGATGAGTATGATATATAATTACCCAAATTATGAATTAGTGTAAGAGAAAGTGGAGTAAACATAAAAATGGAGTAATTACAAGCACAGTGTTCAGTAATTGGAGTCATCAAGGATTGGGCTTTTCTTAAAGATGTTTATTTTTATTGAAAGTAAATTTTTTATTTTAGAATTTGATTAAAATTCATTCAGATATTTTTGAAGTGATAATTTGAAGTATGATTAAAAGCAATAAATAATTTTGTATTACTTTTTGTTATTATTTAAAGGTGTTGGTAATTATCTCACTTTCATCGATATATGATAAATAATGTTTTTTATTCTTAATAATACCTCGGTCAGTTGCAATCACAGATAGTTCCAGGAATGGAAGAGTTTCTCGATCCAACGGTGATCGTACACAGATTTCTCCGGTATCACTGCGCACGAAAAGTTGTTCATTGACAAGCTGCTGTCCAATACCCAGAGTGTAGTTTACCATGGAATTCACACCGCAGTCAGGATCTGTTGCTTGTACCTGAAATACATCCCAAAATATTTATTGAGTTTAATGAATAAAAATGGTTCTTTGGGAGAATTATTTCAACCAGCAGAGTGTGAAATGCATTTTTTTATAAATTATTATCTGAATCGGCTCTTTTGCTTTCTATTTAACATTTATTTTCGCGAATTTCTTCTTTTTTTACCGACGTTAATATTTCTTTTCATCACTTATATTTTCTTGAATTTTTTCCCTTTTCAATTCCCTCGGTTTTCTGGCTTCTTATTCACTTTTTTCCCTCGGTTTTTTAACCCTATTATCTTCATTTTCTCTGTTTTTTAATTTTTCATGTTTTCTTTCTCCATCATCCGCTCTCTTCTCCCTCATTCTTAATATTTTTTTCTCCTCATCTTCTTTCTCTTCCAATCTTCACTGTTTTAAATCTTTTTCTTCTCTTTACCATCTAATCTTCAACTCTATCATCTTCAGTTTTTCATTTTTTTAATTCTTCCCGTTTTCCATCTTCTGCTTCGTTCTTAAACTCTATTCCCTTAATTTTTTTACGTTACCAATTTTTTCTGTTTCATGACTTCTCTTTTTCCCGCTTGCTCTTTATTTCTATATTTCAATGCTTTTTTTTCTTTTATATCTATCTGTTTGCTCCTCCCTCTTTTCTACTTTGTTCTCCGGTTCAATTTTTTTTTTTACTCTTTTTTCTTTTCTAATTCTTTCTTCATCCTATCTTCTTCTTTCCTTTTTTTAATTTGTCCTTCAGATCTTTTTTCTGTAACTTTTTTTCTTCTAATTCTTGCTGTTTTCGGTTTCTTTCTCTTTCTTTGTACTTCTTAAGACTACTCTTTAGTTTTATTCCTTTGAGTTTCATTAAACTTTTTCTTTTTTGTGCGGTATATGGTATAATACATTTTCATAATACATGGATTGAGTTTTTTGGGACTACTGAAAATCAACTACAGAAGAATCTAATATATAGCTTGATATTAGACATAAATAATTATCATCAAGCATCAATTATCTTTTAGCATAATTAATTTTTATATAATGGTATACTGGTAATATAAAAACTCCAAAGTCATTAATATTAACAAAATTATTATAATAAATAAATGTGAATAAATAATTTAGTCTGAATAAAACTTTGTTATTTTTTTATTTTCAAATATGTTCAAGATTATGTTGAACATATTTAATCCTCTTTACTTTTTATTTTCGCAATAATAAAACATTAACTTCTCCATTAGTTTACTAATTGCACCGAAAATGATAAAGAGATAGATTTAATCATTAAGAATGTGTCCAATTTAAAGATTACTTCACAGCTTTCAGATGATAGGGGCCACAAGTCTTTAAATATATCAAAAAAATCTCAAAAGAACGAAAAAATTCAAACAACTCTATATAGCTGGTGGTGAAACAAAAAAAATTATGAAACAGTAGTCGAAGAGTAAAGGCGCTAAAATTTATAGAAAAACAATTAAGATTAAACCATATTTCTCCATTAAAAAAATATATAAATATGGCGTGAAGAAGTGAATGCATGAGTCGGGTCTTTAGATAACTTAGTAGCAGCTATAAATGCCAGAGGTGAGGTCCTTAAGGACCTTACCAACAGATTAAAATTCCTAAGTACAGCTTGATATGTCTCTTTTTATATTAATTTATAAATTAATTACTAATAAATTTTTATACTTTTAGGCTCTATATTTTTTTTGTATAAATCTTTTTAAAATAATATAAATAAACAAAAGTACTCGTGAAAAAACATAAATAAAATTATATTAAATATTTATTATAAAAGGGGTACCTTATTAATGAACATATAAAATACTTAAAAGCCAATAATTGTTATTATTATGAATAAACAATAGTTAGAAACGTTTTAGAGCTTTTTTCACGTTATTAAAGTTGATTACAGGGATTATAACAGCTATGTATATATTCACTAACAATCTATACAGTAACAATAAAACGATAATAGTAGCAATAATTCATAAAATACAGTTTAAAGTAATTGCAGTTTATTATACTGTAGTATGAATAATAAATTTTTTAATGAGAAAATATAGTTATTAACTTAATTAAGATGTGTATAACAAATTGTTGGATTTTAAAAAATATAAATATACAGATCTTTATGATTAACTTTAATGGAAAGTAAAACTGCTTTATTAAACGCAGTGGGTGGGTTGAAGTTACCATCTTGAATAACAAAGCACGAGACTTAAAACGTTAACTTGCATTAATTGAATATTTTTATCTTTTCACTATTGAATCCTCAAAGGATTAGAATATTTTTTATTTATTTCAGATGTTATGTAAATTTTGTTAATTTCTTTCAAGTGTGCAGAATAAAAATAAATAAATAAATGGCAAAACTTTTGATTTCTTTTCTCTCAACAGCTGAGTTAAAGGTTTGAAAAAATATTCATGCCCTAGAAAAACTCAGTTGAGAAAGAGTGAGCGAAAAAAAATCGCTTTGAAGAAATAAAAAGACAGGATAAATGTAGTCTTCTTTTTTTTTATCTTTCTATATCGAAAAGAAAGGTACATTGTGTATTTCCAAGAATTGTATTCTTATCGATAGATCTGTCGCGGTAATGAGGTATCAACCACTAGCAAATAAACAAATAAACATACAGAAGACGGCGGAGGCGGTCAAGAATAAAACCATCCTCTTCGACAAGATGCATCTCAAGTTAAAAGAAAATGAAGAAAAGAAAAATAAAAAGCCATCGATACAATGCTTTGATTAAACATTCTCTGTCTATATAATTAAAGAGAGTGAAGAGGAACAGTTTGAGAGAAGACAAACTTTCAAATGCAAACGATATCCCTCCATCGAGTTAAATAGAAATATTTTCTTTTATTTTCTAACTCTAACTTTCCTCACTGTTGTATCAAGTCTCCACCGTTTGCTCCAAAATATCAGGTTTCATACGTGACGGTGAAATGCATTCGTGCTTTCTTCATTTTCGAACCTTATTTTTTAGGTGCAAAAAGGCCACACTATATCCTATTCAGATTTTTTTTTAATAAAATAAAAGTTTTGTTAAAGGTCAGTGGAGTGAATAATTTAGCAATATTTAAATTTACATTTATTATGTTTTTTTTTTTTTCAAATATTTAACATGTCCTGATTGTTAAGTTGTTAAAGTTTATTTAAATTAAAAATAATTGTAATTAATTTTTTAGATGAGTTGAGTTTAATTACATTTTTTTCTTTTGTACAAAAAAATCTTGATTGATTGTTAAATACATCTTTAGCTTAAAAAGCTATTATTTCTTATTGTGATACTCTTATAAAACTTGTTATAATGCTTTTTATGAGGCTTCATTATTTTTATAATGATGTTTTATAAGATTCTGACGAAATCCAATTTATAAAAATATTCATATTTATCTTAGATGCATTAATACTGGTCATTGCATTATTATTGTGTAAGTTCTAAAAAAATTTTTATATTATACAGTATAGAATATTATAAAATATTTAAAAATTTTATCATTTACTATTTTTTTTATGCCTGATAGTAGTAAGATCTGATTTTAAAAAATGATATTTATATTTTATTTTAGCAAAAAACAAAAAAAAATATAAAAAAAAATTGTCCAAGGAAGAGTTGAATTACTAAAAAAGCATTTCTTGTTAATAAGACACATAAGGTAAGCAGTTGAAGTTTAAAAATGTCGAAAAAAATGTACATTTTCTCTGCTAAAAATCGAAAAATATCACGGACGTTTTTTACGTTTACGCGAGGACGACTGTTGCTTGTAAACGACAAAAGATAAAAATATGCCGTTGCAGACTTTTTGTAGGGAATTCTGTGCTCTACAAAAAAGGTGCAGTGACTTTTTATCGTACTTCACTCAGTTTTCGCTCCGTAAGCGGTTAAAGGTCAAAAAACGTACTTCTCACGAAACTCTATCATTATTATTATTCAAATAATATTATAGTTTAAATTCTCAAAGAATAAGATTCTCATCTTGATTTCTTCTACGTACTCAGCTTTAAAATAAATGCAATTTTTCAACGTTCGCCTGCTGATCTGAATATTAATTTTTTTTATCAAGAATAAAAGAAAGAAATAGTCTTCTGAACAAAAGTGAAATTTTTTTCTTAATAATATCATCATCAATGTTATTATAGGAAATAGTTTATTTTAGCAGTAAAAATATTTCATCTTGGAGTTAAAAAAGTATAATGAAGGTGTGCACTGGAGCAAGGTAAGTGCCGTCGCTAGAAGATGCGCGAAATAATTTTAAAAAATTCTCCCAAGCTAATTTTTTATCCTTAGCCCATTCGATGAATTTTTTTATCAAAATAATAATAAAGAATCCCTCCGGATTGAATTGTTTGAAAAAATAAATTGACATCAAATTCAATCTAATTTTGAATGTTGTGCATAAAATTTTGAAGCACTTGAATTAAATGCAAGAATAATTTTTTTGCAAAAAAAAAATTTAAATACTGTGAAATTAACTGTAAAATACTCTCCAATTCTTCAAATATGCTTTCAGAAGTTAATTTTTTTTTCTATCATCTTGTATTGAACAGACTTGATGTGTTTAATTTTAAAGCGTTTCTTAAACACTTAAATTTTCACTGCAATTACTAAATTTTGTCTTACAAAGTCAATGCAACATCGTGAGTGAACATAATTAAGTTAATATCACGTTTAAAACGTCAAAATAAACAATGAATATTTAGTAACTCCCTTTTTATTTATTAATTATATATTTTACATTTTTACCTTATAATTTAAAAAAGAAACATTTTTTTTCTTATTGTTAATATTCATGATTTAATAAAATAAATAAATTTATCATTAAATTCAGCTTAGGATTTTTTCAAGTTAACTTTTACGTTTTTTAGTCGTGAGCCATCTTGCCTCAGGGGACCATTTAACTCCAGCTTCCTTATATGTTTTATTTTCAATTGTTATATAACGATAATTAGTAGAAATCGAAGTTAAATTGACTCTCCTAAATATCCTTAAATAATCGATATAAAAAAACTAATTGCAAAATTCTGAAGAAAATAATTTAGAAAATACATAAATAAATAAATCAATTAGAAACTTTAATTTGCAATTGCGAAAATTATTTTGCAATTTTTCAATTAAAGAAACATTTTATATAAATATATTTATTAATTTTTTTTTTCTATAACTATAAATATATTATTAACTATTTTTGTTTCACAATTTAATTTTTTAAAAACATATTTTTATTTACAGATTTTTATTCTGTTTCAATAGCACGTTATTTTTTTTTTTGCTATACAGCAAATGGATTTATTTTTCTTCTGTAATTGTTTATTGATTCAAAGTAAGTGACTTGTTGATTCTACTTCTGTCAAGATTATTTAAGCTCAGCAGAAGCATTTACTGGATAAATAATAACAAAAAACAAATAAATATTTGTTAGGTTTGTTTTTACAGTTAAAGAAAACTACTTATGTTACCACCTTACTGGGTTACGCATACCCATATACTGAGTTGACGACATATTCACTCAACTATGCCTGATCTTTTAAAGTAGCTATAGCAAAGGATTTGCAGTAAAGATACGTAATCTCTCTTTCAACTTGTTCAACAATCCTTTCCCGCCAGTCTTGTATCTCTTCATATAATACAACCACCAAAAAGTTTTTTAATATTCAAGAATCCATCTAAAACCTCCAACTTTTATCAGCTTTTATTTATTATTAAGAATCCTGAGCTTCCTTGAATTTAAAAAATCTCTGTACTTGCTTTGCTGTATTTCCGTATGATGAATAATGTTAATGATAAAACCTCTTGTGGCCTATGATTTGGATTGGAATAAGAAGTTATTGAATAATTTAATCTATGTGCATGTTATCTAAACAAATTGCATGTAGATGATTTTTCTGTAGTACGTACATTATTATAATAAAATTTCCGTTCTACTGATTAATCATTTAAAAAAGCATAAAAAAAAATAAGTCATACTTCTTTTTGAAGGAGAGCGTATAAACGGCACAGAAACTGGTCAGGGTTGTAAGAAAAGTTGCTTGGCTAATAAAAAAAAAAAAAAAACATAATAAAAAAGGAAAGAATTCCGAAAGGCGACCAGCATTCCACGCAGAGTCAGTATTAATTATATTGAGCTTCACTGATGTTAATATACTCCTATATAATACATTTTTTTCAATGTTTTTCACATCTTTCCATCTCAATTTAGCAAGAAAAACTTTTTTTTTACTCAAGTAAAATGGTTAAATTGTGATTTTTTTTTTTAAATTAAAAAATAGTCTAAATGCATACTTTTTTTACCCTCATCATTATTATATTTTTTTTTCTGTAATCTTGTTTTTATTCTTTCTCGCTTAAATTTTGATGGGCAGGTGAAAAAAACAACCGAGCAGGTAGACGAGAATAGTAAGTAAATTACCTTTAAGATAAAATTCGAAGTGCGAGAGAATATAGCATGAAATAATTCAATCATTTCGAAAGTAATACAAATAAGATTCTAGATGGATTTTGTTTAATCTACAAATTGAAAATTAAAAAAAAAAATCAAATTAAAATAGTTAATTAATTGTCAGTTAATTTATAAGATTAATTACATTTTTATTACAAATGATTTGGCGAGACTCGAGTTCTAATTTTTATGCAATTATCATAAATGCTTGACCATCATTAGTTTGGCTCTGATTTATTATCATTTTTTTTTCGTATAATATTCAATAAAAGGTGAGAGAATATTTTTTTTTTCTCACCAGAACTCAAAAGTCTTCGTGTCATTGGTAATTTTCGATAAGTCATTACAATGAACTTTCGATTCGTTGCGCCCTGTAACTGCTGTAAATTCTGGAAATTTTATAACATTTCTGCCCGTAAGAAGGGTTTAATTTCTACATAAAAAGTTTCAGTTTACCAGCAACCCATACTTTTCTCATTGGAAGTCATATAATTTTATTACCCTCGATCTTTGACGACAGCCCCGAAATTTTGAAACAAATCGAGAGTTTACTGATTTTGTTTTTTAGATAATTGCGAACCTTATTTTTTATATTAGTAATGTTTGAGAAGTAAAAAATTCTGCTGATTGCTTTTTAAAAAAAAAAATTAGTTACACTTAAAGTTAATTTTCAGCGGATTTCCGTAACTCATTTCATTATAGCATTACAACTTTCATAATATTCAATTGAAATAACTTCCATAAAAATAATCATTTTAATTACTAAAAATTCATCAAATTATCCTTATTATCTACAAACTTTAATATCATTTACAATTAAAAATACTCTTTTCAATTATTACATAAATAATAATAAATATTTTTAGCATTATTATATTTACATTAAAAATTCATTTAAACTTTCAACATTAATCATTCACATCCTTTACATCCTAATTTTTATAATAATTATATTCAATCACAATTTCAGAGAAAAAGTTTTTTAAATTGGATTTTTTCAAGTACAATGGTATTAAGAAAATTTTTTTTAATGGGAACAATTGTTTTATTGCGCCATAATACATTTTTGTATATACCATCATAATTTCAGAGACAGCAAAGCTATACTTCTCGAATTCGCCGGATAAAGTTTTTACTAGAACTCCAGGTAGCTCCCTTTTCGTGATGTAGTCGAAATAATAATTACAATGCCGCCATAGTAAAATTTATTTGTGTCTCACTAATTCTCTATAGCGAGGCAGGAAGAGATCTATTCAAAAATTGCTATGGGCTCTTCGAAAAATACATATTAGTTCAAGGCTGTCCACCATTTCTGTCGATGCATAGCCAAATTAAAATTAAAACAACGAAATTTCCGTATAATTTTCTCCGTGTCCTTCTTCGAAATGACAATTCAAAAAATTCGTTGGATCTTTAATGACTTAACAATAAAAAAAAAACCATTCATTTTATTTTATTTATATAAAAAAAGTGAGTTTCAATTTTGCGAAATAAGTTAAAACAATTTTAATTAGGTTTTAATTAAAAAATTAATATGCATGAAGAGGAGTGTAAATTTAAAGTAAAGTGAATATTGCCAAATTTTAAACAATAATTGAAGTAAAATTATTTTCGTCAGTCAATAGTAGATAATAATGATTATTCTGTGAAATTTCTCACATCATTCTTTATTTTTTTTTAAAAGAAAAAGAATAGTCAGTAATTTTCATTTTGCACTCATTATTTTTCAAAAGACATAAGTAAACAAATTACTGAAGGTCGTAAAAAAATAATTGGTGCGAAGAAAAAATTAGAAAGTGTCATTTAAGAATAAAAAAATTACGGTTAGAAGTTATTATATTCAATTGGCTGAAAATTAAGTAAAAAATATATCCATAAAGTATATTCGGATGCAATTTTATTTCATATGAGTTCTCAAAAGTGATTAAAAACCTTAGCATGACTTAAATGAAATTTGATATGTGAAACATGTAATTCGAAAGTCTTTTGACATATTTAAATGTAATATCCAAAAAGAATACATATATAAAATTAAATAAAAAGAAAGGAAATAAGAGAACAATCATATCTCATGATTCATCCAGTTTTTTTATAATATTAAAATAAATTGCATCATATCAATTATTCTTTTAAATTTTGAATACAAAAAAAATATGCCAAAATCATAAATGCATCAACACTAAATACATGTCCGGATTTGAATAAAATTTTTTTCAACAATTATCATGAATTGTTTAAAGTTTTATTAATTGTTGTATTTTTAGAGCATCTTAGCATGATGATATCGACCTGAAAGACCTAAATGATAAAGAAAACTAAAAATAACTGAAGAAATGCAAGAATAATTCATTCACAATTACCTTGAGAAAGCAGCGTCCAACTGGTAAGTCCTCAAGTACACTAACATTATACAGAGGCTTCTCAAAGATCGGTTCATTATCATTGAGGTCATGAACTGTTACTTTTACAGTAGCACTTCCACTTAAAGCCGGTCGACCACTGTCCGTGGCAATGACGACTAGAATCGGTGTGGGATTCGTTTCACAATCCACATGTGTCACTGAACTTATTAATCCGGTATCTTCGTTAATCGTAAACCATGTTGAATTTTTCAAGGAATATTTAATGACTGCATTCAAACCATCGTCTGCATCAGTAGCTTTAACAGTGAGCACAGATGTTCCAGGTTCTGATGCTTCTAATATATGAGCTTCATAATAATCATGTTCAAAAATAGGTGTATTATCATTGACGTCGGTTACGAGAAGTTGAAATTTTCTTACAGCTCGAAGTGGAGGAGTTCCAGCATCAGTTGCTTCTACAGAAAGATCATAAGTTGGTTTCTCTTCACGATCTAAAGGTCGTTCTATAACCACAAGGTATATTATATTATCTCTTGTGGCTAAGCCAAAACGTCCGTCACCTCCGAAAAGCGTTACTGTGGCGTTGGAATATTCAGTTCGTAAATCAGGATCACTTACAGAAATACGTGCTATAAATTCACCCGGTTGAGCACTTTCACTAATTTTTGGTGTTGCATCATCAGACAAAAAAATAACTGTTATTGTTGGTTGATTATCATTAACATCCTTCACGTAAATAGTTAAAAAAACACTAGCTTCCAGAGGTTGAGCACCCATGTCCTTTGCAACTATCACTAATTCATGACGTTCCTTTCGTTCGAAATCTAATACTTTATTTACATATACAACTCCGGATTCTGCATGTATTTGAAATAACTCTTCTTTATCACTTTGACGACGATTGATGGAATATTCTATTTTACCGTTTTCACCAATATCTGCATCAGTAGCATTCACGGTAATTATTGGTGTTCCTACTGTAGTATTTTCCGGTACACTTGCTGTGTATCTTGTTTGATTGAAAATCGGAGGATTATCATTGACATCTTGAACAAATACACTTACATGTAAGCGGGATCGTAAAGGCGGTAATCCTCCATCTGATGCTTCCACTACTAAATCATATGACGAGCGAACTTCTCGATCAAGATAACCGAAATTTTGTAGATCCAAGTAAAGTACTCCATCACGTCCGCGGTGTTGCGATAGCTTAAATACATCATCATAATTACCGCTAATTATTTCATATCGTTGAGTTGAATACTGACCCACGTCTAAATCTTTTGCAGGTGGAAGAGCTCTTTTAGCATCTCGTGGTGAATTTTCCGGAAATTCAACTTCCACATGTTTTACAGGAAACGTTGGTATATTATCATTCTCATCAAGGACATTAATTACCACTCGGCTATTTGGAGGAAGTACAACAAAGCTGTATGACGGTGTTGTTTCACGGTCCAATGATACTCTGGTCCTGATTTCACCGGTTGTAGAATCAACTATTAAATCAGTTTTAACTGGCGAGCCTGGAACAGGTACTATTAAATAAGGAGGACTTTCCATATCAATAAAACCAATCGTGCTTCCAGCGGGAATATTTTCTGAAACCTCAAAATGCAGTACATTCTCGGATTTTACTGGATTTAACCAAGAGATCATAATTGCACTGCCAAGAATCAACAGCAAGAACGAAGATGATTGTAGCTTCTCGCTACCTTTTTTTCTTTTATTAACCTTCGTCCCCTTCTCCATTCTAAATAAGTATTATCACGAGTATTCCATTCCTCAAGGACGCACCCAAAGGCGATAGGGCACGTGGACCGAAACGAAATCCAACTGATAAGATTTAAGATTATGAGTATGTGCATATATGAGCATATACATAAGTGAAATCACATTATTAAATGAATAATTAATTTCATTCATTTGCACTGTCACCATTTTTTAAATGTCATTTATGATCTATTTAACGATAAATCAATAAATAAATATATTCATGAATGTATTCTCAGGAAAAAGAGTAAACAGATCACAATTTTTGAAATATATGTATTCTTGGTAAGATCTTCTACCATAAAGTATTCATAACACGAATAGCTTTACGTTTCTTATTCCTTTCTCTTTTTCTCACATCATCTCCTTTGCTAAAAAAAAAGACACCGGCACGCAGACTTCACAACTACACTTGCAGCAGCATCCACCGTGGTATGTTGGTATGTTTTTATTTTATAAACATAATAAACGAATCAAAAATTCATCTTCTTTGACACCTCATTTTTTTCATATTATTTTCAATTTATTTTCACTGATTCAATAAAGAAATACCAGAATTACTGCAATCGTGTGAGCAAAGTGATAAGAGAGAAACCTGTCTTTTTATTTCTATCCATATTGTTTCACTGGTTTAATAAGGAATTTAGATGAAAGTCTAATAATTCAACAACATGATTCAAGTGAAAGATCATATAAACAAGTACACATTTTAACATATTCTTCTCGGCTCGTTTATATTACACGAATATGAGCAGTTCCGAAGTGAAACATATACTGACATGGCGACACCTGTAGGACCTGTAGATTCTTCCCTACTCTTTACGATCCTGCAATAAGAACATGGTAGCCATTTTGGAGCAGGAGAAAGAGAGACCACAATATACAAGGTGGATTCTGTTAAAAGGGTATGGTTCATCCTTACATTATCTTTAAATTAAAACTATGTAGTGTCCAGCGAAATGATTCTGCAATCTCACCCTATATGTACATATTGAGATGCTATAGCACTTTTAAACTCAATTTTCAAACTATACCTAAATTTCTTGTCTTCGTCTTTTACCTGGCTATTTACCTATCATCTTGACCATGGTGCTGGACCGTATAGTTTCAACTGCTCCCACATGTACGCACTCGAAATCCTTTCATCAGTTATTTATATATACTGAAACACAAGCACATTAATATTAATATATTAAGCAAAGTGGCTGGATGATTTAAAAAGTAAAAACTGCACATTATAACCTACTATTGCAATTTATCATTTTTAGAAAAATATCATTATATTATGAAAGATAATTTAATTATTTATTTTTATCAGAAAAATAATTATAATTAGCAGTAAATAACGTCCTTCCTAGTAGTCTACACCCAGCCTATTAATTTATAAGTCAATGACTTGTTTAACTATACATGAACTTTGAAGATTCTTCTGGACTAAAAAATAAACAAATCATTAAATAGATGCAGATTTAATCCGTTTTTTGCTTTAAAATTAAATATTGAGTACGGAGAATTCCTTTACCTTAAATGAGTTTGATTTTTCGCTTTGCTTCTTATCTTTTTTCTTCTTCTTCTTCTTTTTTTTTGTGCGATAAATTGTTGCAAAAGAATGAAAATCGTTGAAATTATATCATAGTTGTTATATTAGAACCTTTGAAAGTTTAATGTATGCATTGTTTAGTATTTTTTCTATGGTAATGCCCAGTCAGAGCAAAGGATTCCTGAATTTTTTGACCCTCTCTTTCTCTCGAATGCCGTGGTTCTCAGTAACATTATGGTCACCATAAAAGACCCGTAAATGATAAGAATAAATCACTGATGACTTTCTAAGTATTTCAGTTTGGTATGTGTAATAAAAATCGAAAAATATGAAATTTAATGCAAACATAAGTATGTTTTTAAATGTGAATAAAAGTTTTTTAATGTCTTATTTTATTATTTTACTTTATATCACATTATATTTTATTACAATGACTCATTCATTTCTCAGAAAAAAGCCATACGTGATACTACAAAAATTAGTTTGGTGGGATTGCATTGAAGCTTATCAAAATGTCTACATTCCTGCTTCGCACACTATAATCTTACTTATTTATATATAATCAGAACTGGCCACACTAGATTGTATATGAAATTATTTAAAATGTCTTCAAGTATTTCTGAAGCACCAACCATACGTAAGAAAAATTACTTCATTAATTTTTACTGATTTATACAACAGTCTAACTTGTCTTATAAATAATTTCTTTGCCTTTAACAGTGAATAATATGCCATCGGCTGGAGTCGAATCCGCGAACCTCAAAGAACGAAACCAACACGTTACCACAGACTGCAACATAATTACAGTAGATAGGATAAAACCATACATACCATAAATCATGGTTATTATTCATAAAAAAAAACATCATTAACTTCTTTTTACTTTAAATATTTCACCGCTGTACAAGTAAAAAGGGTTAAGAGCCGTTGAAAAAATATTATATTTACTAATCGAGTAAAAGTATTTTACAATTCAGTAACTTGGCCAAACATACACATGTAGGATGTATAAATTCTTCATGATTATCATAAACTACTGAATTATCAAAGTCTTCAATGATTTTATATTTAGAAAATTGTTGTTTCAAATCATCGTAGTACTGATCGATATTAGAATGGTTTACGCTAGAAATAGATTTATATAAAACCACCATTTCAATGTTATTATAATCTTGCAAGAAGGTTTTGAGTGATTTTAGAGTAGTCAATCGTTGAGGCTTCACAATATTCTTATTAATACGTTTAGGTAGCAATGCATGTTGCTTTCTTGTGGTAAAAACATGAATATTCGATGCAGTAATTTTAAAATTTTTCCTCCTGCTTTTTGTGAGGTTTGCGAAAAACAAAATGTTACAGTAGTTGATGTTATCAGATGATTTTTGTACTTGAATGAAAAGTATCGATTTGGTAGACATGGCGAGAAACTTTAATTATCAGTTGAATCTAGCCTACATAGATACTATTCAATGAATATCAAACTAATGTATTTCAATCAAGCTAGTCGTTAATTAAAATCTAATCCACATGTAGCTTATGACAAATTGATATGAATAATGATTCTAATTAACTGTAGAAAATTTTGTCAAAATTGTCAGACCTTAAATGAGATAATTAATATATTCTAATGAATCATATTTGTGCATAATACTATATTTAATCATAAAAAACATTGTCATTTTATTTTAGGCTTTTGGAAGTAGTATTTTTAATTAATTAGCTATCAAAATATCAATGTTAAATAAATTAAAGACAATAGTATTATTTTTTATGAACAAATAATTTATTTAATAATAAATTACTACAACTACTATGTATAATAGTACATATTTTTTGATGATATTACACTTTTTTTACATGTCTAATGATAAAATACAATGCTCTTGTGTTATTGCTGATAATTCTTTAAGCCATTCATCTAGTATGACAGCGCACAATACAACGTGTTGAGTTGTTGAAATTATTGACATCATTGATTCGGGACAGCTTAATAATTGATTAAAATAAATTAATTGTTTTTATAATAAAAATTTTATTTCTGATCGAAAATAACACAGACTTGCAAAATTGAAAGAGAAAAGTTAACTGACGATAGCTCAATTATATCGAGTGAAAACCAGTCAAATGCTTGGGGGAAATACCCCGTTTCAAGTCTTAATTGAAACCATATTTATCGAGTTTGTTTTGCGTGTATACTAGTTTTAATCAATCTACAATTAATATTATAATTTATTCTAACTTGACTGAATTATAACCATTGCATGTCTATGTAATTTAGAGATATTAATGAATGTTATTGTAATATTCTTACCCATGGGAGTTATTATTCTCGTTCAAGTACGTCGTTGAATTCGGTTTTTGGTATTGTGGCACACCATTGACACCAAATTTGAATATTTGCGTGAAGTGAGATGTCAGGCTTTTACGTTTTGGCCGATCTGAAAAAAGTTATTTTACAACTTATTTATGTATACATAAATTAGCATTTAATAGAAGTAATATTATTAATTGCTTACTTCTATCAAACGGATCAGAATTAAAATTCTTTTTTGTCGCTGATAACTGTTTTATAGATGACAGCGATACATTTTGATGATCATTTATTAATTGTAATTCTCGATTTCTTAAAAAGCATCGTGCTTGGTATACTAACTCTTCAACATTCTTTACTTTTGATAGATATTGATCAATTTTATGTTTTAATGAAGCTAAAATCTGCGTTCAAAAACATACAAAATATTTAATTACTTGAAAGTGATGATAAAAATTAATTATTGGATATTTATATTATGATGATTCAATGATAAAAATTTTTTGCGTTTAAAGTTTTATTTGATTCTAAATGTCCTGTGATATTAGGAGATAAATTGAAATATCTGCAGTTTTGTCAAAATATAGATAGCTTTTTAAAAATAATTTATTCCTTTTAGTAATAACAGTATTTTTGATGGGCACTTAAAAAATATTGGTTTAAAGAAAACTAAGCCGAAAAGATATTTCTAACAGTATCTCATGCAATCACGCAATTATGCTATTATCGGGTCAAAAGTTCCTGATTTTAAACGGATATAACTCGAACAAAAATAATTCAAGGTAAATTTAAAGAAGAGAAATAAATAGCTAGTAAAATTCCTTGTAAGAAAGAAAAACAATGGAAGAAAGTGTTCACATCTTCATTACTGTAATTTGTATTTTTTATCGCTGAATAGTTTAATAATTACTGAAGATTATCTCATTATATAAGTTTGAATGGCTTCATTATTTTAATGTGGAACAATTTGTAACTGAATACTTCAACTTAAATTAATTATCATCATATGCATTTCCGTATTTTATTCTTTTTTTCCTCTCAAGAATATCTTCTTTAATCAATTTAGAAAATTTCCAACATATGAGAAGGAAATAAAAAATAATTTAAATAAATAAAATTTTCTTAGTGATTTAATTACATATATTTTATAAAAGTAACTCTTTCTATAATCTTGCTGCAGATATTTACTTTTGATAAAATAAAATTAATTAGTTCATTAAAAATCAAATATCTTACTTGAAATAACGAACGAATACTTGGCTGGAAGACTAATGACGGATTAAGTAAAAAAGATTGTAATAATGGCTGTTGATAAATGGCAAGTCGGCTAATAAGCCCAGTTAGGCGCAAGTTAACATACAAATTATTACTAGTCATGAATTCCAACTTCTTTAAAATAACATCTAAAAATTTTCCAACACTTGGCTTGCTGATTGTATCTTCATCATTCATAGATGTATTATAAATCATTAGCGAACTATTTTTATTTGTACTTTTTTCATTACTATTTTTATTATTCTTATGATTCTGAATAATATTATTATTATTGTTAATATTATTATTATTATTAGAAGATAAAATTGGCTGTTTAAATTGAGCATCAGTTACGTCTAACTCCATTGAGTTTTGAACAGGTAATTTGTCACAATTACTATTACATTGAATGAATTCTTTAGCATTGATATTGTCGGGTTCATTATTATCATTAATATAAAGCCTATCTGTAAGTGTATCTGACAATGCAAGTGCGAAGCTTTCATTATTTTTATTTTTATTCTCAAGTATCTCTTCCAAGGCGTTGAGTGAGTTTTCTTGATTATTATAATCAATATATGATGGTTGATTATGATCAATTAATGATTTAACATTTTCTATGATATCATCAGTTGATGAATATGATTCTCTTTTTTCAAAATAAGCTTCGGATTTTTTCTCTTCATTATAAAAATGATTTTTCTCATTGTTATCACTACCATCATACTTTGATGACCAATTAGAACATGATAATCTGCATAAAATAATTTGTGTTCTTGCATTGTAAAGATAAGCAAAATAATTGCCAATAAGACTGTCATCGAGTTGGCTACATAATGATAACGTTGGAGACATCAACGATTCTGAGTTTTCATATGAAATATTAGAATTGGTAGATTCGTATTTATTCTCTACACAATTTGTCCAAGATAAACAGCAAGTTGGCCGCAGTGATAATATCTTCTTCGCGGTATTTCCAGAAAAATCCAAATCTTGTAGCTTACTACGTTGTGAAAGCATAACATGAGAGCAAGGAGATAAAGATGAGAAACATAACTCTAGCATTATGTCTTCATTATTCAGATCTACTAAAGTTTCAAAAAGTGCTAGAGTTACGATGCATAACTACATTTATATAAATGAAAAAGTTTTATTAATTTAAAGAATTTTTCGATTTAATAATATTAATAATAATTTTTAAAAAACCTTACTTTTGAATTAGTAGCGATTCTTTGGATTAATACATCTAATATTCTATACCCATCATAATTTGATTCTAGTAAAAATTTGATTATTGTGTATAAAAGCCCAGGATTTGTGACTTTGTGCAAGAATAATTCTAAATAAATTGTAGCGGTGATTGCTTCATCTAAAGACGTCTAGAAAATGAGAAATAAGAAATAATGATCAATAAAGAGATTGCATTTTTGATATTGAATAACGAGATTAAATGAATTGAAAAGCAAATAATTTAATGGTAGAAGAAGAGTTGTACTTTTATCGTATTTTATTTTATGATTAATATCTTTATATCCATCTCTTCTTTCGCTATTTATAGATTGTTAATAAAAAAAAAAAAAACAAAACATCAGACTGAAATTGAATAAGATAAAAATAAATACACGAAATCCTGAGAAAATTCAATCTGTCTCAGGTGTGAAAATTGCATAAAAAATTCTGGTAAACCCGCAATATATCTAGAGTTTCTACAATACACTTTATTGTAACCTCAAACGAGAACTTTACAACTTACGACTCTTTTTCATATCGTAACCAGTTTAAATAATTTGCATAGTAATCAACCACAAAACAGGAATCTATTGGATATGAAGAAATTAACTCTTTCACTGGCAGACACACTGTACGGTGTAAAATACACGTAAATATTTATCTGTACCGTTCTCAGCCTTTAACTTTCAATTTAACTTATCAGTGATGGAGTTAATTATTTACAAGAAAATTAATTAACTTTTTTTTATACTTTAATAGTTTTTATACTTATGTATTGTATACTTGTATACTTTTTATACTTATAGATTTTATATGTAGATTAATACTGGAGAGAAACTATTATACGATCATTTGAACTCTTACGATTATTTCTCTCCTTGAAAAAAAATATTAAATATTTATTGGTAGATAAAAAACTTACCTGTAATAATGCTGGACCTAACACAGAAACTAAAAAACCTTGATATAAGTATTCTGATAATTTTTTCTGTACAGATATGTGTGAAAGTCTTGCAACAGCATTACAAAATTCTAAACAACGAATTAGATGATTTAATGATGAGATGTTGCAAACATTTTCAGGCGTTAGTCTGCACCAATCTTCATTTGGAATATCAAGTTTTCGCGGTAATAATGAATATAAACCACTTATTCCAGTAGCTAAAATCGGACAGACATTAGAATTTTCTGATAAATAATCAGCCATGTCAGGATTTTTCTGTGACAGTGATATGAATAATAACATAGCATCTCGAGCTTTTTGACCGATTGTTCCTTCTCGATGTATGAAAGGTAATAATAATGAAAGTATTAAGAATCTGGAACAAAAATTTACCTCTATTGAAGCATTTTAAGTAAGAAGATTTATTATATCTGAAAGCATATTATTGTTTTATCGAATTAAAGTTTGAAAATTCAAAAGAGTTATAAGCTAATTAAATTCATGATGAATGAGTAAATAATTTATCATATTTTAATTCGAGAAATTCGTGAGGATGAGAAGTTCGGTCTAAATTCAGCCAAGTAACGACATCTGAGGCTGTAAAAAAGCACTTATGCTGCTTTGGTGAGTTGAGAGATTGACGCAAATTGTTCAGACAGCTTGGATGGTCAAAAAAGTTATGCTTTCAAAGCAAAAGATTGAGCTCGAATTTCAATTAAAATCAAACTGTGTGCTTTTTTTTAGCGTTTTTAAATCTATAAATATTTTTTATTGCATAACCAATATTCTATTTTTTCTATTTATTGATATTTTCTATGAAAGCTTTTAAAAATGTACTTTTGATGAGAAATTGCTGTCGAAAAAATATTATATACTGATGGAGAACGATTTCTATTGTCTTTTGTCATTTTTTCACTATTGTTTTATAGAACATTACTTTACTTTTTATACTATGAAGTAGAAAAAAAGTAATAAAAGCTTTGTAAAACTTTTCTCTCAATTTTTCATTATTTTTAACCCACAAAATTCAACTGTCTAGTATTTTCTGTTCTTTCTCCGTTTTCTTACTTGTTTTGAAACTCTACATAAATTTTATTTTACATTTTCAATATTATCAATTCTCGTAACACAACTTTTATATAAACTCTATCATATTTTATATTTACTATTAAGTATTTCTGAGTAATTCTCTATTTTTACTTTTTAATCTCTATTCTAATTCCAAAAACAATATCTCAATAAAATGATATAGTTTTTGTCTTAAAACGAATACAATTACTACACAGTAATTAATCGAATTTTCTAGACGTTAATAATTTAATGATATGTTAACATATAAAGCTTTAATCTGCGAATATTAAAATATCGTGTAAAAAAAGACTGATATGATGAATGATTTACTTGCGTTTCGAGTCATCTGTCGATGAACAAAAAAAGACATCCACAAGCGTTGAATTTAGTGTTAATGCGACACAAATACTGTGAAGCAAATTTATCAATTCTGTTTCTAAATCCGGTGATAGGACATCATTCTCATAAGATTTAAGTAACTTCAACAGAGGCCTTAATATCGGCTCGTGACCAATAATTGATGCATTATACGATATTAATAATTCAAATAATTTTATAACTTTTAAATCTACAGTATTGCTGTAAATAAAAAATATATCATGTAACAAAAATTATTTATAAATCAAGATTATTATTCAAATGTTCTAAAATGTATTACCTTCTAGTTACTGCACTCCAATCATACACAATATCAAGTAAATTTTCACTTAACAAATATTCTAGACATAATAAATTTGATTGAACAGTTAAGTGACAATTTTTAAGAGTAGTATTATTGCGAAATTCAATTATTAATAATGTCACCATTTGATCTATATGATTATTAAACGCCACTAAATAATCGTGGATTGATTCATTTGTTGTCAACTACAAATAAAATATTGACAATTAAATAAATGAATCTCAAAAAATGGAGAAACACTTGACATACTTACAAATGACTGTTTTATAATGTCATGTGCTTGCTGCCAATGTTTACAAAAACTATCATAACATGCACTACGATCAGTAATATTCGTAGGAATATTTTGAGGACATTGTCTATTTGCATTATTTATAAATGCATTATTTTTTAACCAACTCATTGCAGTATTTTTAAAAAATAATTTATTATATTATGATAAGTATTTTCATGAATTTTCATCCTATTCACATCTTTTCTAAGTTATGTATAACCTATAAGAAAGAGATAGTATTGAAACATCACGGATTTTAATACATTTTCAGCTAATATGGCTACACAACACACACTTTGAAGTAAATTATTTATACTACATTTTCTAGAGAGTATTTATATGCTCTTAAATTTCACTTAATGCCTTACACTCTATTATTCTGATAATTAAAAAATTTTCACATTATAATCTACTGTAAATACGTCATATTAGACTTCAGGAATTTGATGTGACAGCTAGATATTTTCCCCAAAGAAATCAATCCCAAGAAATCCTACAGATCACGCCACTATGATCTCGTGAGATTTGAAAATGCTACATATTTTTCACCTTCTAAATTATTATTTATATTGTTAGTTTCATATAAATTATATAAGTGATAAAGAACTTAGAAAAGTGTAACGATATTATTTCTAATGACATCTAAAAACTAAGAAACTAAAGTTTACTTCATTTTTATAAAATTATGGAGCCACACATGACTGATCTTTAAAAGTTTAATTAATTTAATCAAGAATTAATTTTTTTATAGTAATGTATAATAATAATAATAAAGTCGTAGACACTAATGTTTCGTTAGACATTGGAATAAATGGAAGCTCAAAAAAATTCCATTGTCATCATTTCTAATTATTCTTACCCTGAACTGACCTAGACAAGCTTTATGACAATGAACATGCTATTTACTACCAACCAAAGACTATTTTGCAGTCCTATACATTACGTCTTATATTTTTATAAATAATTAAAATATTATTTCTACAGCTCATGTCTATCTACTTGAATGTAATCTTTCATTTCTAATATTTTAGTATCCACAGTCATTATAGAACTGGTTGTGATTTGCAGAGAGTAGGTCAAAGGTTCATTGTACAGAACTAGAAGTATACTTCATCTTTTAAACATAATAACAGCAACTAGTTATGCAGTTTTTACATGTCAAGTTTAAATACTTACCTTTAGAAATGTTTGAATGGAGCATTTTTGGTGATAAACATTTTATCAGCTGGTAGGTTCCATTTGAAGATAATTCTATGGTCTCAGCATGTAACTTACTTGACATTAACAAAGAAACAACAGAGAGAAGTTGAAACATGAGATATAGGTCAAAGGAGTAAATGGACATAAATATTTTCATAATTATCTAAAATTTATAAAGAATTAAGTTTTAAAAACACTTTTATTCTTTTTTAGTTGATCTTTATTATAAGATTATTAAAGCTACAAAAGAAAATTAAAATCACATAATTTTATCAGATTTAGTCATGGAAAAATGGCGTTAAAAAAATACTTTTCATAGCTGCTAATAAAAAAAGAATAAGCTTTTATGATATGAATAGTGTAGCTGATCTAAAAAAATTTTTTTGCATATTTATTATGCATCTATGCATTTATGAATATTCAAAAATTATAAACAATATAATAAAAATTTTAAATTCACTTTACGTCTTAATGTTTCTATCTGATATACTTGCTGATGTTAAAATACCGTAATAAAAAAATAATAGAGCTTTAAGAGAAGTTTTTTAATCTACTATTTCAAAGAAGCATACATATCTTGCTTGAATATTTCAAAAAACTTCTCATTACTGAAAAAAATCTAGAAAGTTACCCAAAATTCTAAAATAAACTGTAATAAATGCAATTATAAAATGGAAAATATAAAATGGTAAAAAAAGTAACCAATGAAGTGGAATCAAATAAATATTTTCTTCTTGAATGTCTGTCTACAACTGATGCATTAAAATATAAGCAGCAGAGAAGAATAAACTCAAAAAATATTGTCTGAGTGTATGCAAAATTAATCTAAAAATATATCTGTTAAAAACGTGACGAAAATATGTAATGAAATCTTATGATGATACTTATAATGAAATGGGATGGTATTTAAATCAATACTCACGCTCTGATTCCTAAGGTTGTAAATGGGTTGACCATCACACTTACATAAAATGATGTTGGTATGCCACATAGTTCTCAGCTCAAAACTTATCGTGAATATTCCTCATTTCTTATCCTGGTTGCCATCTGATAAAAAATTAAGATTAGTGCTACGTTCTTTCAGTGACTATTTGATTCAATTTCTAATAAAACATTGTAATAAGTCTTTAATCATTTACTATTTTGCATTGATGTGATTATTTTTCATAAGTAGATCCCATGTCAACTTATTACTATTTATTTATTTATTTCGCCATCTTTAAGAATTATATGGACGCTTATAATGTGTAATAACCGCTGAATTAATTATGTTAATGAACCATGAACCGCTAAAACGATGAAATAAAAAAACTTGAATTATAAAAGAAAATTAATAAATGATTAACGAACGCAAAAATAATATTACAATGTACAGGCGCACGCACGCTTCAACATACCTTCATCAATATTAATTTTAATAAAATATTCAGCGCAGGACGCCACGGTTAACGCTCGTATTTCTTGTTGTTGTTTAACATATCTCCACTATTGTTCGCCTTTGGGACAATCTGACTAAATAAAATTCGAATCAAAAGCTCGCCACGATACAACGAAAATTTTACGACAAATTTCCTGATGTATATTGATAGTTTCCTACACCAAAGATGATTGATTAATATCCTTTTTTGAAGTGATAAATTTTTACTACTTCCTAAAATGTTAGTAAACTTCAATATTATATTGTAAAATATTTGTAAAAATCGTTTTTTTTCAGTACTTTATAATAATAATTGTTGTCAATATTATTAACATCTTAGTACTTGTACTTATCTGAATATATAAATGTAAATGTATGAAGAACACTTATTAATCTATAGAGTATCTATCAAGTTTTACATTGATTTATTATTTCGAAATTTATTACAAAATTTACATTAGTTCACTTCATTAACTTAGCCTATTATCTTTGAATTAGTAATGTTGTGAATCTATAATGAACCACGTGTGCACACTTTTTCACCAACTGACTGTTTCAAGGTAGAAAATAAAATGGTCGCTATAAGAAGTTGTGTGAGTAAAACTATTGAGGATCAAATATTTCTTAAGTCTGGAAAATATTTTGTTGTTTTTTTTTTTCACTAATAAATCATTGATGATATTTATTCTATTTACTTTTCAATCATTTACAACCCTTGATTTGGATGAAACATACATTATTTCCTTAATTTATCCAATAAAATAGTTTAAATACAAAATTTTATCGAAACAACAGAAATAAATTGTATATTTTAAATAATTTTATAAATTTTTATTTACTAAAAACTATGGACATGAATGGAATATAGTATATTTAGTTCCCTTATACCCGAATAATTTTATATAAGGTGATGTGTTTATTTATACTTAAGGGTAGTGTGTATGTTTACATTTTTTTTTTTTTTTATAAATGAGGAATCCGAAATGATGTATTTTTTGGCAAAATTATAAAGAAATATTATGAAGTATTTTATGAAAAAAAGTTTATTTACTTTGATTTCTCTGTTTTTATAATATACTAAACTGAAATAGAAAATCATCAAGTTTATTTAATCTTATAAATCTTGTAATTCTATTATTCTTAAGATAATTTTTATTTTAATTCTATATATTTATTATATATAGATGTATTTTTAGAACTGAAGGAAATATATAAAAATAACAAGAAAATACAAGAAATTGAAGAATTATTAACATTTCATATTATAAAAACTTGTCCAATAAGTAGGTTAACTACTTTCATTTCAAACAGCAAATAATTTGTTTTTTTTTCTTTTCTTCAAATAAAAATTATGTTTGTATAATTTGCAACTGTTTTCTGTAATTTATAATGATATCTCTAACTAGCTCAATATATTTAAGAGAATATATTACTAAAGAAAACTATCCATGATTTCCATTAATTTTTATCTAAAAAAATTTTAGTTCATTGAGACACCTTGAAACTCCAAAATCTCAATAAACATTTTATTTTTGTAGACAATTTTAATGTTCATCATGAATAGTAATATAAAATGTTGCGTTATTTTTCCGCGTACAAAGCTCACATGTCTTCCGGTCATCAAGTAATTTATACACCATTGCGCGTTATATTTTTCGTGCAGGGTACACGATTTAGTTTAGTACCTTGGTGGCATTGCGTCGGTCGGACCTGGGAAGCTAAAAATTCAAAACGTAAAAAAAATATCGCTAAATTAATCGTTAACACAGTAATTCGAAAATTACGATGAACACGAATTGGAATAAAAAGTATAAGATGTAACGATAAGATTACTAATTAATTCTTTAACGCTTGATTATTCAAAAATAATCATATTTTCGCACGCTTTTTTGTACTCTTATTCCGCATATATTATTATTCTTCAACCTATTCTTTTTATAATTTTTTTTCACAATGCCTACTTTTATTTAGATAATTTAATTCACACACTCACAGCTTAAAAAAGTTTTATAATTTTTTAATACCACGCTGAATTTATTATTATTATTATTATTGCTAATGACACTCATACAAAAATCAATTTGCGAAAGAGTAGTTAATTATACGCTTTATTCGCTTTTATATAATTCCGCAATATGTCTACTCATTATATCATTCTTACTAAAAATAGCAAAATCAATTGACTGATTCGAACTATATGAAGAGATGTTTTTCATAAAATTATTATATATAATGTTATAAAAAATAGTAAATATTATTTATTTTCGTCATGAGTATTGTTTATTAATTAATTTAGTATTAATTTTAAAATAATTGCAGTTACTAATATTTTCATTGAATATTATAATGAAGACAATTTTAAACTTCTCTTCACATAATAGAGCCTACGATTTTTTTCGTTCTTTGTTCTTTTAATCGATATTCAATAAATTCTTTGTATCAAATTCCGCACAACTCAGAATAGTTATAATACAAATAACTCGCAATATTGAAGCTTTAGTACCGACTTTTAATTTAATTGCTTGTCGACGATAAATAATGAATTGAAAAAAATAAAATAAAATATCAATGAATAACCGACTATATTTTCTATAAATGTTACACCTTATACTTTGGAATCAAACATAATTATGTTCTGATTTTACGCAGTTATTTCGAAATCGCAAAATAAAATTTATTCTTAGATAACATTAAAATTCAAAGATGTTTCAACTTACCGATTGTTACCACGAGAAAGTCCATATGTATCTGGCCTATCATACCCATCTCCATATCTATGGGTCAAAAATGAATATTATTAATGACGGTTCAATAATCTCATGAAAAATAAAACAAAATCTGAGATAACTTACCCGCTGCCAACGGATGGATAAGCAGTATTTGCTGCTGTATTTCCTGATCTTCGACTAAACACATCAGATTGTGCTCCGGAAGTGGAATTATAACTGGCCATTCCAGTTGAATAATTAGGTCCTCCGCCCATAGGCCTGATGCATGAAATTGTAATTAACGTGACATAAAATGATAAATATAAGATAAATAATTTTTTACATACCCAATATCTGTATACCCTGAACCATATCCAGCCGAACCAACTGCTCCACCATTTCTCATAGGACCTACTGCATTACGATCATAATCATTTCTAGAAGAATAAGGATCAGCATTACGATTCATGCCAAAATTATCTCTTCCATAATCTCCAGTATTTGGCATGCCACGATTGAAGTCGCCCCCCATTCCTGTGTTGGATTGAACTGAAAATAAAGACAATTCAAAGTTGAAATAAATTTATTTCATCATTATTGAATATTGTTTAAAATAAATTAATGATAAATACAATTGCCATAATCTGAGCGAGCGCCAAAGTCACCCATCCGATTGTAGTCATTATTTCTTCCATAATCACCACCTCCAACTGGCCCGTATCCGCCCATGGGGCCTGTGTTTGACCCATATCCAGTCATCGGAGGTGCTGTTGATGAATATCCTCCCATTGATCCAACACCTATATTTTGTCCATAATTGTTACGATCGGCATAACCACCACTTGAATAATCATTACCACGTCCGCCAAAATCGTTTCCCCCCCGATTACCATAATCGGAGTAACCACCGCTCATGTTATTTGTTGTAGACCCACCATAGCCAACATGAGGTATAGGTCGAACTAATGTTCAAAAATATTAAAAGTATTTGAATAAAACAATTAAAATATGTAAATAAAGATCAAAAGAATGTTCTTGTTTGTTTCATGTCATTAATAATAAACTATTTTACCTCCACGATGATTGTAAGGACCAGGCCGATTATCGCGATTGTTATCACGATTACCTCTACCACCTCTCATTGGCCCTGATCTTCGATCATCCCTGCGACCACCAGCTCCACCACCACGAGATTTTCCAGTTGACTGTTCAACATTGATGGTAGCACCTTTGAAATGAGTATTATGAAGAGCTTTGATTGCAGCAGCAGCATCTTCTTCTCTAGCCATATGAACAAACCCATAGCGATTCATTACATCACACTCCGTCACCTCACCGAATCGTAAAAACAATTGTCTAAGTTCATCATTTCGACAATTTTCTGGCAAGCGACCAACGAAAATTTTGGTCTTCCTCTGCAATGAATGACGTATATTAAATATATATTATTGGATAATTTAAGAATAATAAGTTAACGTGTAAAAAGGTAAATGTTTCTTGAAATTCGATCATGCAGACAGTTTAGTTAAGCATGGTGTCTGATCAAGAACTCTTTTCTCTAGCTTAATATCGATATATTATTTCATAGTATTTCAAAATAATATAAAAATAAAAAATATTAAGCAAAAGAATAGATAAAGACTTTTATTATTATTTTTTTTTATTCTTACCGGCATTGTCGAGGAAACCATTATCTGGAAAAAAAATGTCTGTGTAAGTATATCTTATTATGATAATTTACGATAACAAAATACTATAACTTATTTTATTAATAATATTTTTGGAAATGAACTAGTATTATTCATTACTTCGATAAACTAAAAGTTATTTATTTCTTCATGATACTGAATCAAGCTTTAAGAATTCATTATTGATTATTATTGACTTATAAAACTAATATAGTCCTTTGTTGGTTGAATCTAGAAAAGGGTTCGTTTGAATTCGATTCTTATATTTACATTTCCAATAAACTCTATTATCAAGCAAATTCACGTGAGTGTGTCTGAATGCGCATAGCAACACATTTAGATGTAGTTGTGACATACAAAAATTTGTAATATCCTATCTTTCGTTTATCAAATACAAATCATGAAGAGTAAATATAGAGATTTACATTATTTTCAAGTGGGAGAAATTGAAATAGAAAATTAATTTTTATTCAAAACATCTGAAAAAGTATTTCAATTATTATTTAATGCATAAAATCTTGATAAAAATTATAGCCGGTAGTTTTTTTTTTTAACCTGATATTTGTATTAATTCAATAATAGATAATCAATATTAATTACTTGATTATAATGTCAGCCAACTATTTCATAAAAAACGTCGCGAAACTAGTTCATTTCGCACTTACATTCAAGGTTAAGTATTTAGTAGGATTTGGAGCATTGAATGAATTAATTGTTCGGATTATTCTATTGTTACAGATGAATAATTAGGTTATAATTCAATGATGCTTAAACTTGAAATGATGAATTTAGCCATTCATTAATAATGATCGTAAATCGGTGTATAAAAATGATTGATATTTCAAAATTGCAAAAATGTAAATTTTGGCGATATAAGACCATACCATTTCAAATTTGATTATTAAATAATTGATTATAATTAGATTCTTTAAGCTTTTATTGATTGAAATTTTTATGCATGAAAGTCAATAATTTCAACACAATACTTACGTTATAATTAATAAAGTATCGGCAAACTACAAATAAATACCAATAGACATGAACAGCGGAGCTCCGACTACCACAGAAAATGGAAAATGGCGTAAACCCTTATGCTATAGTCTATAATAAGTCCGTTATGAATATACATATATATATATTTTCATAAACATGAGATCGTGAAGAAGATTAGAAACTAAAGCCGCGTTTTCAATGTTTATTTTTATGCAGTACATATTCGTAGTGAAGTACACATTACAGATGAATATTTCAAATAATAATAATAAAAACAAATAAATATAGAAAAAAAATTTATAATAAAAATTAAAAGTTTTACCTTATTTGATAATTATAATGAGTTTTATAAATAGTTAACTGTAGTTACATGTGAACATGTATACAGTGTCTCTACCTAGAATCGATGAAAATGACTAGAATATTTTGATTTTTGTTAGTTTATAAATGCAAGTCCCTTCACATGTTTTCATATATCATGGTATGTCAAATCAAAGCGAAAAACATCGACAGATGGCAAAAAGTTATGTTATGATTTATATTTTTATATCCGAATTGCATCGATTCTATATATTTAGTTTTGTTGAATAGACGGTAGAAAGATATAAGTGTAGATCAAATATAAAAACATTCAGGAAATGATATAATATCAAATAACTAATAATAACAAGAATATAATTTCATTCTAATGAGTTAGTATATTAGTTCTCAGAGAAAGCGTGAAAGAAAGAGATAGACTAAATGAAACATGGCGTTTATTTTTACCATTATATTAAATTTTTTTTCTGTTTATATATTCCTTTGAATTGTTTGAATTATTTATTCAAATTTTATAATTAGTTTTTTTTATTATAATTTTTTATTCTTTTGAAGTGTTTAAAAAGTTAATCATTGTAAGTGTTTAAACCTCTAAAGGTTTTGGAGTATAACTCAAAAAATTATGAAGAAATATTATATGGTGAAAATTGGATTTTTTAATATCTATGAAGTTTAATGATATAAAAATGACTTCACGAAGTTATACGAAATCGTATAATCGAAAAGTGGCTAGTGTTACGCCTAGTAGTATTCAATTTGATAAGTTATTTAGAGAAAATAGCAACCGTCCATCTGCTGCTAAATCCGCAGGTACTGTTGGAAAATGGGGTATTACTTCATTTACATCCATTCGGAGCACTAATATTAATGGTAAGAATCATTTATTATTTAATATATTATATGCATGCAATATAAATTACATACATCTATTATTAAAAATATTGGGTGCATTTTTATAGGTCGGAAAGAAGACATACATAAAATATTTGGTTCAAAAAGAATAAAACTTGATTATGGTAATCAAAATGCCCAAGTAAATTCAGAAAAAGATCCATTCACTTTTGATAATGAATTTGAAACTCGAACGACTACGTCACCTTCAATTAAACCCAAAAAATTCTTCAAAAGTAGAAATGTTTTGCCTGCAACAGACGAAGCCAAACATGAACCAGTAGTGGTCGATAGACAATTATCAGATTCACAGTTTGTTCCTGGACGCTCACGAGCTCCAAAACAGAATCCACGGGTTATTTCGAAACCGTCTTATCAAAAAATTTCAACGCAGGCACCGATTAAAAAAGGTAATGAATGCGTTGATAATAATACTAGTGATGTGTCATCACGTGATGATGGAAAGCCACCGATAGTTTTGAGAATTTGTAAGGGAACAGCTATGCTAGTTGGTGGAGACCAAGAAGTGCAAGAAAGTGAGTCAGATGTATATAAAATCACTCAAACAGTTAGCCCAACTAAAGTAGAAATAGAACACAAAGATGTTTGTTCAGAAATGCCATCTAAAACAGAAACTAAGTCTAGAGTAAATTCACATTCACCAGTAGTGACTACTGTATCAATGCCTTTAAATGACGAAGAAATACCAACGCGTAGAACAACTCGTAGTCGAGCTAAAAATCTTCAAATAGATCTAAATCCACCTCCAGCACCAACTCCTACCGTGCCGACTCCAAATCCTTCTGGACTTTCATTGACCTTACGCAAATCAATAACTGACTCTAACAATACTCTTATATCACATTATGATATTGTCAAGACTGATTGTTCTACCTATCAAAGTAAAGCCACAGTAGAGCCACTGATTGGTCGCAGCAACCAACCACTGCCAACTACCACTCAAGAACTTATTGATATTCTTTCAAACGATACTGATTCTAAAGCTCGGCAAGAATCAAATGTAGAAAAGTCTCCAGCTATGGAGTGCGAACCGCAGGATTGTCCTATGGAATTACCTGTAGATGATCTAAAACCAGAACCAGTGAATCAATGTCCTGAATATGAATCATCATCTGAAGTTTTGATGACAAATGAATCAAATGCTTTAAAAACTGTGAAATCAGAAGAAAATATTGATGCCGAAAGACCTGTAGTAAAAACATTAGTTGACCAAGACTGGTTTTCAGGCAGTGAAGACAGCGAAGCTGCTAGTGGTAATGCAGAAACCGAATTACAAACAAATATTTCAAGTCCAACATCAATAGAACAATCAACTTCTATTCCTCCAGTGAAGCCAATTGCAAAAAAAGGTAGTATTTTCAAGAGTCGCTCAACAGGAACAACGAATGGTAATAAACGTCGTGCTGTATATAAACATAAATGGTGTGATAATGATAAAGAATCGAATACACTGGAGAGTATGCCTTCTAATAGTTCAATTAGTAATATGGCTTCTGGATCACATGATAATACTAGTCCTGTTACTTGTAATGAATTGGAAAATTTAAAATTAACAAGAGTTTTATCATATCCTGAACATGATGCTGATTTTAGTAATGATGCTGACACAGTTACAACAAGTGTACGCTGTGGTAAAAATGTCAAAGGATTTTATACTGTTGTTAAAAATGTTAAAAAAGCACATCAGATTCAAGAAAGTGGAGAATTCCAAGAATTTAATGATGATGTGGAATATATTCTTGATACTTTGCGTGAAAATAATCCAAATGCAACTCGTTGTTTATCAGCGATAAGATTAGCAAGTAAATGCATGGCACCAGCATTCCGAATGCATGTTCGTGCTCATGGAACTGTAGCAAAATTCTTTAAAGCCCTTCATGATGCCACTAAAGATCAAAGTCTTGGTCTATGTACAGCCACAGTAATGTTCGTTTTAAGCCAAGATCGATTAGCTATGGATTTAGATCGTGATTGTTTAGAATTGATGCTGAGTTTATTGGAGTCAGATGCAAGCCATAAAGATGCTCTTGACGATTGTGGATTGAGTCGAGCTGAATTATTGAAAAACAAAGAAAAAGTACGTCAATTGTGTGCTGATATCCAAGCTCAAGGTCACGCTAAACATCTTAATTTGGATAATATTACTGTTGGTCAACTGGCAATGGAGACTTTGTTAAGTTTGACCTCAAAACGTGCAGGTGAATGGTTTAAAGAAGAACTTCGAGAACTTGGTGGACTTGAACATATTGTTAAAACTATAACAGATTGTTATCGTTATATTGAAGCAAATGACAGTACAAGGACTGAGTGGTCTGAACCACTTCTTGACAAATTGAGAAAAGTTGATAGATGTCTTCGAGTTTTAGAAAATGTAACTCATATGAATGAAGAAAATCAAATATATTTGCTTAATTACCAAGATGGTATATTAGTCAATACTATGGCTAAATTGTATGACTTATGTGGTAGGGAAATCCCTAATCATCCAACAATGGACATTAGTGATAAAACTTCAACTGGAGCAGTTATTCGAGAATGTATTTTTGCTGTTCTTAAAGTTCTTATCAATCTTACTCATCGTTTCAACCGTCAATGTAAGAATTTTATTATTGTTTTATTATATTTTATTACCTCTCTTTATTATATTAATTTTCATTATTTTTTACAGCATTTGGCAGTAAAACTGTCGGGTCACAGAATAATCTCATTAATTGCAGCTTGAATCTCATATTACATGTGCCCGCATCGTTACCAGAGGAAAAACGATTTGATATGATAATGTTAACACTCATTCTTTTGATAAATCTAGTGGAACAGTGTGATGATAATAAGAAACTACTTATTGAATCATCAGCTTCATCTTGCCAAGATAACTTTTTCAATCGTAAATTAAAAAATATTTTTACTATTTTAATATTCAATTACGTGATAATTAATAGATGATATTTACAGCTCAAGAAGGAGGAGTTGAAGCACTTATTGATTTGTTTTACAAACAAGAAGAAATGGCCAGAGGTGAAGAACAGAAAACTGATGCCATTTTAGATGGAAAGAAAGATACTGAACAACCAGAAACTGTTGCAAGCAGTGCAAAAACTCAAGAAGAGTTTATTGAAGAAACCGTAGCCAAACGTAATTTCTTAGTTTATCATTGAAATATGTTCAATTATTGGAGTTACTCAATTTTTTTTTTCTTTTGTTAGTTTTACAAAAGGCCGGCCGTCATATGGAACACACTCTTATCGGCGCATACGTTGTACTTCTTCTAGGCTACTTGATTATGGATAACAAAGTAAATAGCTAATCTTTTAACATTTACATTTAATTTTGATAAAATGAAGCAACAATTGTTATTGATGATATCATCATTACTATTATCATTATGATTGCAGGAATATGAACTACGTGTTCGTAATAAACTCGCTGGTAACAACTTTGCCACGATGGTAGCTGTTTTACAGAAATTTTATAATTTCATGAATTTAACAGCATCAGTAAGTATTCAAATTTTTTCTAATATTTCTCTTTTTTCATCAACTGAATTTGATTTTTTTTTCTATTGTGAAAAGAGCCATTTCTTTAATTATCTATGGTAGTATTTCATATTTATACTTCGTTCAATAATCTGACGTTAGCAAAAAAAATTATTCCACTTATTAGTATCAGTTGACAGAAGAAAAAAACTTTAGAATAATAAGATCAAAATTAATCATGATACTATCAATCTTTAGAAAAGAAAGAAAGGTAATCATGAACAAAGATAAAATTCAGAATTGAACTAATTTCAATATTCCTAGATAGATAAAATAGAATATCACTGTTCGAATCGAATTTTAAATGATAATTTAAATAACTACTAATGCTAACTTAGTTATTTTTAAAACGATCATAATCAGAACTTTGATGAAAATTAATTCTAACATGTTGAAAACAGGTTTATTGATTAAAAAGACGTAAATAAGTATAATAAAGTAATTTATAATTTATTATTACAGTTTTATATCAGCAGTTAGAAAAATAGAGAAGTTATATTATTCTATAGATAATTATTTTTAACGCAGAACTATAAATACTGATTTAAACTGTTGTTAGTTCAGAAGTTGTTTTTTCACTCTATTATTATTACAGTTACATTGAAAACTTGAGTAATATCATACTTTTATTTAATGACTATTATTTTTTTCAGAATGAAGCAAGTAGTTGCGGAATTGCTGCAACTGACAAAGTAATTAAATTTTTAAAACTATCAGACGCTAAAATTGAAGAAGAAAAACACGCATTACCATTACCAGCATTAGATGATTCTTCGATCATGTTAGACTTATCATCCTGATCACAATATTATGAAAACATTTAAACTTTGTTTTGAATTAATCAACTAGACGGTTTAATAACCATAAGAATTTCTTTTTAATTATTCCACTGTATACATTATTTATTGTAAAATTTTCCTTAATGTTCGTAATGACTTGATTTATTTTTTAATTATCATTGAAATACTTTTATTTATTCAATATTCATTTCTTACTATTTCAAAAGAAAAACTTAAATATAGAGTTGATAAGTATATATAAAAAAATATTTTCAACGTTTTTAACTATATTTACATTAATCTTTATTCAATTAAATTAATAAGAATATAATCTATAAAATTTCCTTTTCTCATCATTGTTTGAGATTGAAAAAAAAGAAATACCTTACAAATCGAACTTATATCAATTGATCATCAAATTGTTATACGTAATTATATTGAAAATTGTCAAATATAGAAAAAAATTTTTAATGAATTACTATTTAATTATTCACCTAAAAATGCTCACATGTATTTTATGTATTGATTTGGATAACGTAAGTAGTACATAGAAATCCAAATAAAAATCAACAAAAAAAAAATAAATGCTACTTTATGCTCAATGTAAAATTATACAGTATACATGTTAATATTAAAGTTAAATATAGATTATAAGTCTCATGATATTCAAGTCAAGTTCAGATATACTATTATCATACGTATTGAAACAACAAATCGATAAATTATTAAAAAACTTCAATCAATATTAGTTTAAATTATTTTTTACTCTTTAAAATGACTTTATTGTTTATGTCCAGTCAATTTTTAATTAAGTTCGCTTGTTTTTTATTGAATTTGTCTGGAATGTACTAATTTCATTTTCAATTAAGTATATTAAAATTTTCGTGAACATTTGTTCTGGTTCCCACAGCGGATTATATGGAAAATTATTGCTTAAAGTGGTTTTGTACAGTTCATCTTTATTTGCTAGATGATAACAAGATTGTAACGTAATCTTTGGGGGTTGAATTGGAAAATTTGGAGTTAAATGAAAATGAAGAAAAAAATAAAAGTCTTTATGATTCAATAAAAAGCTAATGAAGCTAAATTCAATATTATCATATTCAACGACACTTGATCCTTGAAGACACAGTGCTGTATTAACAAATTCTTTTCTTTTTCTACTACTTAATATTATCGAATCTATTTTAGTACTCACAAGTTTCTTTATTTCGAGTACATAATCCATTAAATGTCTTTCTGTAGAGACGGGAGGTAAGTGAAAATTATTTGATTCACCCAAAATTTCTTCTAAATTTTTCGATATTAAAAGTTGTGGCGTAATGCGATTCCAATTGTTACCACGATACATAATATGTAAGACAATTATATCGTAGTTGCACAAGTAACTTTTTTTTGGTAAGCGAGAGAAATCTACAGCTATTCGAATAAGAAAATGAACTTCACTAGGATTAATTACAGTAGGTAAGAGGATCATTTCCACATCTTCATCACAAATTTCCGTTTTTGATAATAAGTTGTCATATTCGTAGACTAAATGGCCTCCATGTTTATATAAATAATCTACCTGATAATTCAAAAAATTCAATTATGTAAAAAACTGTTTTGCATTAATGAAATAACTTCAATTATCAAACTTACTTGGTACTTTTTATAGTAAAGTACTAATTCAGTAATTACTTTTAATAAACTATTAGAATCTTCAGAGTCCCAGTTCATTAAACTTGGCACATTTTTTTCAAAATCATCCAAATCAGGATCATTCAAAAAGAATTTATCATCAAAATCAAAATCTGGGCCTAGATCAGGATTTCTAATATTAAAATAGACAGTCCAAGTTAAAATTTGATTGGCATAAGGTATTGAAACCCTAAAACAATCTTCACTGAGGATTCCATTGTTTGCACATGTATGATTGAGTATTATTTTTCCGCATTTCAATCCTTAAATATAATAAAATATAAATTGTATTATTTTTTGACTACAATCCTAAATCAATATAATAATTAACAAAAATTTACCAAAAAACTTTGTTTTAAATATGCGGTTGAAATACACTTCGAGGTTAGAGTTGATTTTCAAGAAGTTTTTATTTGATTTCGAATTTGATCCATTCGGACTATTACATGGACTATTTTGAAGTTCCATTTTGACTTTAAAGGGATGAAAAAATGATTATAAATTTCAAAAAGTAATTTATGATTACATTTATAAAATTATGACTTTTTTATAGGATTGTTTGTTTATAATCTACCATAAGCAAAAATCCAACTTCGGCGTTAATCGGAATTTTCACGAACTATCCCTTCTACTCCACTTCCATCCTACCCTTTCTGAAAGATAAAATGTAAACTCCAGTGTTTACTTTTTTATTGGTTCGATGTGTAGCCTTCCATGTTTGGTTTCTAGTTGGCCTATATATACTTCTCTACACTCCGTTATATTTTATGATTGTTAGGTCACGTTTAGTTTCTGTTGGTTCTGTCAGTTCTAATCGGACATTGAACAAGTACACGTCACAGGCATTTTTACATTCGGATAACAAGTTTGCCTTTCTTTGTCCGCTCATTGTATGGGTAAGTATTGTTTACTTCTTTTTTTAGTAGTAAGTCTAACCTTTATAAAATTTTTGTCTAAAATAAAAAAATAATGAAAAAATCTGCAAAAAAAAAGCAGGCAATAGTTTTGTTTTGATTAATATTTGTATTAAAATATCGAAGACTTTTTAATTGTATTAATTGTTCTACTTTGGTTGCCAACACGCCTAGATTAGTCCCAAATTCGGAAGGTCAATATGTTGTCCATACGCGCCTAATCGAATTTAGATGGAATAATTCTAACTGCGTCACAGCTCTTATCGTATAATAAATAAGCTGATACATGTTTATGATTATTTTTTTTAGAGGGTGGGATTAAATTAGCTTTGACGTTATTAAGTATCATAATCAAATGACGTATGCGCCTTTCAAACATATCTGATTACTCCATTCCACTTCAAGAAATTGTTTCACAATGAGTCATTCAGTTTCATAGAATATAAAATGATTGATTTTATTTCTAAAAATGTTTTTTTATTATACTTCATATTTTATTATTATTATTATCACCTCTTAAAGATCCTTGAGATATTTCCCAATTGCACGCAATCGAGTTTATTGTTTTTCATTGGTTCAACGTAGCATGTCGTTTTCAGCATTACAATAAGAGGTTATACGTTGATTCATATATAGAGGTAGCCAAAGGTTAAGATCCGTCATTGTGTTGTTGTTTTCAATACAATTTAATTAATATTTACGCAATTATTTGTATGAGACTTATTCCGAGAAAACATATCGGGAAATTCTACAACTTAATTATTAACTGTCTCTCAGTTGAAGTAGATGTCTATAATTGATTATCTACAGTTATTATGTTGGTCAATTATTTTTCTTTATTCATGTAGTGGAGATAAGATAATTCTTTGTTCGGTTTATATAACTTTTTGCAATTGGAAATTGATATTAATTTAAGAATTCATATAATTAAATACAGAATAGCTACGTTGAAAGTAATTCGATGAAACAGCTGGATGCAGTATATTCATTGCAGTATGGATAGTTAGTATCTAGGTTACATTATACGTAATATATTATCAATAACTGAAATATTTATAATAAAAAAAATAAATATTAAATGAAATAATTTTCTATTTGCTTTTTTTCAGAGCGAGAGAAGAGTATTAAGCATAGTGATACCCCTGTGGAGCCTATAAGCAGCTGCAGGGATGAACATGGTTATATGCCAACAGTTGGTCGCTGGGGTTGCGAATGGCCAAGTTGACTCGAATCGAAAGAAATTTGGTGTCAGCCACAGGGGCAAGCCCGTGGGCCTTGGATTAGAGGTATCCCGTTACCTCTTCCTGTATGGGCCCAATATGAATCAGCTATCTTAACTGTCGATAGTGTTGAAGAATATGAAGAATTAGCAAGCAGCGTTGAACTTGAAACTCAACGACTCTTGCATGACTATCGATATGATACAATTGGGAACTTTCTCCGGTATAATTCATAACATTTATTAGCCATATATATAATTAATTAATTAACTAATATTATTATTATCATTTTTTTATTAACAGATTTTACAAGGATTTTAAAGAAAGTAAAGAGCTAATAGTGGAACGTTTTTATCAAAAATATCAACCTTTGATTACTCATAAACATTACACATGTGTTGGCCTCGGTTTTGAACTAATGATTCGGTTAAGCAAACTCAATGTCAGATTTCCAGGAATCTCAAGTGGCCTGTATTTAGCATCTTGTGAAGAGGTAATTAGTGATAATAATCAACTAAGATATATACTTATTTGTTATATAAACAAAAACTGATTAAAAAAATTTTATCTTTAGACTATAGGAGATATTGAAGGATATGTTGGTGGACCACCAGCAGCAGACAGTGGAGAAAAAGAGCATGTACTTGTTTGTCTAAAAATCAAAATCAACGGACGTAACGGAGTTTTATTATTAGACCCTGGTTATCATGTTGCTCGAGTTGTTACTGTCATGGCTGATAAATTATATCCTCATACAGGCTGGTTCACTCAGTCTGATGAAAGTAACTGTAAAAAAGACTACAATTATTCTCAGTGCTTACAAGATTCTGATTATATAGAGTGGCATGAGAGAGAAAATCGCCCTGGTGCCTTGGAGCGTACACAAGTCGCTCTGATTTACATAGCAAGGCCATATTTAACTGCCATTGATGTTACTGAACGAAGAAATTTAGTATATAATTTCCGAAGCCTTCTTGCTAGAGATACAAAAGGTCACGTAACAGCTGGCTTATATTTTTCACTCAAACTTGATGAGTCACAAATGTTTACAATTTTTTATCAAACAAATAATGGAAAAAAAAGATTTAAGATGCCGTTTAATAAATTTTATAACCCATCGAAAGTAAGTTACTGTTTTGAAGAAAAAAAATACCAAACATTTTTAGATAAAAGAATCGTTATAATTAATGTATAATTTGTTTTAGATTACTATTAGTGATGAAGAAAAATTGATAATATCAGAATGCGCTACTCGACTTAAAATGACGAATGAGCAATTAAAGGATCTTATTACATTATTGGCTATGGTTATGAAAGATACATCGTTCGTAGCTCAAGTACTGGCAATAAACTCCAGAATCAACAGTTTAGCTGAAGACAACTAAGAACACCCAATATATACTTGATTATGATACGATGTCAATGAATTATTAATTATTAAAGTCAGAATGAGGGAAAAGTTAACATATGAATTTATAAAAAACATTCTCTTCACTACAATTTTATATTGCAACTACGAATATTTTGTAGATATTCATTAAGTTTACTCGATATAAAATTGAATTGGAGTGAATATTTTATCTAATCCTTGGAATACATTAACATTTAGTTTTATTTTTTGAACACTAGTTTACAAATCATTATTAATTTTTTTTCTAAATCTTAAGGAAAAATCTTTACTTAAGCATACATATAAGTATAAAAATTGAATAATTAATTTTACAAAATACAACGACAAAATTATTTCATAAGAAATAATGAAGACAAATGATAAAATCGTGAATAATTACGTAAACTAGTGTGATTTTTATTTTAACTTTTTGAAAATATTTTATGATTTTACTATTAGGACTAAAAATTATTTTGTAATAGCACACTGCTGCAATTTATAATTTGATTACATATAATAATTACTTAATTTCTACATTGTATGGTAATATTATTTTTTCATTTATGGATGGTTGACGAAAATCAATAAAATTTATTCTGATTTAAATAACAAACAAATGTTTCATCATTTTTCAACAACTACCCTCTCTTTCTTTCTAAACTATAGAATTTACAATAAATAAATAATATACTCATTAATTTTATTGTTTTTTAATAATTCTGAAGCTTTAACTCATGCTTGTTTTATAATAAAAATATTATTGGGAATTAGCAGAAAATTTTTTTTAGGAATGGATTACTTTGGAAATCAAAACGAATTTATTTCTAATAATATTAAAGTAAGCGTGAGATATTAAGATTTATAGTTCAATTTATTATGAAATGTGCACAAGACTTGCTCTTGTCTGCTGCAGTATAGTAATGTCACCAACCATTACAACAATTACAACAAGGACTACAATATTTTAATCATAAAATACATGCTCATGTATCCATCATGAAATTGTTTTCGAGATTCAGACAGATGCAAATGGAAAACTATAGAGCATTAAATAGCACCTGTAGAGACTCATCCTTATTTCAGAATTTAATTTTTTATTATCCACCAACATTGGTGCATTTTTAATATCTCTAGCTTTTGAAATATACTTGAATGAAATATATTTTTTCTAAAAATAAAAACAATGTTATTGAATCATAATGAATTGTCTATCATAATTCCTATCAACCACATATTAAATTTTTACTTCTATAAATTATATTACCTTTGAATTTACAAAATATATTATTTAATAATATTTATTAAGTTAATAATCGTAACTTTCCGCACGTATCAATCATTTCGGTTCTATGCTTTTGGTCTACACTTGATAGAATAAATCAATCCACATAATATAAGATACTGAACCTAGCTAATATTTAAAAAAAAATTATTTATCATTTTCAATATTTAACAAATAAAGTAAATGATATGCTGTGCTATTATTACATAGGTGTTTGGAAGAATCGTCATTATATTGTAATTCTCAATCATATTAATGTTGAATAGATAACTTCCTGTCATAAGTTAAGTCAATGACGTTCTCAATATTTGATAAATTAGTTATTGATTTACGTACCAAAATCGATCATTCATCAATGGCTTTTTCTCAGGGCCTTAACTCTACTTATAAATGGCTCCTTTTCCTATTTTTTATCAATTCTTTCTGCATTTTCAAGTGGGTTGAAACCACTTGTAAAAAGGTGATTAAAACCTCAGTTTTTCAACATGCAAGGTATTTATTGAGCTTTTGCATCTATGTAAAATTATATCTAATTGTTAGCAGTACTCAAAAAAATTAATTATTTGTAGGACTAAATTTGAGAAAAATAGCTTTGGGGCTATTAGTGGTAGGACTTCTGGACTTGGCAATTTCACAGCCGGTATGACAATACTTAAAATTTGACTAAAAAACCATCATGAAGAAAAAAATTTTTAACTTTTTGAAAACTCTAGGTCAACGAAGACTTCACTCCATCTGCTTTTGACTTTATGATTGGAACAAAAGAAGAGTATGAAGTAGTGCCAATTCATAAATCGAACATCCAGAAAAGAAGTATCGATGGACGATTTCATCTAGAGCTTAAAGCTTTTGGAGAACACATCAAGATATGGCTCGAACCCAATGTTGGAATTTTAGCGACTGCTGAAACACCAATATTTAAGATTGATCAAGCAGGTAGAATTCAAGAATTGGATGGTGTAAGTAGTACAGAAAAATTAATTTACGGAAAGATTTGGTTTAAAAAACCTTAATTAATTAATTTATATTTCACTATTGAAGTTAATGAACCAAATAGCTGGATATTTATATTATAATGAAAAAGAGGCGGCTACAATGTTTATTAAGGAGACTCCAGAAGGAATATACAAATTGGTAATTTATTATTTCGTATTTATAATAGCTAGATCATGAATTTTTCATATTAAATATATTTTTTAAAACTTAAATCAGGATGGAGTAATTGGTGGAAGAGGCTACTCTATTCATTCAATACCAGATCCATCATATAATACGAACCAGTTATGGTATCAAACTGAAAGATTCAAGAGATTTATTGAAAATACACCAGAACATGAACGTGGAAATTACACCTACCACATTGTTTCTAAACTCCCACAAGTACCTGATCATTTAAAGACTCTGAAAGCTCGTATGTAGATTTGAGTTTAAGAATTGATTTCATTAATTAACTCATTCATTTATTAATCGTAATTATTATTCTGCAGCAACTTTAAACTTTTCGAGATCCAAAAGGGCTCTTGCTCCTGAAGTAATCTATCCTGAAATTATGGTTGTTGTGGATTATTCACTTTTCCAAAAGTTTAAACTTAATCATTACGATGTGGTAAAATATCTTCTGCCATTTTGGAATAGCGTTGACTTTAAATATCGAAGCTTGGAAAATCCCCAGTACAGACTAAATATTGCTGGAATTATGATTGCTGAGGTAAGATTTTATGCGATTAGTTTAGTAGATTTTAAAATTGTTTTATAAACTATAAAATTCTGATTGACAATAATTAATTTTTTCATTCAGACACCAACATCTCTTTCATTTATGCAACATAAACTTCGGTACTATCCATACGATTTACTTATTGAGGATGCCTTACTAGACTCTGCGGACTTCGTATTAAATATAGAGAAAATGTTCAAAGAAACTCATAGTTTTGATGCTGTAGTAACGATAACTTCGTAAGTAAAAATATTTTCGTAAAAAAAAATTGTTGAGATAATCTAAATATCAATGATAAACATTATATTCCTTTAAATAATTTTTGCTTTTTAAGACATAAAGTTTGTGCAATGAAGGATGGACAATGTAAAAGAGGAACCATTGGTCTAGCATACGTATCAGGAGCTTGTAATTTACCAGAAATGGGATGGTATCAAGGAAAAAGAGTACCCACAAATGCATTCAAATCTTCTATAGTTTATGACAACGCTGGTTATGATGGCGTCAACGTAGCTGCTCATGAGCTTGGACACTTGTTCGTTACATTAATATTAAAAAAAACTTTAATCATCTGCCGATTTATTGATACATGAGTAATTATATATTTTCTAGGTTTGGTGCTGAGCATGATGGTGAACATCATGAAGCATGTCCTCTTAAAACCGGTCATCTCATGGCTCCAACTGTTTCTTTTACTGCTAATTCATCAGACTGGTCTCTCTGTGCAGTACATGATATGGAAAAGTTCCTTAAGTATATATATATATTTTTTTTAATCAACTTATTATTTGTTTTTATGAAGAATTCAATAAATAATTGATAAATCTTTCCAGTTCTCAATCGTCTAAATGTCTCTTCAATGAACCTCAATCAGGAACCAAGTTAGCCAGGTTTTTGCCTGGAAGAATGATGGATGCTGATGCTCAATGCAGATCTTATGGAAATAAAAAGGTCTATCAATCTAATGAAAATATATGTGTAAATCTTAAATGTTTGGATGATCAAGAAAGATTCATTTATACACATCCAGGAGCAGCTGATGGAACTATTTGTGGAGATAACAAAATATGTATTCAAAGACAATGCATTGATCTTTCTAAAATCACTTATTAATTTACATAATCGTATTCATAATCATTTTTTATTTGAAGTAGTACTAGAATAAATGTATTACAACCTTACTTTGTTGTTTATTTTGTTACACGACAAAGACAAACATATGTCCCTTCGTGGAAGGGTGACGATCTTCGCTGGGCATAATAGTAGTACTTATATCTGTACATTTGGGAGCAATTCTCGATTGTTCCAGAAGAAGATCTCAACATTACTGACCATCATTTAGTATTCCAGGGATGGTAATCATAAAGTCTTGGATATCTACAATCATTCACTCCACCAAGAGGATTCCAGGAAGCTCCAGGAAATCTTGACTTTGTCTTCAAGTTCAAGTCCTCAGAGAAGCGTCCCTGGTTTTTGCTGGCTGATTTAGTTGCTCTCGCTCAGCTATTTGTTACAATTCTCATTGATTTATATTATTTTCATTCTCTTATCGTTTATTTCCGCCTTGAGATCCAGATCCTGAGCGTCTCCAAACAAGCAACAACATAACAGGTGAGTGTAAGCGCATATTTACGCTCATTAAGTACAATAAGTACGGTTCACTTGGTTCATGCACACCCTAAGTACCCTGGTAAAACAAAAATCTATCGAAACCATAACAGAAAAGATACCTCCTTACCCTCTTTATCATAATCATTGACAATAGCCACATTATTTCCTATTTCCATTACCATAGTATACAGTCCATCAACAATTTTCTCTTAGTTCTGGCGGTAAGACTTACCTCCTTCTCGCTAGAACGTTTCAATTCAGAATTGTTGAAAAAAAATATTGGAAAATGTAAAAGTATATCCATTTTTTATACTGATACACATGATATCAGTAAACCCACTTCCTATACTTGTGATAAAGTGTTTTCCTTCAAATTATAGTTAAATAAAATGACATTTTTCCTTAACTGTTAAACAAAAAAAGAAGTCCATTTCATGGTTGTCTGTGCATTTTTTCTGAAAAAACAGTTCTCTAGGTATTGAAAAAAATTACAAAGATGGTTTTAAAGTTGATATTTCTTAGTCTTATTGGATCTGCAATATCAAAAATAGTAAGATAAAAATTCAACATTTAATTATTAGGCTTGATTACATTATAGAAGTCGATAATTATTACATTATTACGAATTTAAGCTTCAGGATGATCTGATGCTAGAAGCACTTGACGAAGATTTTCTCTTTCCTAATAACGAGGGTAATTGTTTTTTATTCTGTGGTCTGAATTAGGAAAATTATCAAATATTTATTAATGGCATGATATTCTGATGATAGTTCCAAATTACGAAATAGTACCAGTTTTTGCATCAGCAGTCGAAGAAAATGGTTCTAGAAAAGTTAAAATAAATTTGAGAACTTTTGGAAAAGATTTAGAAATGTGGGTACATCCTGTAGAAGGAGTCTTAGCTACTACTCGAACACCAGTTTACACCGTCAGAAATGGAGTTAAATTAAAGAGACAGAGAAATGTAAGTAAAACTGACATATGTGTGAGTAACAAATAACGAAATAAATTTTTTTTAATGTTACGTTATTGAATTAATTATCACTACTCTAGGCAATGAAAAAAGTTATCGAAAAGTTATATCATAACAAAAGATTTTTGGCCTCAGTAACAGTTAATGAAGCTCCATCCAGAGAAGTTATGGTGGTAAAAAACAATCTTACTATATATTTTCTATTAAATTAGGAATCATTACTAACAAATATTAAATTGTTTAATTGGTAGCATGGGATATTTGGTTTATACAATTATTTTATTCGACCTCTTTATGATTCTGAACTATATTATACATATTTGAAGAATAATGCTTATCCAAAATGGTCTAATTTCTCTTATCATATGATATACAAACTACCTGATATTCCAAAATACATAAAAGCTCTCATTCCTCGTAAGTATTTTCTAAGCTTAATATTTCACTTGATTTAATATTCTCTTTATAAAATGATTAAGTAATTGGTTAATTTTTCTAGCTAAAATGAAGCCAAAAAAGTGGTCGCAAGTTCCTCAAACAATATATCCTGAAATCATGGTGATTGTTGACTATCCATTGTTTAAGTTGTTGAAAAAAAATCTAAAAGATACTTTAGGATATATTTTATCTTTCTGGAATGGTGTAGATTTAAGATACCGGAGTTTACAAAATCCTAACTACAGATTAAACATTGCTGGAGTCATCATTTCTGAGGTAGGATTTAATATTGTTTAAAAATTACAAAACTATTATGCAGTCAATTTATGCCAAATAAGTAATAAAACTCTGTTAGACCAGTCAATGGAAGGTTAAAATCACTATTTTTAGCGGGGAGAATGAAACCAACGCGAAAATGTGCATAAGAGTCGTAGAAATAATAATGCAAAAAATCAGGGTCCTGAATGAAAGAAAACCCTTGCAAAAAAATGCGAAAGAATGCAAAAATGACTTTTTGGCTAATATCTCGAGAACGGCTGGAAATATGAAGAAAATGTTCGAGTAAAAGTTGTAGAGAATTTAATTCTCTACAAAAAAGTATTCATACATCTTTTACGTATCTCTTACCGTTTATTAATTATATGCCATTAAAGAGACCGTGGAATGTAGAATTTTTTAAAAAATTATTTTATATTTACAAAATTTACCACATCTGAGTACTTATTTATTACTCTGACAATATTTTCAAAGGTTTAATGAGCTTTTTATTAATTTGAAAATTTCAAATTAATTTTTTTTTCATTCAATCGAATTGGATTTTTTTTTTTCTTTTCCATTCGATTCAGCATAAAATTCACGATTAAGTATGTTCTCTTACTTGGATTTCCATTTTAATCCACGTGAGATAGATAAAAAATAAGAATTGGGGGACTTTTAATTTCTTACGTTACTGCCGCTGAGAGAGAACGACATATCTCTCCTTTTCACTCGCACTCATTACATTCCTCTGCACATGCGCGGCGCATGGAAAAGTGTAAGTGCGAGAGAGAACGGTAGTTCCTTCTTCCGTTTCACTCACACTCACTATATTTTTATACACCTGCGGAGTACACTGAAAAACATAGGTGCGAGTGAGATCGCAAACTCCTCCAGTGGGAGTGTAAAGGAAAGAAAAGGCCCCAATGGATCCTACTCAACTGTTTCACAACTGGGGTTTACGATAAAGTGTCAGCATCTACCTAAAGTATTTGATACTAAGTTTTTTAACGTTATTTTTTAACATAGAAAGTGACAATTATTATTATAACTAAAATGGGAGCATGTTCTGATTGACTGTAGGTATTACAAGTATGGTTATCAAAATGTCTGATGGTAAAATGATGAAAGATTGCTATAATAGCGGTAACTACAACAAAGCGGTTTTTTCATATAAGAAAGATTCTTTTTTTGATGAGACACGAAATTATCTTTTGCTTTTATAATAACAAAAGATAAAAAAAATTGACATAAATGTATGATATTACTCTTATAGAAATGATTTTCACATTTAATACGACAAATTGAGGAAAAATAATTATGAATGAATAATTTTTATTTATTTGAGAGATTGAAAAAACTATAAAGGGATGTATAATATAAGGAAAAATCATGTACAAAGATAATTAGATAATAATTTCTTTTATATTATTTTCACTATAGCTATCATTTATTGAATTTCTCTTCTAATGCACTTTTTTCGTTTAATACCACATTCACTTGGTTTTGTAATTCATTTAATACTCTCAATAGTTCTAAATTATTTTGTGTAACATCATTTGCCATGTCCTTGTTTTGATTCTGATTGCATTATTCTTCTTTTTCTTCAAATTCAACGCATTTTAAAGAATCGAATGTCTATAGTTCTTGTTTGACTTCATGCAATTCTGTAAATATATTTTATAAGATATTAAAAAAGATCGCATTTTAATAGATTTCCATTATGGAATATTAATATCATCACTGGAGCTATCATTTAATTGCTGAAGTATTTTCTCAACTTGTACTTCAGCTGCACGTTTACTTTCATTTAAGTGTTTATTTCTTTGTTCAAATATTTTACGATTTTCTTCTAATTTTTTTTTTAATAAAAGGCTTTTTTCGGATAAAGTTCTTGCATCACTAATATTATGTATACTATCATCACTTTCATCTACTCTTGAAGTGAATTCTGTGCTGTGGCGAGAAGATTTTACTTTTGATTTAATTTTCGTTAATTTTTCAGCATATCCCTTTTAAATAAAATAGAAAAAACATTCTTATAAAATCATATAACCACTCTACTTTATTAATCAATTGAGTTAAAAGCTATCTTACCTGAACTTCGTCCTCTTTTTTCTTCAAGTCAAATTGTTTTTTTACAATAATATCCCGATAATTCGACAACTCGTTCGAAATTACACATTTTTCATCTTTATGGTAAAAAAGTAAATGCTCGCTATGATATCGGCAAAAATGTACCTGAACAGTTGTAAACAATGATTTAAATGGGAAAATAATTTAAAACATAAAAGTACTGCAAAATAGTCAAAGTTTTGGTAATTTACAATTAGATTTGTACATATTCATTCAAATAGACAAAAAAAACTAGTTTTGTCTATTTTAGAGTATCTTTACGTGACTTTTAAAATTTTCAGAGGATTTTCCCATTTCAATCCTCATTTAAAAGAGTTCAGGTACATTATTACCCTAAATTTCTGCTTTTATTCTATTTGAGATTTTATTGCAGTCTTCAAGTTTGGCACGGTAGTTATAGGCTAAAGTTTGCCCATTTAGGCTGAAAAATATTGTAAAATATATGTGTGTCCATCTATAGATGGATTGACTAACGACAGTTTGTTAGTTAACGACGATTGCTTGACGATTAGATTGTTTATAGCAACGAGGGAAGAGTTTGTTTATCTCCAGTTTAGGACTGAGACTAACTAACATTAGACGTCTTGTCTTTGATTCTGTATTTGAATCTATCATTTTAATAAATTAACTTTTAATAATAGTTGTTCTCATTCTATTATTTTACATTTGGTGTCAGAAATAATTCGTCTCACGTGTCGAGATATTTTGTTTGTGTTGTGATATTTTTTTTTAAAGAAAATTTGTCAAATGATGGATTGTTGGCTTTGGAGATGCGGATCAACAGATTAGAAGAACAGTTTTTTACAAACAAAATTAGAGATAAGATTTTCGATTAATAATAATAATAATAATTTTAGTGATATGGTTTCACTTCAGAAAATTAAAAAATTAGTTCTGCTCAAATTCAAGAAAATTTTAGTAAAAGAAATTCTAATATTAATTTAAATGTTTCTAAAAAATTTAAACGTTGGTTGTGTGGTAAAATTGGCCACAAAAAAAAGAGTGTGAATTTTCTTGCAAAAAATAATTTACGGAAAATTAATTCATAATTTAAAAAACTAAATTATTTAAAATATTATATAGTAAAATTCGAAAAATTGGAAATTGAATTTAATAATGAATTTAATTTTAATAGAATAAGATTGAAAATATTCCTTACCTTGGATGAGCTCAAACTTTTGCATCTCGAGTGCCACCATTGCATTATTATACAATTGAACTTCTTTTGTTTTTGTATGCTAACTGGTCTTCTGATTCCGTAATACGTTTTTTCAAATCATCGATTATAAATTTTAAATTAACAACCATAATTATGGTAATTTTGCATTGGCAATTGAACATTATACATTATCTATTAGAACAGTCTTAGTTATAATAGTATTTTACATATTAATCTTATTGCAGTATGTTTGTTCAAGTTTACTTTTTCATTTTAGTATAAAATCTAAAAAATTCATATTTCCAGAGCTAGAAAAGTTAGAAATTATATCAGATACAATATGTTTGTTTACCAAAATTGCTAGTCTATTAGTTAAGTCTCAACCAAGTCGTAGAAGAGATATAAATCTGGTGAAGAATACCCGAGATCGGCAAAAAGCACTCATCCAGTCGTCGAGATCTCCACTACGTTCCAGAGACAACGCACGAGATTATCCTGGAAAGCAGCCTTCACAGTCTTGACGGGGAAAAGTCATGTAAGTCCAGCAATATTCTAATACACGTGTGAGACTGACTGACTAGTATAGCTATCGAAACAATTGCAATATTCTCTCTTCTAGTTGTAGTCATTAAAACCTTAAATGGCATAGTAAACAGATTGTAGTTTACAGTTTATTAATTATTAATTATTGTCGCTTAGTCGATATTGCTTTAGGGGGACCTAGAGTCCTGTCAAACTTGTACCCCGCGTTTGTAAATCTCATAATAATCTTTGAATTATATAGAGTCTCTCGCATTATTAAAATTATATTGTATTATCTTTTTTGTAAGTCAAGAGTGCATCAAGGAGTTCTTCTATTTGTATCTTGTTGCTTGAGAATCGTTTAAATAGAAGTAATTTATGATATAAATAGTGCCACATTGGGAGTAACCTTTACCGTTATCCCATAGTCCTGATTTGTTTGCTACAAATCGCCCGATTAATTGTAGAGTCTTTAGTACTTTTTCCCCAGAAATATATCAATACACATTGTAAAAAATACTGTGTACATTGTTGAATTTACTAAACTGCATAGTAATTTATAGGGTGAAATTAGAGTAAAAATAACTATGCAGTTCAGTAAATTCAACAATGTGCACAGTATGTTTTGCAATGTGTATAGTAATATTGGAGTCACTAAACACTCACTTTTACTCTTAAATGTTCGTTTTTATGTTTTACTTATCGCGGTGCATGGTATCATACGCCACCTGTTAGCATATTAAATACCTTTAGCGAATATTCTAATATAATATATATATAAGTAATATAAATATAAGTATAATTTTTTATTAGAAATATTAAAAAATTCAATCAAATTATAATAATGGTGAGAATATTATAATAATTAACGAAACCGTTTTTTATTTAAATTTTAATATTATTATCTCGTATTTTATTATTATTATTAGAAATAAGGGTTTCGTTAATTATTATAATATTCTCACCATTATTATAATTTGATTGAATTTTTTAATATTTCTAATAAAAAATTATACTTATATTTACATTACTTATATATATATTATATTAGAATATTCGCTAAAATATTTAGTATATTAAATACAGAGGTATTTAATATGCTAACAGGTGGCGCATGGTGTCATTTTCCATGACATTTCACCACTAGGAGGCGCCCAATAACTAGTTATCTATCCAACCAGAAGGGTTTTTTCAATCACATGAG